GACTTATAGAAGAACCTTTGAGATTGGTATACAAAAAGGCCTGTTTGGTCTGATTTTGAATAGGTTTTAGGGTGCGTAAGAGTAAAAAGTTCTGGTGCAGTAAAGATAGAGAAATTGTAGGTATATATAGTACATAGAGACAGACTTGTTGTTCAAGTTGTTGGTGGTTTCTTGTAGTGGAAAGTTGGCAAAAGAAAAGAGCATTACACAAAATAGAGTTGTGGTTGTACGGGATAATAATTGTTGATACTTGTCATATGGAACCTGTCCGGCGCGCATATTAGTTCGAGTGCATACCTTGTTTCCTACCTTAGTCAATGCCTCCATGCGTGCCTTTAGCTGCTCCTCCATGTCAGGCTGCAGCTTGGCGTGTTGGGCGAGCTTCTGTTCGGAGAGCTCCAGCTTCTCCTCGATGGCCCCGATCTTTTCCTCGTGCAGCTGATTCGGATACGGCATTGATCATGTGGCAAGGATTGATTTTGGTTCGTGTGTTCAGGGCGGGTTTGTTCGATTAGTTGTCGGGGGAAAATTGTTGCGTATGTAAATGCAATATATTAGTCACGCTTAAGGGGAGCTTAATGAAAGAGCAGGCTAGGGCACAATTAAATGTATATTGGATCGATTTTTTTGTCTCATATAACAGAAATATAGGCACATATATATAGATGATATATAATTACTAACAAATTCAGAAACGCACTAGCACTAGCAAAGTTTCGTTTATAAAGCTTTAAAGATACATAATGTAAAAGTAAGACAAAACTACAAATTAGTTGTCTGTTTGCCTGACATACGTCAATTCTTTAACAATGGAGCCAACAGCTGAAGCTAATTTTAAGTTCGTACTTTTGATATTCAAAAAAATCGATCCCCCATTAATAATAATGACAATTTGCCCGCCTTGACCATCAACCCAGTAATAGTTTCGTCTACCCACCTTGAGCTGTGCCTCTTTGTGCCGAAGTTCCTGCTCGAGTTTCTCGTTGAGATCATGCAACGAAGTTGACTCCCTCTGAGCATTCAGGTAGCGCTTCTCCAATGTGGTAATGCGCTCCTCCTGGAAATCAAAAGATATTAGCATAAATTTAAGACTGAATTTTATGAATTAGCAGCTCACCTGATCCTCTTTCTGGGCCACATTTTCGCGCAGATCTCGCTGCAGCTTGGAACACTGGTCCTGGGCCTTGCAGTGATCCTTCTGCACTCGCGACATATTCTCCTCCAGCTCGCTGATCTTGTTGTTCAGATCAGAGACGCGTCGCTGCCACTGAGAGAGTTCAGAGGTCTGAAAGAGAAAGTGGATCATAAAACATATTCATCAGCTGCACATTGGGATTAGCATCTGCGATCTTCACCTGCTTCTCAATGATCGTTTGCAGTTCGTGGGTCTTGGCTGCGTAGTCATTTAGCTCATTTGCCTCGCCATTGACGCCACCAGATCCGCCAACGCTTGCCACCTAGATTTGGAGAAATAAAATGGATGTTATGACCGACATGGTTGAATGCGCTTCAAAGTAGGGAACTCACCTTTTCTTTGAGCCCGTTCTCGGTGCCTCCACCTCCAGCAGCGGTTGTGGCACTCCCCGCTCCGCCACCACTGCCCACGCCCGCTGGCACCACACCCGCCTTGTACTGGGCCAGTTCCTCCTTGGCAGAGCTCAGTTCTTCCTCCATCATGTTGTTCTTCTCGATGGAGAGGCGCAGGCGCTCGCGAACCTTTTCGTCCAGTGCTTTGTGGTGCTCGAACAGCGACTTGAGCGCCTTGAGCACCTCCACCTCACTGGAGACTCCGCTTTGGGCGGCGGCCTGTCGCTTTACGACGGTCATACGCAGGGAACGCTCGTGGCGGGACACCAAACACTCCAAGTGCTCCAGGAGAAGCTGGAATTATTAAATTAACATCAGTAAAAAGGAGAGCTTACATGGAAATTCACATTAATGTAGTTACTATTTAAAAAATTAAAAATCATTGTGGAGTGGAAATACTTATAAATATTGCAAAATCGTAAACTAATCGATCTATAGCATTTTTATAGGTCTCATAAAACGAAACCAAATGGGCAATCAGGTAGATAATTACATAGAGCCTAACTACGCCTCTTTGGACAAAATAGACTAAGCACGCCATAAGGTTTGGCAAGATAAAGTACCTACAACTGTTTCTCGTAATATCAATAATAGAATGACTAATATCACTTATCAATAACTTTTTGAGTTCCAGGAAAATCAGTGAAAAAGATTTTAGTCTCAGATTACAGGTAATTGTTAAAATACCTACATGTGTTAGTTTGGTCAGAACGTTAAGGTAATAAATAATAACTACCTAAGCTCTACAAATGTTACAACTTGGTAAGATAAAAGAGAGAAAAGAGAGCAAGCTAAAAGGGTCATCCCGCCTTTCGGTTAATCCTCCTGTCACCTGGACGACGCTATACAGAAATAGATTTCCGGGCAGTGCTTACCCTGGTATTATTTCTTTCCGCCTTAAGCTCCCCGATCTCCTCATCCCGCTCCAGTAGGGTTTCCCGAGCCTGCGTCAGTTCCTTGGTGAGGGTGGCGAACTCCTGGAGTCAGAATCCAGATCGAATGGTCAGTATTCCAAAAAATATGAACAAAGAATCAAAGTACCTGCGGCAGATTGGCGTTGATCTGGCGCTGCAAGCTGTCCCGCTCCTTCTCGACGTCATGCAGCTTGTTCTCGGTCTCGCCAAGCCGCTCCTGCGCCTCCCTCAGGCTGTCCATCAGCTTGTCCCGCTCGTCCAGCATGGAGACCATCAGTTGCTCAAAATTCGCGTCCTCCCCGCTGAACTGCGAGGAGCGCTGCGAGATGCTATCCTCGGATATCGTGGGCATTACGTCGCACATCATGTTCCACATTATTTAGTTGGGGCCGCCAGACTGTGCGAGAGAGCAAGGTAGATGTTAAGGCCGCAACACATATGCCTTACATATGGTACTTTAGGTACATTATGTCTTGAACCAAATATGATTGTAAGGAAAGTGCACCGATTCTTTTTTTCCATAAAGCATAATGACACCTTAGAGCCATTAACTGTAATACTATTTTCATATAGAAATTATTTTGTTAGGATAAAATACATTATCGGCGTAAAAACCAGCTATAAAATACATTGAAATGTTTGCAGCTCCTTCAAGGTGCAAGCTCATTTGATCAGATGTGAAAAAGTTTGCCAGTGGAGTCCGGCTATTAGAAACACACACACTGGTGTTCGCTCGCCACTCCAATTGGAATGCCCAGCATAGTGGGAGAAACATGTCTAATGAGACTTATCATAGGCGCCGCATTGATAACAAGTTTTCTACACCAACACACACGCACACAGGCACATGCACGGCATACACACTCACACGCATACGCACACAGGCACAGCACTTTTTCTCTTTCGCATAACTGGCATATTTTTTGTGCCTAGGTGTGTCGCTGTCGCATTTTGCAACCACAAATGCCCGTAACAGGGTTAAACTAGCAGCAGGTGCGGGTTTACTGCGTTTTTCCTTGTGTTTAAATCACTTTTTCACCTCAAAATTCCGTTTTGGGGGACGGCGTTCGTGCGAAAAAAAAGCTGCGAGAAAATCACTCCCCACTCCTCGTTCCGCCGTAAAACGTACCCCGATCGATCGCACGGCGGCTGGGCAGCAGCAGCAACAACAACTCTGGCCGCGTCTTGCCCTTCGCATAGGTCCTTCCGACGGCTTTTAATTAATTAAACCAAATTCCAAAGAGGTTTTCTCCCCAATTTACTCTTGCTGGTACGCGTGTGTATATTTTTCATAGCCAGTATATTTTTAGTACTTTCCAGCGGTCACACTGATTCAGTGAGATAAAACGTTGTTTTTGTATTTGCAGATTCGGCAACACTATTTAGACGTAGATGTAGGATGTAGAGTAGAACACCTGTTTTTCGATAGGCAGAGAATGAATTAAATCATTTATAGGTTTTATATTAAAACTTTTAATAAAGCAAATGTAAAGAAAAAATGTTCGTTTATCACTTAGCGAAAAAGTTCTTTCCGTTTCTTTAAAAATCAATCGCAAGATAACAAAGTAACAATTGTTTTAGATTTCATAAAATGAGTATTTCCGAAAAACATTTCTAAAGTTGTATCAAGTAACCTGAATATTTCTTAAAAGTTTGCATTGAAAATTATACTTTTTTTTTAACTTTAATAATTTATATTTTCTTTGTATAATTGTTGCATTAGGATGCTAACATTTTTTGTTGGTAGATAAAGCTCTTAGAATAAAATCAAAAATTTTTTTTTAGTTTATCAGATAAGTGTTAACCAGCAACGTAAATGTCGACAGTATCATTCCAGTTTTTAATTTTTCCGATAAAAGATGTTAAATGAATAATAATTTACGTTAAAGGATTTACAACGAAAAAATTTAAATTTTTACTCCTTGAGCTTATTCTGGGAACAAAAGTCGAAACTGTCTGATCGTTCCGGCAACGCTACTATTTCGAAAAACTGTTTGAGCAATATGGCAGCACTGACATACAAATTAATCATTTCGAATTCTTGTTTACGTTTTTAATTTTATTTGCGAGTGAAAACCATATGCTAACAAAGGCAATTAACAAATACTATTTTAAATATTATTGACCATGTTTTCAGTTATAATTACTTATTCATTTAACATATCATTAGAAATCGTTGCATCAAATATATATATATATATATTCGATAAATATCGTGTAATTTTTTAGATCAAGTACAGATGGTTCTATTTATAAAACATCGATAGTATCACAAACATCGATTTTGGTTCCAGCTCTAGGCGTTTGTGTTTTATTTTTTTAATCGTGGAATTAATCAGTAAAAGCCACTAGCATAGGTTTAACCCGTTTGTAAAACATTTAGCCAGCGCCGAAGCCAACGAATACAATGGGGTAAGGCCGGAGGGCGTGTCAGAAGCGCCACAAACATCCAGTTTTAGTGTGGGAAAAATCGACGCCGTACTAGCTGTTTTTGTTGTTGTTGCTGGCTTTCTGTGTGTAGCGGGCGGCGTAAATATGTACACAAACATACATACACACAGCACACACGCACAAGCGTGGGCTGGCCAATTATGTGGGTGTGCAGGTGTGTACAGATGTGTGGATGTGCAGGTGTGCGTGTGTTTTTCGCCCGAGAATCAAAATCAAAAGCAAGGCTGTCGAAAAGGCTTAGCACATAATGCAATTTAGTCGGCGGTCGCCAGTCGCCTGAGATAACGGGAAGACATTAGAACTCATTGGACAATGTCGGCGGAAAGGTAAAAGATAAGGAAGTATATAGGCACTGACTGTGGTAACTGGTACCATAAAGCCCCCAAAAGATCATTCTGTAAAGCTAAAAAACAAGATAAATGAAATAAATAATATAATCCACATAATCAAAGAATATATATGAATAACTTCAGTAAAAAGCAGATTAAGTTTAAACTTCCCATTTTAATATTACACGGTAGTCCAAGGACTAGTTCAACTCACACCCTGGTCGATTACAGGTTTCTAATAGGCAAACGCTAACACAGGGGCACCATTTATTACCTCCTCGAAATGGAATTTTAAATTAATCACTCCTCTGCCATTTTAATCCCTTTATGGCCCACAGCGAACAACCGATTTTCACTTGCCAGGCGCACGTCTTCCACATCGATCCGAAGACGAAGCGGACCTGGATCACGGCCAGCATGAAGGCAGTCAACGTGAGCTTCTTCTACGACAGCTCGAGGAATCTTTACCGCATCATTAGCGTCGAGGGAACCAAAGCGGTGATTAACTCGACGATCACGCCCAACATGACCTTCACCCAGACCTCCCAAAAGTTCGGTCAGTGGAGCGATGTGCGGGCGAATACGGTGTACGGATTAGGATTTGCCTCAGAGGCGGAGTTGACCAAGGTAGGTGGCCAGTCTTTTTCCCCATATGTTCCTTAAATAACCGCTTTCACTTGCAGTTCGTGGAGAAGTTCCAGGAAGTCAAGGAGGCCACCAAGAATGCCATGAAGTCGGCCAACGGCTCTAATGCCGTTACGCCCACCACCTCGGCCAACACATCGCCCATTTCTGGACGAGCTGTAGGCTCCATGCAGAACGATAACACAGCCATTGATCCGCACACTGTGGAGCCGCCAAACCTGAGCAACACGAATACCCAAAACGCCAATCCGGACAGTCCCTCCCACAAGCTGCTGAACACCAGCGATGTCAAGGCGGATATCGGATCGGCCACACCTTCGCCTCAGCCCACTTCGGGCGGAACTGCAGTTGTGGGTGGTGGGGGAGTGACCATCTCATCGGGAGGCAGCATTGTAGGTATGCACACGGGACCGGGAGCGGGTGCCACCGCAGAGCAGCAGCTGAAGTACGAAAACGAGCGCCTGAAAATGGCTCTGGCACAAAGGTAAGCAACATAGTTTCTATCAACGGTTTAGGCATTAATAATCCGACTTCATTTTAGCTGCGCAAATGCCAAAAAGTGGGAAATCGAGCTGGCCACCTTGAAGAACAATAACATACGCCTGACAAGTGCTCTGCAGGTGAGCTAATCGTATATAACGTATTTAATGAAAATAGAATACAGGAACTTCATCGTAAATCTGACAAGGATATAAAGCATAAAATTCTTGGGATATTTTCCACAAATGTAGTCTGTACTTTGTAGTTACACATATCCCCACTTTAAGATGTATTTAAATTCGGATGAGTAATGTTGTGTTATTTATACTTTTGAATAATTTAAGGAATCAACTGCTAACGTAGACGAATGGAAGCGCCAACTGCACACTTATAAGGAGGAGAACATTCGCCTGAAGCGGGATATGGAGCAGATTTGCGCGGGCGCAGGTGGTGTGGCTGCAACCGGAGGAGGAGGTGCCGCGGAAGATGAATTACGTCGAGAGGTGGCCTCGCTCAAAGCGCGAACAGAACAATTGCAGAAGGAACTCTTGCAACAGGAAATTGAGCTTAAGTCGGCCAACCTTAGCCTACGCGAAAAGTCCAATGATCAGACGGTTAGTAAAACCATATTTTTGAAATTATTTACTACTGCGTATTTAAATATATATATCTTTTACAGCTGGCCAAGCTGAGCGACTTAAACGTGGTGTTCGCCAAGCAACTTTCGGAGCTGTATGGGGTGCAGAAGGATATGGAGAGTGTTATACAACTCGCCAAGTGCACTTGAGACACAGAGTTAGCGGCTATGAGAAAGGTGTGACTTACATTGTCATTGATTGTCCAGTGCTAATTAATCCTTTATACAGGTTTCAGCGCAGGAACAGACTACAATGATAAACACTACAACGACATCATCGACAACCACAGGAAGCACGACTAGTAAACATTATTTAAGCAACTTTCCAACAGCCGAGGCCGAGAGCACTCTCTCCAATGTTACCTCGATCCACACCCAGCTGCAGTCGTCGCTTTACGAGACCCAGAACACGGCCCAGCTGAAGGCCTTGGGCAAACACTCGGCTTTGCTCCAGGAGCTCCATCAGCGGCAGGCGGCTCCCAGGCGCAATTCTGCCTCCGCTGATGCTGCTGCTGCAACCGGCTCTGGTGGAGCCAAAACAGCCACCATACTCGTTTCCAAATCAAAAACCAAAACTGGGCTGCCCCTGTTGCTGAAAAATTCCATTAACAATTAGAAAAAATCGAAGAGAAAGGCGACGAAAGAGAATTTAGTCAGTGGCATTTTTGTAATCTTTATATTGGTAGTTTGTATACAAGGACAGCGCTAGGAGAAACCCTTATCCTTTCCCTTCCCCTTTCTTTTATATATATATTTTTTTTTCTCATTTATGTGTTTTAGCGTCTTTTGGTGAATTCGAATCGAATGCAGAATAAACCTATGCCCAGTATTTTTCGACAAAATTGTTCGCGTCCTTGTGGCACTTATGTAGGTCTTAATCGATTGATTCTCGTGTGCATTAAAGTGCAATATATTTATATCTAGTATATATATGCAATGATGATATTACGTGCTCATACACTTTCTGCTGATTGTTAATTAATTTTTAATAAGAGCTTGCTAACGAATACTCCCAGTAACCTATTTTCCCAAAGAAGAAGAATCAAGCATTTCTGTCGAACAAGTGTCACAAAGATTATTTTGTAAATGTGCTCGAACTTTTTATAGTATTTTTAGAAGGAATCTTTAGAAACTTTTGTATTCTCTAAATCTTAGACTTAACATTTAAATGATTATTTATTGAAATGTATTTCGACCCCATTCGATCTAACAACTCCCCCACAATGCTCCCGTTTATTGCAGTTATGCACTGATTTACTAACATTATACATGATATTTATAAATATAAAATTTAACGTATGCATAACTAACAATGACTTAGACGACGAACACACTAAGAAACCAATATTGAGTATAAAGCTAAAATAAACGAAGAGAAACATTTTATAAATGGAACGAAATCCAAGTAAAACACGAGACTAGCAAAGTAAATTAAAAACAAAAATGAAACAGAAAACAGTCAAGTATGTGCATCAGTGGACAACTAGTATAATACATTAACAAATTATTACAATTAATTTATATTTATCGAATCGAATTAAAAACGCAACTCGAATGAAGCCAGCAGATAATACATAACAGCAACACAATCTCCGAAACACAAACACCCACTAAACGAAACGGTTATGAAGCGGTAATTTCGAACGTTTGCGGTTATATTCAAGCCATATTGTTATGCACTTGCTGCATAAATAACCCAGTTGAGAGCAAATAAGAATTAATAACGAAAATGAAAATGTTGAACATACAAATTTAGCAGTTAAAAGTAAACAACAAATGAAAATATACATAAATAAATAAATATATGAAATAAATTAAAGTCAAATTCAAAATGATTTTTCTTTTAATTTGAATTTATAAATTTGTATAAACAAATTTAAAATAACAAAGCAATATTTTTCTTTTTATTCCTATTTAATAAGTTCATAATATAGTTTTTACTTTATTTATATTTAGATATTTTCTAGACAAACAGCGATTTGTACAACTCGGACTTGGAGCTCTCCGTCCAGTCGCTATGTTCATTCGGCGCCATGAAGTTGATGAGTTTGTTGTGCACCACATATCTAAAAGTATGTTTAACATTCTATCATAAAAAAAATAATGTTTAATTTCTTATATTTACCTTAGCTTGCGACCCTTGCTGGCCCTAGTGTCCACCTTTTTCTTCATCTTCTGGCGCAGCTTCTGCAGCTCCACAAACTGCTTGGTGATCTCACTCATGTTGGACGAGGTGCTGGCTTTGTACTCGATGAGCTCGCGAAGCTGTTGGTGATAGAAGTCGCTGTCGTCGTAAATGTGTTTAACCCGCTGTACCGGCTCGTTTTCCTTTTGCTCCGCTTGATTGCTCTTTGGCGTCTGCGACTTTTCTACAAGGGCTTCTCGGTTGGCCAGGGCGCTATCGATTTTTTTGATAATGTCGTAGTCTTCCTGCATGGACTTACGCTTTACTCCCGCTCCTGGTGTCAGGAGTTTGGTTCGATCGTCCCACTTCAGAAGCACTTCATTGCGATACCCCGTCACCTGCTGGAAGTTGTTGTGCAGCAAGGAACCGAATTTTTTGGCAGGAGTACCCGAATCATCCAACGACTGTTTGCGCTTCACCGACTTTCTCATCTCTGAGTTCTGCTGGTGGAGTGCCATCTGAAGGGCCAGCAGCTGCTCCAACAGCTTAGAGGAGCGTTCCTGGGCCTCGTTTAACACTGATTGCAGTTCATCATTCTCGGAACCCAGTTTCTTTAATGTCTCAGGCGCAGGCAGCTGATTTGCTTTGCTGGTGAACTTCTGGGTGTTTATCCTCAGCTCCAATAGACGTTCCCAGATGCGGAGTTGGTTTTGGACACAGAGTCCTTTTTGGAGTTCAGCCTGATGATTGGTTTTGGACATTACATCTGACGGTTTGATAGTGTCTTCCTCTGCATCTTCATCGTCGGTATCGTCGTCGTCGTCGTCTTCGACATCATCATCATCATCGTCTTCGTTCTCTTCTTCACTGTCCTCTTCAGCAGACCCAGAATCATCCTCCTCATCATCAAAATTGAAATCACCAGCCTTTAATTTTTTATTAAAGTCTGTTGAATAATCATCTTCATTTGCTTTATCGGATTCGGAATCACCAGACGCAGCTTCCTCCTCCGAGTCCACAGCTTCTTCAGACTGCAATTTTTGTTTAAAGTCTTCCAAGTCACCATTATCTTCATCGTCATCACTTTCCTCATAGGACAACTCCTGGTCCTCATCATCCTCATCTAGCTCCCTGCGACTGCTGATCTTGCCCTTGTATCGATCACTTTGCTCCGACAGCAGCTTCACATTCCTCTTCCTAAAGTCGGTGCTCCTTGCATCTGGCAGGTCGTACTCCTCCTCAAAGTCCACTAGACGGGGACCAGTGGCCACGTCAAAGTCCGAATCCTCCTCGCTGTCGCTCTCGTTCGGATGGGCAAGTAGTTTGCTGACCTTTTCGGCCATCGTCTCGGCCTGTTTCTTTGATTTTCTCAACATTTCGCTAGTGTTTCATTTATAATTTGAAAGCGAAACACATGGACACATGGAACTTTACGGAGTAGTGTGCCCGCTGCCGACAATTTTAAAAATACCTAATTAAATACTCCATACAAATCCACTGGTTATGGACCGCTGCGGTATATTTTGACAGGCCGTTATTATATATGGTCATTTCCACAAAATTTTTAAAAACTTTCTCCATTTTTTTTATACTTTTTTATACTTACTTATCATTTTACTAATTTTACTGCATATAAGGAACTTGGGTGCCTGCAAGCTTTTTAAATAACTATAATCCCTGAAAAGATACAAGAAGAGGCCAAAAATACATGATGAGTTTATTAACTAAATTTAAGCAGAATATAAGAATAGATTGAATTTTAAAAAATATAAAAGTATTGGCCACTTCAACGTAACTGCATTTTTCATCTGTATTAAAAAGTACGCGATATTCAACATTAAAATAATTTGCAGTTGAATTATGCTCAGAAGTCGAAATAAAAGTTTGAATTTTAATCAAGCAGTCTTAATTATTTGCCATAGCAATTATTTATTTATCAAGTAAAATAAAAAATTTAAAATAAATATAAATAAATAAATATTAATCTAAGCAACTTTAAAATTAACCCTTTAGGTCAGAGATATTTATATCTATTTTACACTAATAATTTAATGAGATTCTTATTATAGGCAACCATATTGTTTGTATTAGAAACACCGGCACTGCATAATTTTCGGGATTAAATTTCAGTACCTTTAAATAATTTATTGAATAAACGGTGCACTTGAATGTGCAGGTTAGTAGTTAATGCATATGCCACATGAACGCTCATTAGAACCGACGAACTGCCGTCTTATCAGGTGGGCCAGGTGCATCTTGATAAGACCGCGCACACGCCACAATCGTAGCATACAACAGTGCGCGCCTGAACGTGAACTTGAAATCCTTTTGTCCGCTCTCGTGGCCTCATTAAATTTAATGAAGCGTTTTGCCAAATTGCGTATCGCTCGGCCGGCATGAGGTTAAATTGTGAACCTTGGCAGTGGACTTGCCAGATGCCAGTCGAAGCTCGCCGGGATCGGATTGGAGGTGTGTCACTGCAGAAAAAAGGATAATCTAGTGTTTTGCGCAGCTCACTGAGTTCCAGCGACTAGGAAAGCTCCAACAGACGCGTCGATAAGGCTTATAAGTAATACCAGTTTAATTTTTTTGCTCTGGCTGAAATGCGACTCACACGGCAGATAAGGGATCGCAACATTTGGCGATCAGACGGACCACCGTTTGAACTTTGAGTCGTGTACACGCATTGATAATCGTGAAATTTATGCGGGCGGGACCTGCAAAAACACATGTGTAGAATCCGCTGCCTATTGGGGTCGCCCGCTGTTATCACTGTACCTAACTTCTTGTCTACCCTGTACGTGAAAGTAGTGGTATGCTGAAATAGTCTAAAAAAAATTGCAACGGGGCTTGGCGAACTAAGCCGCTACAGACAGCTAGATATTACAGATCTCCAGACAAAGTTTAAAACACTATAACTCCAACCCACATTCATAAACTCATATCGTTTCAACACCTATTACAGGTACATATGTATGTATGAATTATACTTTTCCCTATAGATCGTCAAAAATTCGAAACTTTTAACATGCCGGGTATTTTGTGGTCGAGATTCCGAAAGTTATTACTTGATTCGATCTTCTTTCAGTTGGGTTATCAGTTGTTGTCGAGATTTCAAATTCGCGGCATCAGCATCCCAGGCAGTACTTTCAGTCAGTTCCTGCTCGTCGATCGATGTAAACCTGAAGTACCGTTAGTCAGTACCGTGTGCCGTTAAGAAGCTTTCGTGTCATCGATAGCGATAATTACGCGCGTGTGGGCGTGGGCGAGCAGTATATTCGTCGGTGCTGGGAGGTGTGTGCAAAAAAGACTAAATTCCGAAAGGAATTCGAACATCTCAGGTCTAAATCTCCCATATCTATATAGTACACGCCAGTTCACGGTGTGCCCGCGTGTTTAGAAAACGCAAAACAAAACGGAAATCAAAAAGGAAGGAAAACAGAATGAAGAAATATAGTTGTATATAGAAGAAATTAAATGAAACAGCACGTACGCTGTCTCGTAATCAATGATTACGCCTACAAAAAGTATATAGTACTAGCCGATCGATTAGCTGGGGGAAACTAGTTGAATCTTTCAGTAATCTTCGAGGGGTTCCAGCAGTCGCTTAGGTAAACCAGGGAATCTACGAGGTGCAACGTTTAATCATCATACAATCTAATAATATTTTTTAATGGTTTCAAGGTTCATAAAAGTATTTTGAAACCTTATTTCGCGCCATTCGGTTTCTGTTGCTCCTTTATTTGGGAAAAATACAATTGTTTGAGCTCATTAAAATGCCAAGTTCAAAGGCATCAAACGCGGCGCGTCTAAACAAACAACCCGTAAAATAATTCAACTGAAGGATTAATGTGAGAACACATTGTTGGAGTTTTTGTTTCTATTGCCGTTCAATTGAGTGAACTTTGCGTTCGATTGAGCGCAATTGATTAACAGATTAATAAGACAGCAAGAGCGCAAGATGCTCTCCATGATAATTAGTTTGTTGTTTCGATTCTAGAAAATGCACGGAGATGGAGAACTCAGCATAACTGCAAATCGTATTATCAACTGGAAACATTAATGTTTTAGTACGGGTCTTGAGTAATTAGTTCAAGGTTATCGCCAGAATTAGCACCTAAAAAACGGGGCAGCAAACAAAACGTAAAAAGTCATAACAATAACACAATAAACATGTTCTTGAACCTAAAAATCCGAATCGGAAAAGTGTTGATTATCAAATTGAGTGTAATTGACTCGTTTAATTGAGTGAGTGTCTGCCACGAGAAGCTGGGGATTTCTGTTTGTGTTTTCTTCATGTTTGGATTATCTCAAATGTGCCGACAGAAAACAAAAAAGCCAAACGAAAACATAAAAGTTTCATACAATAAATGACAGGCCCCCAGACCCAATTGATAAAGCTTTGAAGGTTATTAAAATAATTATAGAAAAAAGTAATTGGAGCAAACTAAAATATATATTATATTCAGTTCTCAAGCTAAATACACTCTAAAATATTAAATTTATAACAAATTACTGAAAATAAAAAAATGTTTATCAAAATGTATAAAAAGATACGAAGATAATTATCGAATGCAATTCTTCTGTTTTTATACTTTTAAGGCTAAACCTTAAGTCGAAAAAATTTTAGTTTATTATCCCGATTTAAAAATGTTGAAAGTGTCCGAAGAGAGTGATCACCGCAGACTTAGTAATTGGTTAAACGTGAGCGACATGAATGGAACAATTCACCTGACCAAGGATATGGAGTTCAATGATGGCCATCGATTGTCCATCACAGTCTACAGGTGAGTGGAACACTGACAAATACACCCTACCCATTTTATAACTTGGTTAAAGAGATCTACTCCCACATTTTCATACGAATATTATTCAGATCTTACAAATGATCAACTTTGGCTTCTACTATCTGTAACATTTAGCTTAGTTTTAGTTTAAATTAAACAATCGGTGCGCAGGTGTGGGTGTCGCTGCTTGGATCGTTCATTTTTTTATAAATACTAAGATGAACTGGGGTCATCAGTTCCGGTTTCTCCTCCGCTGTCTGGCTTGCTGTCTGAGATTCAATCATTTTCACTTGGAATTTGAACTTCGCGGTTCATTGCAGGGTTCACTTTTTCAGAATGCCTGAGATTTGATTAGTCGATTGAGAGAGTCGCACTGTTAGCCAAGGCATAGAAAGTGTTTCATATAGCTAAGAATTAAATGGGGGTAATTACTTAACTTTTCTATTTATTAGTAGGTATATCTTTCAAACTAGTCTGTCTGTATAAGAAACTATTGTTTTTTATGATGTGATTTCCTGACAAAATTAAGTTATAAGATATAGAAAGAGATTAAGCATGCAGATTCTTAAGATGCCTAAGCCAGTTTCAGTTTAACGGGTTAAAGATAAAGTCTTAGGTAAAGATAAAGATGAGAATAGCAATCTCATATCTTACATCTTTTACAATCTTATCATGAGAAGCTTTAAAAAATCGTAATTCTTATTAATGTGATTAAGTTCTTGAATGGTCTACATAATGGGTAATTCCGAGGTGAGTAACTGATTCTCTGTGTGATTTACAGTGATAGTTAAAGGACATAAATTGTATTAACTCAAAGCGTAGATTCTACATCTGATATCCAAGCGACGATTCATTGGTTTCATTCGCCCAACGGGTTTACCTTTCCTAACTGCACTTCGCTGACCCACTTTTCGAGCACACGGCACCCACGCAGACACCCACCTTCGGGAAAACTTCTTTAATTTCCCACTCACCAATTTAATCGCTTCCTAACCATCACCACCATCCACCTCCCCCTCCTCCATCGCCCTGTATTTCATGTGTCTTTCATTTGGATCAGCATACTGTTTGTGATCTCAACAATTGGCAACAGTACCGTGCTTTATCTGCTGACCAAGCGGCGACTGCGCGGTCCCTTGCGGATTGATATCATGCTAATGCATCTGGCCATCGCCGATCTAATGGTGACGCTGCTCCTTATGCCGATGGAGATCGTGTGGGCCTGGACGGTGCAGTGGCTCTCCACGGATCTGATGTGCCGCCTGATGAGCTTCTTTCGCGTCTTCGGGTTGTACTTGTCCAGCTACGTGATGGTTTGCATATCGCTAGACAGGTGAGTCCGCAGCTCCGTTGACTGTCGCTAATGGACCAAATTGATAGCCAGATAAGGTGGCTCAAAGTGTCAATCGATGGCTGACGGCTTTCTCACCACCTGGTTCCTTCCTCTTGTCTCCATCAGATACTTTGCCATACTGAAGCCGCTCAAGCGGTCCTACAATCGGGGACGCATCATGTTGGCCTGTGCCTGGCTGGGCTCTGTCGTGTGCAGCATCCCCCAGGTGAGTTTTCTTGGTCAGATCAGTAATAGACTCATATGAAAAGGTTCCAATATACTCGTACTTCAAAAAGCTCTATTTCTGAATCAAAGAAGATCTTTAACGAATTTTTTAATTGATTTGCAATTATTTGTACAAAACTTAGGAATGATAATTGATATTTTATCAGCATTGTTATATGCATAAAAAAAGTATTATTGGCCCATTGAAGTTTCATTCTTTCGTTCATTAATTCCAAATTACACAACATTTTTTTTTAAAGTGCATTTGAAAGACAACATAATTAACATGCGTCTCCGGCAGGCCATTCTCTTCCACCTGGAGGAGCATCCCACCGTCAAAGGCTACTTCCAATGCGTCATCTTCCACTCGTTCAGGAGCGACTTTGACGAAAAGTTGTATCAGGCTGCCTCGATGTTCAGCATGTATGCCTTTCCCCTGATCATGTTCATCTACTGCTATGGCGCCATATACCTAGAGATCTATCGGAAGAGCAAACGCGTCCTAAAGGACGTGATCGCTGAGCGTTTTCGGCGCTCCAACGACGATGTCCTTAGCAGGGCTAAGAAACGCACCCTCAAGATGACCATATCCATAGTGATTGTGTTCATCATTTGCTGGACGCCGTACTACACCATCTCCATCTGGTACTGGCTGGACAAGCACTCCGCGGACAAGATCAATCCCCTGGTCCGCAAGGCGTTGTTCGTCTTCGCCTCGACTAACTCTTGTATGAATCCGTTGGTATACGGGCTCTACAACATTCGCGGGCGGATGAACAACAATAATCCGGTGGGTTTATATCTATATGGAATGACATATCTAACATATCTTAAACTGAGCCAATTTTACAAGTTAATTTGCAAACTTTTGAAGGCAAAATTAGCAATGAATTAAAAACTACCTAAAAAGGTTCAATACTCACTTTCTAGTACTCTCCTCTTTGCAGTCTGTGAACAACAGGCACACATCCCTGTCCAACCGCCTGGACTCCTCCAATCAGCTGATGCAGAAGCAGCTGACCAACAATTCTCTCATCAACGGACGTGGCCAAGTGATAGCTGCTGCTGTGGCAGCCACCACAAAGTTGGCCAATGTTGTCAGCCTGAAGGGCACTGCCAATTCCAATGGTTCTGCTGCAGCCGTGGGAAATGGTGATGCTATTATTCCCCCATCTCCGCCTTTGACAGTATCCATCGCTCCGCTGGCCAGTGATGATGAGTCCAAAGATGATTCCAGCGTCAGTGCCGTCACTATCAGGTGCCAGGATCAATCCAGGTCCCGCCAGAAGTAATTTCGGTCTCTACACCCTTTCCTACCTTCTTGTCACCCTAAAATATTCATGCTCATTCTCGTTCTTTGCTAAAATGATTTATTGTGCTCTACAGATTCACTTTCCATTTTTGAGTTTGGTCATAAAAACTTGGGTTTTATGTTGTGGTTAAAAGTTTTACTTTAGCATAAGGCTATGTATACTAATATTCATGATTTTAAACAAGTAACCTAAAATTCCTTTAACATCTTTATGTATTCCATTCATACACTGAAAGTCATTTTAGTTCCTTTTTCAAATTTTTATCTGCAAGCAGTAGGCGAGTCTTATTGTTTTTGAGCCCTGCAAGTTACGTAATAGCCTTAAAGAGGCTCTCTCTCCAAATGAAACCTATCTGAAATTGCCAACTTTATCAAGCCCTAGACCATGTGGGTTAATGGAGGATTACATAACTGCAATGCATCCAAAAGATCATCCACACCCAAAGATCCACTCAAAAAGCCATTCCCCAACCGCACTTCATTTTATGTCAACTCATCGGAGCACCAAGAAGAGCCAAGTCTAAACAAATATATATATATATGTAATTTCAGTGGTGGCGACTCCATCGAAATGACCAGTGTGGTTAAGTAAACAATATCAAATAGAGCTCCGAGAGCAACTGGATGAATTAGGCGATCTGCTACTGTTCATCTGGAGGAGAAGTCGGCTTGGAACAAAGGGCATTTAATTTGCTAACCAGCTTAGTTTGGAATTTGCATCATAAATTCTTTTGGCATTTGCATTTAGCTAGATACAAATTAAAATGTTTTCAAGACAACAAACGCCAAAGCAGGAAAGAAACTTCGTTTCGTTTTTGGGCCATCAAATGTTTGGAAAACAAAGCTGACGCTTAGGAAATACGCTTAAGATGTAATACCGCTTACTATTAGATATACTCTAGTTAGTCAGATTATTGCTTAATTTAAAATAATTTATTCATAACAAATAATTATAAACGAAGTCGGAATAAAAATATGTTCAAAAATTGTAAAAAAAAACATCAAAACAGCCACTCGAATTTCTGATCTTCAGCCCTATGAAAGGCCGAAAATGTCGCTTTATTTGTGTTCAAACTTTTGTTAACTTGGCGTTAATCACATGGTTTATGGTCGAGCCCTGTAAGTTAATTATACACTCGTGTCTCTTAAATATTTATTGAATAATTTAGTTTGGGTATGCGGATAAACCAGTTTTACTTTTGGATAAGATAGTGAATTGACCTTTAACTACGTTTAATTATATTGTTAACGGAAGGAAGGAGTTCTGCTGGACTTTATTGCTGAAAATCAAGTTTTGAGGACCTGTTAACACTAAAGGTGGAAATATGTAACTTGTGTTAAATGGGTTTCCTTTTAAAACCTTTAATTAGATAAGAGTTCCTTATCCTGCAATGACTCAGATTTATAGTTTTTATTCACTGAAAGTCTTTAAGTCGCTATAAAATCGAATTATCACCTTCAGTAATAATATAAAATTGTTTCTACCCCTTAGCCCTTCTCCTATTTGCCATTTCCCAGGAAGCTTGACCAACTTTCTTGTCTCTTGGCCAGTTAACTTCAATCAGCCATATCCCATCCACGCCCACACATTGCCCAGGTGCACGGCATCTGGCCTGGTCGGCGTTATTGGCTCATGCCAGGTAACCCAATTAACCGGCAAACACATAAAATGACAATATTTTTTAATGCAATTGAGTGCCCAACATAGATACCCCCGCCCAGTCGCCGAGTTAGAAAGTGGCTCACTTTCGTTACACTGTGCAACAAAGTCACGTTCGCCGAAGAAAACACTCATCGATCCACATAAAGAGCAGGAAGAATGCGTGTAATCGAATCTTGAAGACCGAAAAATAAACATGTTAATAATACAATTTTATGATTAATACGAAATGAACTGCAACTGTGGGAAAGGCGGGGAGCTTGGACGGAGGAGATGGAATGATATTGCTGTTGGTTGTGCCGTCAAAAAGTGCGTGGGACGTCTTACCTCGTAACCACTGAAGATGCTGGGAACAAGCGAACATCTTGAGGAGGATTCATTCGGTTGATGAGGAGTGGAGGAGGTGCGGGTGCGGGGCCAGCAAGGCTTGTTTATAAATCACGCACATAATGAAATTTCAGCAAGTGGTCGCCGCTGTCCGAAAAGCGGAAAAATATGCAGCGTTGATGTGGGATAGCATCTCGGGGTGTGTCCGCAAGCCCATGATATATGCACATCTGCATAATGCTCTCCGGCCAACTGTCCGCTGACATGCCGGCGACATAATGACGAACAGGTCGCAGCACTGCGACACCAACTCCATCCCTTGGCCACCGTACCGATGGCACTGTCGTGTTACGCATCAGTCTCGTGTCAACGAAATCTAGGGATCCCCATCCCTCCGGAACGGGAGACACTTGTACTGCATAAGTAGCCATTAATAGGTGCCATATGCATATCATTTTGGGGTCTAGCTTTTACGAGTAGTTCGGTTGTTTTAAATGCCTGCCGAGCGTGCCGTTTATTTACGATCTTCATTTCAAAAGAGCAAAAGTCTGGCACCGACTCCGTCTCCCTTTGATTTTAGGATCGCGATGGTGCCGTGGAGGAGGTTAAAAACAAGGCTGGACGCATTACCGAAAAAAGGGTTCACATGAATCCCATTTAATGGCCCTTAACAGGCCAACAATGTAAGCATGTTTTGGAATTGAATTTCAGTTTAATGGCTCAAACTGTATACTAAATTGGGGCAGCTTAAGTGGGAAACTCCCCCATTTAAACTGAGGAGTATATGAACTGTGAAAACATTCTAGGGGAAAATAATGTAAATTATGTATTGAAGGCTTTGGTAGGCTTAGCAAATTTTAGAGGACAGGTTGCAAAACGGTAAAGTAATTAAAATCAAAATAGGTTAATCCTTTATCTTACTTGATGCTTGTCTTACTTTCCCAATATATCTCTCCTCCAAGTACTATGTACATACATCCTGCTCGTGTTTTCTGAAATTTGCAATAATTTGCAATGTCTAAAGATAACCATATTGATAAAAATATATAAAACTACAATGAAATCTATCCAGGCTCATTCAATACGTCTATAATTTTAATTTCCTGTCATATTTATTGAGTGCGCAATAAATATTAGATTACGTCTTGTTAAGTTGATTTCAAATCCAAGGAAGCTATCATATCTTAAAGCCCCGTTACCACTTTGCAGTCACTTCCTCAATTATTCGCCGGCACTCTGGCCACACTGTCGATGTTTACGCAAATTTTTGCACGTGGGCGTTTCGGCTTACTCACGCATCAAATCAAAAGAAACGCAAACGAAGACAAAATGCTGCTGCTGCGGCGCAGCGTTTCTCCCAAGAGCAACAACAAGTCAACAGCTGAGAACAAAACACAAGCCGCAGAAAGGCAACAACAAGTTGTCGCTGCCGCCCCAGTCGACTGCGCCGCCGCTGCCACTGCTTCAGTCGACGCTGCGACTCGATCACTCCCTTTGCATTTTCAAATTTTCAGTTTCAGTTCGCGTTGGCACGTTGAACAAGACGGTACGTGTTCGTGGTCCTTCGATTAGTGATCACAGATTAGAGATCTATTGATCATAGATCTGTGATCACCAGGTGTTGATTATACAAATAAATCGTTATTTATCGGGATTATGCCCTAAGATCTGTGACGGTTTTTCAGTGTGCTTTTCAAATCACCAAACTTGCCATTCCGAAACCCATACAAAACACCGATCGATCCTCAAGCTGCATCCTCCATTTCCAAGGTGTCCAAGATCGCGTCGCGTTCGCCTTCTCGCCGTTAATAGCATAAAAGTGTTTTAATTTTTATTGGCACGAACGGGGCGAGTCAGTTGTGGAGCAGTTGCCGTTGCTGGAGGATCGGCGTCGCGTGTTTGCCTCCTCGATCCCATAAAATCAGCTCCACGAAATCTTCGCGTGTGTCCCCATTCCATATCCACACTTTTTACCTGGGGGATTTTGAAAAGGGTTTAAATTATCTAATGCATCCGTTTCGTTATCGATTCTTTTAGTGTGAAGAGCCTGCGATTTGTTTGATCTTTCGGTCGCCAGAAATACATACATAAGTACGCAATAAAAGTGTCTGTGCGGGTGTCCAGGAAGCGGCGGAAAAGTGTGGAAATTCTCGTAAAAATAACTCAAGTCGTTTCCATTCTAAATTGCGCGTTGACAGCCACAAGTGGCGCAAACAAGCCAACAAGAAGTAGCTGTCAGTCCCGCCGAGTAATTCACTTAGATCCACTTCTTCAGCCTCACGAGCAACGTCCTTGACCAAGAGGTAAGTGTGAAGGTTGGCCAGACCTCCGGGCTACAGGCGCTCAAGAGTGTGCTATAAATGAGCTTTGTGCGGTCAAAATCTGGGTTAGCCTGGTCATTTCGTGTAATGAGTGGGCCAAAGTGGCCAGGTGCTAAGCGCATTCCATATTTAAATGTCTGGATTTAACTTAAAAATAGAGTGACAAATGTTGAATTAGCTTGAGACATTTTTAGAATCTTTATAATCCACTATATAATAGTTTGTATTTTATATATATTTAACATTAAGATGGGATTCAACATCTGGCACAAAATAGTAGGTAAATAGAATATAATTTAAGCCAAATTGTTTAACAAAGAAGATCAATATCATTTTTAAATCCTAAAAAGAAGGAAATTAAGATACACCCTCTCAAATGAAATTTTTCATCCATCTTGATAATAACCACCTTGTTGAGAGGCCAATTTATGAATAATTTGTATAAGCTCCTCACTAGATTCCGATTCATTTCACCGCCATTTTATATCAGATGATAAATCATGCTAATTGTTGTTGTAATTCAAATACCATCGATACATATTAATTAGCCACACCCAAGACAACCGCAATCTCGCAGCCAAATCGGCCTGTGGCATCCGCAGAAAGCGAGCGACATTAATCTATGGGAGATCTTGAGATCTTATCTGCATTGGCGCCATTAATACCGCAGCCGAGTCATAATTTATTAATTACCGGACTTTCCACACATATTTAAACGACCAGATTGGGGTTTATGCCTTTGAGAGAACTATAATTATGTGATCATATAAGGTCGGAGTAAAGAATATTTGTCTCAACCAAATATGAATTGTTGTCTCAAACGGCAGCCCAGAGATTGTTAATGATGTTGACCAAATGAAGCTGGCCACATTCCCCAACAACAACGGTTTATATACTTAATTTTTATTTGGCTCGATTTCCCAATCACTTTTGCCTTGCTTTACTAAGCTACGATCTGCTCTGCTACTTTATTCCAAGCGATTCAATTAAAAGACGCCCACAGCAGAGATCCCCATAACAATTTATAACTGCCTGTTCGAGAGACATTTCTGACTTGCGGTTATTTTATTATTTGAATATTTTATTCAGAGGCAGTGGCGCTGCGGCCTGAAGGGGTATTAGAGAATAAGAGGTAGTAAACACTCTTTGGAAGATACTTTACTGATATTGGTTGGTACATAAAGTTTAGTTTAAGTATGAAATCGTTGGAGTTACCCCATTCTCTAGTTACTTTCCCTTCCCCATTGTGGTTAATTCAGATCGATTCGGTCGGGTGACAAAAAGATCTCTAAATAAATATTCAAAATTGGAGTTTTGTATTTTTGTTGGCTCTGTCCAAACATTGAGACCCCTCTGACCCATACATATGACTCTTTAGACATGGTAATACCTATCTGGCCATATATAGAGCTTCAGTTTGACATTATTAAAACATAAATAATATTGGCATTGTTGGTATTGGAATTTCCGCTTGGCAGCGAGTTATGAGTTCATAAACAAATGCAAATTAAGTGGAAAATTGTTGCACCAGCAAATTAGCGCATCGTCAGTGGAAAGCCATTCGGACGCCAATATCCGACCTTATACGGGGAATCAGGCTAACAAATTTTAATGCTTTGTATTGACTTCAGACGGAATTTGCAATTCAAATACAACTTGATCACAATAGGAGCTCTAGGGCTCTTTGTGTTGACTGTTTGGACTGGCGACTTCAAAACTAATCCAAGTCGAATGGAGACGCGACTTCGTTTTAATGGTTCATCAACATAAGTTAATGGGTTTTCGGTTTTGGCCTAATGATAGATTAAACACATTCTCAAACGATTTGACAAGATCGCTAACAAAACAAAGATGCGCCAAAATGTAGACTTTTATCCGGGCATGAAAAATATCATTTATAATCTGGCAAATGAAGACTTTTCATATTTAAATATTCTGCGAGGATATGCTAATTTTTGAGACGACTGATAGTGGGGCGTGGTCCTCAAAACACCTGACAGAAATCATTTAATTATATAGCGGCTATATACATAGCATGTTGTTCATAAAACTTGATGGCAATATAATACGATTTGGGACAGATTCTAGCCTCTGGCTAAATCTTACTAATGATTGGGAATTTATTCATCATGCATGTTTACCGCATGAATATTAAACATTAGCATTAGATTTAAGATATCCAGGACAAGATTACTCAAAACATACTTTTAGTTTTTGAATTTGGTTTCTCATACAATTTGAATCATTGTTGCTATTAAGCAACTTGGCAGGTGGCAATTACCATACCAGAAATCTCCATCACCCGAATTATAATTGACAGACCTTTCGATATTTTGAAATAGGACACCGTATAACACCTGAAAAAGCCACATTTCAAAGCTGTCAACTACTGCATATTTTGTGGAAAATAAATAGTCAAAAATTGAATTGAATGAGAAAATCGGACAAAAAGGCCAAAGCCAAGCCGAATCCAAGTCGATACAAATACAGAAATCAATAAAATGAGGACGTCAAGTGCCGCTGGAGACTATTGAACTCGACTTTGACTCCAATCTTAATCTTGACACTTTCAAAACAACGATCGAAAAATGTTTGGCCTGCGCCGGAAGTTATACAAAGTCTATTATGATGAAACCAATTTATCAGGCTGCTCGAAATCAATTCAGTTCGGCGTTTGGCTGCCTTCAATTATAGAGTGCCTGGAAAAAAATTAAACAAAGCCTGAAGAAAGTTAGCTGCAAATGAAAATCCGGCGAAGAATTTCCCTAAGTGGCTTAGCTGGGTCTTTCTCTCGATTTTTCACTCTTTTCTACGCTCGTGATGCGTAGGCGCCGGCATAGATTTTTTTTCCATGTCAAACCAGCAACTGACAGCAGGTTTGCCAGCCAGCTAGTCAGCCAACCATTCGGCGGAGTCCCAACTCGAACTGAAGTTTTTGGCTGAGCATTTAAGCGCGGCTGATTTGATTTCAGTGACACGACGCCTGCGGCGGCAGCGAAACTTGTCCTGCCCACACGCGACTGCGCCGTGCCGCTCTCTGCCGCTCAGTTGGCCGCCGCGCATGCGCAGTAGCTTCGCGAGCGTTTTTCTTTTCGTTTTAATTTTTGCGCCGTTTTAAACGCCCTGGGGGACGTGTGGACACTACGGTTGCATGCTGGCGCGATCGGGAAAAAGAGTCAAAATATTTGAATTTCTAATGCCATGCGAGGGCCGACTTAAGAGTGTATCATTGAATCATCCAATGGCTTAAAAATAATTGAGCTGTTAGGTCTTGCGATTTTGAAGGCGTCCACAAGTAGATTATTTGCTTATTCACCTGGATTTTCCATCTTCCATCCGATTAAAATCAGTTTAAACTGGCGAACTAGTAAATAAAAATCGGAATGAGCTTTTTTGTTTATTTGACAAGTAAATTCTGAATTCTGAAACGCAATTGAAACTAAAATGAAGTCAGCAAAACAAGTTTGCTAAATGTCTTTCCAAATAAATACTTCTCCTTTTTTGGCATTGCTTTAAGAATGAAGTATCGAATTGCAGAAAACAGACATAACTTTATATATACTTATCATTAGATATAGATAGATATTTCGATAATTTCAAGGTAGCTAACCACGACGTTTGATTTTTTGCTTTACCTGATAATTAAAGTAACTTATTTTTGCAACTGTCGTTTACCTTTCCCTATGCAATTAGCTCTTGTTATCAAAGGCTGCCAAAGTATTGTTATAAGCCTTTAGTTTCGAATAGCAAAGTATGGAATTTTAGATTTATTCAAATATTTATTTAACCACTTTTCTCGTTCCCCTTTTCTTGTCTAGTCTGTATACCTAGATCAACCCTCGTTGGCAACTGGCTACCCAGGGTTCTCGTTTCCCTTTCGCCGGCTTCTCTGGCCAGCCATTTAATCTGATGAAAATGACTTTTCCGATAAGCATCAAATTTCCTTTGATGATAGACCAGAAACGCCTTTGTCACTGACATGGCAGTCGTTTGCCGGTGACGCTAAACTTGTTCAATCGGTTTAGATCAGTCAGTGGTCTAGCCCGGCTAGTGGGTGAAGATTCCAATCCCGATCTCGATCCCATCCCAAAGCCCCTTAGCCATGCAACCCTTCTCAGTTGCGGTTTTGGTTGCCGGTTGATCGCTCTGCGGCTTCCGTGTGCATTTGCCTTTGCTTAATTAAATGTCAATCAATGTACTCGTCGGTTTATGGAGACGGACTTTGTTTCTGATTTGTCCGCTTTATTAAGTAGATGTGGCGTCGTCTTCACGATGCTGACGATGCGGCTGATGTTGATGTTGACTCTGTGGCGTCTCCATGGCGGGATTCTGTTTTTGGGGCCTCGAGTTGACGACTGCGTGGGCGCTGGACAAAGATATATGCTCGGCCCAAGCATGATCTATACCGAACCAAAGGCATTAAAAAGTATTTAATAAATTTCAGGCCTGAGGATTATGTGTTTAGGTGTACATTTGGAGGTGTTTCCACTTCTGATTTTGGTTTTTCTTTATGTTCGAGGCGGATTACTCGGTTGACATTTGGTGGGAAATGTTCTTCGATTCGGTAGCCAGCGGCCAACTTAACTGGGTATTAATAAACGTTTCAATGAACACTTGGCACAGATCTCTGGCATTACGCTTGGGTTAAGTTCTTGATAACCTTTCACAGAATTTGAAATGGGTGATGCCTTTAGAACTATCGGTAGAGATTTTATATAAGTCTGGGAGGATCTATTGAAATCTGGTTAAGGATTTTTGTTTACTCTGCCGTAGATAAATTATATTTTCAACTGAAAGAAGATTTATTTGCATGATTATGTGGGGAACTCTCTTATACCCTAAGGAATCTCTGAAAGAAGTTTGTGTTTATAAGCGGTTTGAGTTGGAAAAGGTGGTAAATCTTCACTTTTCTAACTTCCTTATGGCGCCTTCTACATATATAGCTGCCTAATCTAAATCCCAGTACTAAAGCACTCTCCGATACCATCTGTCGAATGGAAAATAAAAACCCTAAAATACTTTCGAATGCTTTCAGCTAAAGTATGTTTTCCAAGTGATCTGCCACCGTTTCTCCCAGTTTTATTACTTGGAGAGACCCATGCTCTGGTAATTGCGATTACACCCATAAACGGAACAGATCCTACAGCTTGTGTCCACTTGTGACTCAGTGACATTGTAGCCAAGAGAACGAGAAGTCAACAACAGCAATAACGACTGCCACTATAAATCCATAACTGTCAGTCAACATTTTGGACCAGTATCGGAGAAGTTGTCGTCGTGTCGTGTATGGCCAGAACACCATTTGCTTTTGGCCTGGCTCTGACTGTGAGTCTCATCGTCGACCGTTACCACATTCCTGGGGCACCTTCGGGCCAAAGCCAACAACCCAGCCATCTCGGCCACATTTCTTGTGTTTATTTAACCATGAAAGTTGTGTAATGGCTGGGAGTTAGGTGGAGGATCAACTCCGGGGCCAGCCTGGAAATCTCTATCAATTGGATTTGTGTGTTATTCAGTTTATGGCGCTTCTTGACATTTGTGGCTGCTCAAGTGATGAGCCAAATGCCTAATTGCAACTGGGTATTTCGGGGGATAGGTAGGTGGTAAATAGATCCTCGACCCATTTTCCAATTCGTTTTACGACTAACGTTTGTTTCAAGACCAATCAAACTTATTTCCACAAACAGGTTCTTTCTACATCCAATTTAGTTTCTCTGATCGTTAAAGGCGGAATTTATGATCAGTAAAGGAGGTTCTACTGCACTCCCTTTCTTAGTTAGATTTATGAGAATCAAAGAAGAAGTTTTTAATGGTGTTTTATAAAGAAAGCAGATGGAATTAAATAGTTTATAATCATTTTACCAAGTTTTTAAAATCATAAATTTGATTACGTAATGGCTATTATAGCTTCCTTCCAAGAAATGTTTCCAAAATTCATCACCTCTTGGGTTGCCATCAACTTTTCCGCGGAACTTCCGCTGGGAAAGCACCTGAAAACACAGCCGGGAAAATACAAATCCGAGCACCAACATTAAATAAACATTTATTTAAGTTAAAGGAGGCATGCGAGAAAGAATGATTGCAAATATCCAACATAAATCTCAGGAAGCTCAAAGAATCCACAATGGGCACACGAGAAAATTACAACAAGAAATATAAAACTTAAGCTCCGGAATGCTTTATGATGATGACGCCCACAGATGGCCAAAGAGATGAGAGATCTAAGAGGGGAACTATACAAATATATTTAAGCAGCTATATCTAGGTGGTGATGATACCCGACCAAGTACTTCCGGAGAAGTGGGGTGCATCAAGAGTTGAAGGAAGGAGGAGACATGCTGCCCAGCAGCTTGTTAAAAATTTCAAAAATGCTGCAAAATATTTATCGATCGCTCTCCTTCTGTAGTCTGCCATGGCTAATACTTTTCTAGCTAAACAACTTTAATTTGAATTTTATTTATTATTTTATGCGATTTTATTTTATGCCCCTCCATGCCTTGCCTTTCGCTGGGCGTTTTATTTTTAAACGTAAATAAACAACCACCGGCTGAGGACCGAGATCTTATTTTCCCCGCTTTATCGTTTCATTTTCTTTTATTTATATTTCAGCGGACGGAAAGATTTTGGAGTGAGGAGCCGGCATCCCCTCCGCCCCGTATTACCGCCCTCCCGACCCTTCGAAAAAGCACAGAAGACAACACCAACAACTGCCACGATGAATTGGACGCGCGTGCTGCTAATCGGGTTGACCGCCTTGGCGCTGACATTTGTGGAGGTTGCATCACTCTCACTCGATCCAGGTAGGTGCAAACATCCACCCCGCCATCTCCGCTCTTTGCATTCCAGCCAACTCTTTTTTTCGAATGCACTTAAAGAAAACACACTGTGATAGACCATCTTACCTTAATGTTTGTTATCTTGGGGTATTACTGTATTAACATCAAGTCAAACTGTAATGAAATCATTTAGTATAAAAAGATCTTTTCTTTTACACTTTGCATAAAACAAACTTTTAGTTGCCAATCTAACAGCTTTAATTGACGTTATTCACACGATTTTGATTGACAATAGAAGATTTGATTTATAGTGAATAGATTTATAGTAAATGGAATAGATTTATAGTAAATGTACAGTGTATGGATAGCTAAGCTTACCAACTGCAACGGCTCCATCGACAATGTTTGCCGAGAAACGCCCGAAAGGCATACTTTTGGTTAACAACTTGGCGATTTATGTAAATCTCGGACTGAAATCCCAATGCAAACGTCGCCAGCTGTCAGTCGGGTCACTGGTTGTTGAGTTGGTGACCTCCTGGGTCCGTAGATGGTGATATTACAGCCCGATCACGAGCCGTGGGCCCTGGCCAGACCATCTTGCGAGTGGAAATCGCGACTTTTATGCCCATGTGTCCCGGTGTTCATGTCCATGTCCATTTCCATATCCATGTCGTGAAGGTCACCTGGCATGAGCCTGTCAAAAGTTGGTCGCTGCCAGCATGACAAATAGCCGACCAAATGCGTGAAATTCTATATAGAGTTGTCTTGATGGATTCCTTTGCCCCACGGGCAAGCAGTTGTTCATTTCTTTGGGATTGTGCAAATACGGCTCATGGATTTATTTGGGTTAACACGGCCCGCAGTATTAGAGGCAATCTCTTTGGGTGACCAAAACAAATAGTTCCATGTTCCGTGTCCGAGGTGTGGTAATCTCTGGCAGGCGAAATAACCGATTGCCAATGTTTGTGGGCAAATAGAGCAAGTGGCTAAGACTCGGTTTGCCTGAAGAGATTAACCAACATGACCCGATGATGATTTGGGCTTTATCTCTGTTTGTATTCGGTTGTTTATTTGGTAATCAATATGTGTGGCAACGGCAGAACGGAAGTTGTTCTTAACAGTTTCAAAATTGATCACCGAAAACTGAACGAGATAAGGCACGGAATTTTTAGGGTTTAACTTTGAGTAAAATGTAAATGCAGAAAATATTTAATAACTTTGTATACTAAAGCCCTTATACCTTATTAATTCTATCACCTAATTAAAATAATAAAAATTTTTATCTTATATTTTTCCTAAACAGTTGCCTCTGCTGAACTGGAACAGTTTATCCGAAAGGGAGATGTTGTCATATCAACGCGCCACATACGGTAAGAATTACATAGCAAACCCACCGACTGACTACTGATCCTTGCCACCTTGCCACATAGACCTCGTCGAAAGCTGCATATATCCATAGAAGCCCTCTTCATGATCGACTTTCCCATGCTGAAGCACAAGATGTCCTTCTTCCTGGACCGCAAACAGCAGCGGGTAACCCTGGACATCAGTGCGAATGGTATTACCGAGTCCAGGAACTTCGAGATCCCCAACATCAACGAAACGAGCACCATCCGATCGCTGGCGCTGCAGTTCTCCAAGAATCGCATTACGCTCCATGTGGACTGCAAGCCGAGCACGCATCACGACATTGACATGAACCTGGCCAAGTTGTACACCCAGATGGACGATCCGGTGATCAAGTTGGTGAGTGGATGGACTTCAGTCGCAAGTGGGATTGAAAATGAGTGAACAAATTCTTTGACAGTTCCGTGAGCGCAAGTATCCCCTCCACTTTGACGGGGACATGGAGCACTCCCTCCAGAGGGCCAACTGCCAGAAGGGCATGCACCGGCGGGGCAATCGCCGCATGCTGCGCAACAAGATCACTGAGCGTGGTGAGTTATCCCAGAAAGTTCTTACCTTATTTTCTCTAGTTTATAATAATATCTAAACTCGTATTTTTTTCTCCGTGTATCAATCGTTGCAGAGAAGAACAAGAAGCGCGACGTACGCGGCTTTTATGAGCCAACGATCGCCCGAGAAGGAGCTGTGGACCACAGGCACGAGGAGGTACCGACTAACGTGGAGCGCGGCGACATTCCCATTCTGAACGGCGATTGCGAAGGTAGGTTGCCCAGCCACCCATCTGCTCCTTAGTCGGTTATCAACTGTCAGTCGGTAGTCTCGCGGCAGTCAACGGATCTTGGCCCAAAGGCGTGGCCACCATCCAAAACGAGGGCTTCCTACGGCTCCGAGGGTTGGGCTGGTGCTAGATTAGATGCTAGTTTTGATGAAATTATTTGGCTTTTGTCAGTTGGCGTTTATGTCACTCGCGGAACATAATTCAATTAAGCGAATGTTGTGGAGCAACCTGAAATGGGGTATGTGTGTGTGTGGGTTGGGGAACTGATTCAGGGGATTGGTGCACCGAGTGGGGGCTTGAGATTTCAATGGCATGTGCAAGTGAATGAACGAGGCCTTGAAAAGCAGTGAAGGCATTCTCAGATTCCAGCGTTTCGAATATTATATCAGATCAGTAAGTAGTTCTATAAGTAAATAGTATCTCAACTATGGCTTCTCCATTTTATATTAATTGTTTTGAATATGAAGAGGGAAACTATCTGTCAAGATAAAAGCATAAACTTTGATTGATTACTTTCAAGGGGTTCTCTATAAGGCCAAGAATATGTGGGATGTCAAACCAGAACGCAAATAGTTTAGATCTAGAAATCTACAAGTATCAAGAACACAAATCGGAAGTATTTCCTTATAAGCATGGCTTAAACATTTAACCAGTTTAAAGGTTAATACCCCTGTAACACCACTCTCGATTACCAATTTGCCTGTCCTTGAGCATTGTGATCTTCATTAGGTCGCCAACTCGTAAAGTATCTTCGCTAATGCCTTATAAATCTGGCAAGCAATTAATAACAACCCATACAGTATCTATGCCTCTGCAATATAGCCATAAGTACCCTCATCGATGTCACTGCCTTGGCCAATAAGTCGCCGCTAAGTTTTCATAGGAAAAGGGTAATATTTGGCGAGGATCGGGGCTTACCAGGCGCCCACAGAGCCACAACACTAATGAACGCCGAGATATGACAAAGCCGTGCATAAGCTGTGCACTCGTTTTTCGAGCTTTGCCTGGTGTCGAGCCGGCATAATTATTATTTATCTGGCTCGGAGGAAAGACACCAAATTGGTAGCCAGCTCCGATCTGTACCCACACAATCTACACAGAGACATGCGGACTCAATAGTACATTGAAGAAAATTTCATGTTTACAAGTTGATTTTTCTTTTGTGGTTCTTTTAGTGAATTTTAAAGTGAAATTTATATTTAAAATATCTAACTATGAGAAGAAGAAGCTGTTTCTTTTCCTATTTACTACTTAAAAACAGTTTATAGTAATTAGCATTAGCTTCATTTGCCAAACGAAAGCCTTTATTCTCTGAGTGCCGTTGACATGAGCACGGGGCGGCATATAAATCGCAAAGGCAAAGGCAACGACAACGGCAAATCGTAATGAATGAATTACGTGGCCACGCCGCCGACGAACCAGATAGAAGCGAAGGTTGCCAAATGTAACCAAAACGAGATCGAGATTGCTGGGGCCCGAGATGGAGGACCCGAGATGGAAGAGCGGACCAGAACGAGAGGCCTCCGTACCAAGTCGGAACGGATGCGTTTGGGCGTTGAGGCGGCGGCGTTTTCAATGTTGACAAAACTCATTCAGGCACTCAGCTTGGTAAACCTGGTGGACAAAGTCAGACAGATGTGCCCAGAGAACCGAGCACTATGTTGAACTAGTTTAGTTGTTGCCATGTGTCTTACATGCTGTTGTACAAGTTAAGGGGCCTAGAGATGACAGATCTATAAGCGATATATCGCTATTTGCAAGGATATTGCCATATCAGGAAATTCAAGTCTAGAAAAGACAAAAACTCTTCTTATAATTTTCGGTTTCTCTATTTAGATAGATAAAGTTAATATAATCCATGACCGACCTATTGGTCATTCTCATTTCCTGCCTCAGAATCTCACCAACATTAGTCATATGCATAAATAATTAAATAAAAAACAATATTATGGCACAAAGCCAACCCACTCAGAAAGTATGCATATATTTAGTACCCGAATTATGCCATTTCCTCCAATTAATCAGCACAGTGACTCATCTCTAGGGATTCAAGAGAGAGAGAGGGACCAACCAAATCGGAGTTGGTGGCTCGGCTTTGTTGTTCCATTGCATTAGGCTGCACTAAAACGCCGAACGCATTAGCAGCTGTTCGAAATCCTGGATCCATTGGAGCGACAAAGCGGATTAGGTTGCAATCAGAGGGTCCGGGTCCCACTCTCCTCTCCGAACGTTGAAATGAGTGCGATTTTTGCATCGGTTAGACCTTAATCTTGTCAGACGCTTGAACGCTTCCCACACACATTCGCCAGCTTTTGTTAGGGTGTGGAGGGTGTTCGTGAATTATTGTTGCTTTATTTAAAGTCCCGACTGAACCCGACTTATCTCAACTGTAACTCTGTAACTATGTATGTAACTCTGTATTGTTCCAAACAGACGCCCTCGCACGCTCAATGAGCGATTTACTGGCATTGGTGAAGCTGCTACGCGAAGACGTCGCCCACCAGCGCCAGGAGATTGCCTACCTGCGAATGCTCTTGGAGAACTGTGCCGGCTGCAAGAACCCCATCAACAGCGACAACCAACTACGCATCGAGCCCGACTGCCGTTCCGCCAATCCTTGTTATCCTGGTAAGTGAAATTGGCCAAAACGGAGGAGATTAGGTTAAAAGTTAACATAAAAGGCAAAGTTTTTGGCCTTAATTTAATAATGATTTTATACATTTTATCACAATATATAGTTATTTTAAATTAAACAACTTACTGATCTTGTATAACTATTTTCCAGGAGTGGAGTGCCTGGACTCAGCGGTCGGTCCCAGGTGTGGCCATTGTCCCCTTGGCTTCATTGGCGATGGCAAGACCTGCAAACCAGGCGTTACCTGCGCCCACCACATGTGCTATCCGTAAGTCTGTCCTGCATCCTTGTGTCTTGTACCATAGTTACATACTCCTATATCCCTGTGCGTGTGCCCTTCGTGCGCTTGTGCGATGAAAATTAACGCGGCTTGTGGAGTTTTTAATGGCGTCAAGGGCGTGGCCATCGCATCCATGTTAATTGTATTTGTCATGCTGGGACTCCAAGGGCTTGAAAAGCGCCGCCATCCCAAAGACTTCTCCCTGTCCTGACTGTGCAATTATTTGCATTTGGGCTTAATGGCAATTTGATGTTGTTTATGGTTTGATGATCTGGTCAAACAACAACCCAGCGCCTCCTTGACAGGCTCCCAAGCTCCTTGGAACCATCCATATGCATATCTCTATCTCTGATTGATAAGCACGTGATGGCCATTGAGAAGAGGACACATTTAGGCCTTTATTTACTCTGGGAATTCTACGAATAAACGAGAGTAAGGAGTCCATGGACATAAGCTGGTTACCCAGAACAGACTAAGTGGATTGGGCTTAATGGCTGTGAGTCATGTGAGAGGAGGGATTGTGGAACCTGTTTTCTCACCTCTACCCATCTGATAAGCTTTGTAGATCGTAGATATGTCAATTCGAATGCGAAGACTTCCTAATCCCCTCTTACACTGTAAGATTTTCCATTTCTTACGCATTATCAAGTCAGCATAATCGAGCTTCGGGCTTAGATAAATATTCAAACGGCCTTTCAGAAAGGGATTTATCTATCGAATGATCTTTTTGATCTGTTTAAGATTGTTAATGAGGTCAGGCACTAGATTGGAAATAGAAATTTGGTCACCTGAACTTAAATTCATAACTCGATCGCCTGCTGATATGATGGGCAAGGGAACCTTTCTCTGAAAAAGACATCACAAACCACCCACAGCCCATATCAAGTTGTCATTTTGGAACCGGAAGAGCTTGTCACAATCGAAAATCAATAAAGTGGTAAATATTGTTCTGGCGCTGGTTATCAAGTTGCTGCCAAATTTGTGTCAAACTCAACTAATTATGCAAAAGACCCACAGCACTGCCGGGGACCCTAATAAAAACATTATTTCGGCCAGATTCCCCACCTGCAACCAGTCATAAATATGTTAAACAAAACTATAACAAGTTATGCGATGTAACGGAGCTGGAACTGGGCAAGAATATATTGTTGGACAAAATGCAACAAAACCCTTGGCCGCCCTACACAAACCAAAGCTGTGAGGTCTGGACCACAAATGGCACTTGAAGCAGCCGCATAAATTAGTTAAATGTGAGCCAGAATAAAGAACCCGCACCCAGTTCAGCATAACCCGGAGTCGATTCTGAGGACTGACTGACTTCATTGTGTCAAGATACTTAAAGTGATTTCTGTTATTCTTTCCCCTGACCAGTCACCCCAAGAAAGCGCCGATCCTCTCCAGGCCACGCGCATAGAAGCCATAAATTTGAGTAAATTATTGGTAAGAGCCGGGCTTTCTGGGCCCACTAAGAACTGTGTGTGTTGTAGGTGTCTAGGGATCGCTTCGGTTTGTTTACTTTCAGTTTACCTTTGGTTGCGGGCAAGGTGCGCCCCTGGCTGACCGTATTTTAATTTGCATAAAATTGCCTTAAATGTTGTCACGACGCCGACTCGTTACTGTCATCTTTCATTATCGATGAAATGTGGTCAATGTGTGTGGTAGGCCCAAAACCGACAACCAAAACTCCAATCCCGCTGCCCAGGGACCCAATCATTTTAATTTAGAACCCACCAAATGTCATCTCAACTTGGTCATCGCTTTGTTTATTTTCACTTTGATTCGGACTCTCATTCTTTAGGGCTCTTTCAAAGACTATCGATTCTATTAAAGGGCCGTAAAACTTGTGCTAATGACATGCACACCTGTTGATCCTTTGTTGTTGCAGCTATCGTGTGTGTTTTATGGCGGTATTATATAGGTCCTATTGACTAGGGTTGTATAATGGATTTGGACATGAAGGGCTTGGTTCTTAAGGTCAAAATAAGGCTCTACAAAGATTTGAAGATGTTTCCATGAGTTTTCAGTTTCAGTTGCAATTTCAGGGAGATATTTTTATAACCCATTCTTCCTGATCACTTTTTATCCCTGCTACTCTTTTTGTCTTAAACCAATATCTGTGTGCTCATTTCGTGCTCGCCCAGCACTTTCCATTTCCCAAGGTACGATCTCAGGTGGTGCTGACCTGACCACCTGAAAACCCAATCATAACTTAGCCCCAGGCCGTTGACAGTCGGGCGCCTTCGCCCAGAAAGTTTTCACTGCGCACACTTCTGTTGTTCAATTTAAATTATGCATTTGACGAAATAATCATCAGTGCAATCAAGCTGCAGTCACCGAACCTTGGGAGATAGTATTACCATCTAGAGATCGGAGATACAGATTTGGAGTGTGATTCCTAGGCCGATGGCAGCTGCAACATGTGTACGAGCATGTTAGACAATTCCAGCGACAGAATTCCATTTGATTGAGAAAACTTTCCCACAGAATCTCAGTTTTCCTCCCCACAGTTTTCCTCCTCCTCCTCTGAAGGGGGCCCCACCAACAACCACCGAACACCAACAAAACGTTTACGGCCACAGGTAAAAGCAGGAAAAGCCAAGAGTGGAAGCAGCGGCTAGCTGGTTCACAGCTTCGAAACATCAAAGTTCGGTGGAACGCATATCTCAGTGTGAATCAAGTTCGCCTACGCATCGGAAAAAGTGGATCCATTGATTCCAAGTCGTCGTCGTTTTTGTTGTTACTGCGGCGCGGTTGCCGTGGCTGTTGACTCTGCTGCGGCTCTGTGGCAGCGTTTGACTGCTTGAATTCAAATTAATAGTCGACTGGCAGCGATTTCCCAGTCGGGCTTCGTTTATACACAGTCAAATTTCATGATGTTAAACTCAGGGGTCGATTTAAAATTGAAATACCTAAAGGAAGAGACACTAGAAAGTTTCCCTTAACCCAGAAGTAAAGTTATAACTTACTGACTTCAATTGCATTAACTCTTGTTTATGTTTACTATAAACTTAAGTTTTAAGGCTTCTGATATATTTTAATGCGAACTGTTAACTTAATGCCCTAATAGGTTAGTTATGTACAAACAGCCCACGTCAGAGTTTGCAATATCATATCACCGCATAAACATTTTATGACGCCGCTCGTCTTGGCAATGCGCAGGCGCAGCAATGAAAACAAAAACAAGACCGGGCCGGGCCGGGCCAAGCCAAGCCAAGTCGAGATCAGGCCCGAGCCAAAGAGCTGAAAAGCTAGAGGAGCCGGAGTCAGAGATGGAGCCACAGATGGAGCCCCAGTCAACCTCACAGATAAGTGGCCTGTGGCAAAATAAACGCCGCTTTATGGCGGTTAGCTGCAGTTTGTCCAAAGCGTGCGCCACATTCGAGGATTGGGGGATGGAGTACGTGGCACTGAAGATTGAGGATGGTTGGTGGCACTGCTTGGGTGCACTTCTCGGCCAGAAAGGGAGCTCTCCTTCGAGTGGCAGCCAAGTGTTTCTTGGCTCTCTTGTTGTTAGAGCATATTTGCATGGCATGCGCTACCATTAGAAGCCATTTGGGCGAGGTTAATGGCTGAGCGGTAAGGAAGAACTTAAGAATAGGTCTTACGTTCGATGCGAGTGGCTAATAGACCATTAAAAGAGCCAAAGGGATATCTAAAATATGTGATTGGTAAACCCTGACAAAACCTAAGTATTATAATATTCAAATACTCAGAACATGTACCACTATAATCCCTTTTGGCTCCAAAACTATTGTGCTTCCCATCCCATTTGCAATGTGGCTAAAAGCCTTTGCATGCTTCAGAGCCATGTTCACACATTACTCAGGCCATGCTCCTTCACTGGGACCTGCCCTCTATTCCTTCTAAGGCTCCTTGGGCCGGTGTTTGGACTGGACTCGAACTCGGAGGAGATCGGGGCCGAAGCCAGCAAATTGGAATTATGAATTATGAATGCGTGGTTAATAAAAAGAACGTCCAGAAAGAACGGCAGTCAAGACAAGGCAAGTGGCTATGGGCCTGGGTACGTCGTGGGTCCAACCCAGTCGGTGGATGGAGGCGGCTGAAATGCTAATGCGTTCCTCGTTGCGCTTGACTGGATATTTTCCCAGCACTCAAACGATGCCGCAGAGCAGAGCGGACCCAGACAATATGGTCGAATGAACTGAAACAAAGCAGAAAAGCGCAAAGTGACGGTCAGGAGAGGGAGCTTGGCCAAAGAGATTCGGGCGAAGGCATATGGGAACGTACGAGGTGTGTTCAAAAAGTAAGGTGACTTTTCAAATTTCTCGGGCAACATATTTTCGATTATCGATTTTTTTGTTTTGTTATATTGGTACACTCTTCCCTAACATCTGTACCAAGTTTCAATGGAACATCCTCTTTTGTTTGGTTGTGAGAGGCGTAAAGGTACAAGTTGTTTTGCGAGCTCGGCGATTTTTTGCTTTTTTCGGTCTTGGCTCGTCTGGGCTCTTCCATTGGGACGATTGGGCTTTGGTTTCGATATCATAACCATATACCCATGATTCGTCACCAGTTATGACCCTTTTGAGTAAATCTGGGTCGTCGTTGACGTCATTCAACAGCTCTTGAGCGATGCTCATGCGACGGTTCTTTTGCTCAAAATTCAGCAATTTCGGAACAAACTTCGCTGACACGACTCATACCCAAAACGTTTGAAAAATTTCATGGCACGAGCCAAGCGATATACCGACATCTTCAGCAACTTCTCTGATAGTGATTCGACGATTTTCCAAAACAATTTTCGTCACTGCTTGAACGTTTTCATCAGTTGTTGACGTGCTTGGGCGTCCAGAGCGAGGCTGGTCATTGGCATCTTCCCGGCCATCTTGGAAGAGTTTGTACCACTTGTACACATTTTTTTACTCAGAACAGTTTCACCGTATGCCACTGTCAACATTTCAAGTGTTTCAGAGCACTTAATTTTATTTTTTACACAAAATTTGATGCAAATCCTTTGATCCATATTTTTCGATAGCAAAAAATCGCCGAGCTCGCAAAACAACTTGTACCTTTACGCCTCTCACAACCAAACAAAAGAGGATGTTCCATTGAAACGTGGTACAGATGTTAGGGAAGAGTGTACCAATATAACAAAACAAAAAAATCGATAATCGAAAATATGTTGCCCGAGAAATTTGAAAAGTCACCTTACTTTTTGAACACACCTCGTAGCCGGAAAGTGAAAACCCCCACGCAGCATCCATCCAGCTTGGATGAGGGACTTGACTTGGACCGCTTGCCACTTAAGTACTTAACACTTTTTGCTAATTGCGCCTAGCCAGTTAGAGGCAAACCCCGAAATGCTTCCACACAAGAAACCCCAAATTGACGCACACTCCCGGGATCGGGACAAGTGTGTTGTTGCCCACCATGGATATGCCAAACTCGAGGGCCCCAAGCTGATGGATCTCATCAGCTGACAGCGCTGAGAAATAACAAAAGCAATACTTCAAGTTTTCTGCGACTCGGATATCTTCTAGCCAACCGAATGTTGTTTTAATACTCTGTCTAAAACGAGATTGGTGATTATGGGATTGTGTTTGTTAAAGGAATGTCAAAAGATAATTTTATGCAAAGATTTTCTCATTAGTTTGGAAATAATGTTAAACTTATGAGGGAGTTTTCTTTAGATACTCTGAAATGTTCTTCATTACAAGATTCTTTTAAGGGTATTTAAGACGAAGTCAGTGGCTGCAAACCCTTTATCTTTGCTTCATCATTATTATTGTTTGCTCCTCGGGGCAAAAGCAAGTTAAGAAGCCAGGGCCAAGTCAAAGTCTATAACCAACTCAGACTGAGACTTCCGGCAGGCGAAAACGCACTGTGTGCTTAGCCATAAAAAATTTGAAACTATGGCTTCTGGGTCAGTTGGGCACGGTAGTTCTAGCTGATGGGTGATTTTCCTAGAAAATTGGACTGCCATGAGTTATGTCCTGACAAAGTGGAAAACCCAGACTTCCAGATGGAAATAGATGGACTATGCAGATGAAGACGGAACACTGGCCGATGGGCCAATACAGCGTGTAACTGTAACCCCGAACCGAAGCGAACTAATGACCATGTCATGATATGTAAATATTTTGCAGAGCCATAAGCAATCCCACACTCTGGAGCATAAATAAGGAAAACGGTCGGTGAAATTTACATGCATGCAATGCAGTTTGAATGTTTTTTGTGTTTTGGCCATCGGCCATTGGCCATCCGCGCTGCCTACACACATTCGGGATGCCCCCTTCCTTTATTTATTTGTGTTTTGCTGGCTTTTAATAAGATTTTCTTGTAATTGTAATTTGTTTTCTTTTCGGAATCCGTTGTCTTCCTGCGGGTAAACCATCCGAAAATCCACCAGAGGAGGCGGAGGAGTTGGAGGAGCCCCTGGCACATGTCTTGTCGCTTGTCGAACTGCGCTTTGTCGGTGCTTTTGTGACCCTCAAATCCTCTGCGGGGCAACCTTTTCTTTCCTTTTCTCTTTCCTCAGCTCAGTGGCTTTTGTGTGTAGCCGTTTTTTTTACTAAACACCATTAATAAATATGCCTTTGTATGCTCGACTGTGTCCAACATTAACAGTCTTTTGTTGCTGTTTGTTCCTGGCTGTCTGTATTAATAATAATAAACAATATGACCAGAATGGATAACACAAACACACACACACACACACACACATCCCATCTTGTCCCATCCCAACCCATTCGAATCCTCCTCCCCCTACTGCTGCTCGATCGCATTAACAACAATCTGTGTCTCCCTTTGCAGAGGCGTTCAGTGTCACGATACCGTGAATGGAGCCCAGTGTGACTCCTGTCCAGCTGGCTATGAAGGTGATGGACGCACATGTTCGCTACGTAATCCTTGCCTGGACACACCCTGCCCCTCAGGTAAGTCGGAGCGGAGCCTCTCAATTGGAATGGACCTCTATGGGCTAACCCTCTGTTTACCCCTCCCTAAATGGAGTTTTGTCTTTTCGGGGATTTTGTTGATTTTATGGCTAATTTGCGTTTGTCGTGCCATCAGCTCAGTTGCGAGTGGGTTGATTGGTAAACATGGGACCAGAGAAGACATATTGAAGTTCTTAAACGACAGGGAAAGACGGAAATGCTGGAGTTGTTGAACATTTTAATTTCATTACAAGTTTCGGGACTAGTAAACAAGAAACTTTGGGATATTTGGGAGGACATAAATTAGGATGTTTTGTGGTTTGTTGATTGAAATTTCGATTAATTGAATATTAACCAGCTTGTATTAACAAATATTTAAATGATAACATAACATTTTAATTGTGAATTTTTAGGGTTAAGTTATTTGTCAGCTGATTGATTTATTTTGGAGCTATAAAAGTTAATATATTTTTTCGAAATCCCTAAATTTTAAAATTAAAAGTCAAATTATGCTGCTCTTTCTACATGGACAAATCCCGTCGTATCCCTTTTTATCGCAATCCGTATGCCCTATCCGTTTCCGTGTAGCGCACTCAGTTCACACGATTGTTTGATTTATTAATGCTCACTTCGGCTTAATTCGGGCTCTGAGGACTCGCCGAACCTTTTGATTGAATAAAAAACCCTCGAAAATTATACAGTACCAGGGGTAATTTTAGTCTTCCCGCGAATGTGTGAAACAAAAAGGCTAATCAGGGCTGAGTTGAGCTTGGTTGGTGGCGATCCAGAGGCAGGGTCATCAGCGATGACTTTTGGGCGTGCTGGAATGTTGGGGCCTTATAAGACAAGTTGTCTAATTGATTGGCGGCAAAAGTACAAAGTACACGGCAATCGCTGTTGCCAGTAGGTGGACTTAATTAGGAAAGTCGAATGGGACACAACACCAATTACTTAACCACTTACTAATAAACAATTCTCATTTGTATTAGGCAACATTCTAGTGCCCTCGCATAATGTGCAACACTATCAGAGGCAGAGCCAGTACACGGCCCGCAAATACTCGGTGGTAACGAACTAATCCGCAGAGGGAGATACAATTGCAACGTTTCGGCTAAGATATGATTATGATACACACCTAAATTACAAATACAGAACGTAGAAAGTGCACATATTGAATTACTACTATATTAAATAGTCATAAGTTGTAAGCTCTACGATTGGCAAACAGCGGAATTCATAGTATTAGCAATCCATTTAAAAAGCAGAACGCACTACCAACGAATGAATATAAATATGAGATGATATTTTTGAAAAATTTTAAACTAGAATAGATTTATATATGTATGTCCCAATTAAATGTCCAGAAAGTGGAGTCTATAAACGTGTAACAAAATTTGCTTTCCCCGCCTGAAATCTCCCAACTATTGTAATAAACTATGAATAATATTAATAAAAAAAAAAAATGTATGCTGTAATTCTTTGGTATTTAATAAATAAACTCCATCATTGGCCACATATTTTTTATTTGCCCTTTCGAAATCATCACCCAAATCCCACATGCCTTTGTATCGCATCATGTTTATACACTATCATTTTCTGGTCATGCCTTCAAAGATCAACGGTGAGTTTTAGTGTTGGTTATCTTAATGTCACATCGGATTATGATTTCATATAGAAGCTGGTTGGGAAGTACAAAAAATGTGTTAGGAATTCGCAAATTCGAATATGTATTACTGTTTGTTTGAGTAACATTTCTTCTTAAAATGCTTTTTGATTTACTATAGAAACTCATTTTAATAGTGGTCCGATCAGAAAGGTTTCCAAACCCCTTATTAAATCTTTATAACAATTGGAAATAGTTTGTGATCTTAAGTGGATAGATATTTTTCAGCTTTCTCTTAAAGACGTATGATATCTCACATTCACCTTATACCTAAATCCCTATATCTCACATTATTTTTGCGATTGTTTTTCAACGAATAAGGTGCCCAATGCCTGCAGGTTGGCTACCCGCCCTATTTCCACTGCATCTCATGTCCATTGGGTCACGAGGTAAACGGCACCAGCTGCCGGGATGTGAACGAGTGCCAAGTCTACAATCCTTGCGATGATCTAACGATCTGCACCAATCTTGATCCGGGTTTCCAATGCAGCCCCTGTCCAGTCGGCTTCGATGGAACCCACGCTCATGGCTACTACTCCGACTATTACTCCGTGGATTATCGAAAGCAAATATGTCTGGATATCGATGAGTGTCGCACTGGGTTCTTCCGGTGCCCAAAACACTCCACCTGCATTAACGAGATTGTAAGTCAAATCCATCAGTTGGTCAACCTAAGGTTCGATAGAAGCTGATATCTTATGAATGGTAGTTAGATAGTTTCTGATAGATATACATATGTATAGCCGATAACTAAACTGTTATCGGTAGGAGCTTTTATCGAAAAGCTTATTTGATATTCTCATGATAATCTTCTCCTGGAGTTATTTCTGAGTTTTTTGTCTTCCTTAGGGCTCCTACAGATGCCAGTGCCAGGAAGGATATGTGACCAACGGCACCTATAGCTGTCTCGACACATTGTCGGTGTCCGTGTGTCCCGATGGAACCATATGTGATCGCAATGCCGCATGCCTGCGGATGAATAACTTACGTTACAAGTGCCATTGTAATGTCGGATGGGCGGGCAACGGATTGCTTTGCGGAAGGGACTCCGATATTGATGGGTGGCCGGATCAGGCGATTGGATGCCCAGAGTTGCACTGCCAGCGAGACAACTGTCCCATGCTGCCCAATTCGGGGCAGGAGGATGCCGATCTGGATGGACATGGCGATGGGTGCGACGATGACGCTGATGGCGACAATGTGCAGAACGACCAAGATAACTGCCGACTGGCCTACAACACCGAACAGGTGGATTCGGACGGAGACAAGGTGGGCGATGTATGCGACAATTGTGTCCTCAAGTACAATCCCAGGCAGCTAGACACGGACGGGGACGGTCTTGGGGACGTGTGCGACGGGGATATCGATAACGACTCCATACCAAATGAGCTGGACAACTGCCCGCAGCTCCCGAATCCTAGTCAGTCAGACGTAGACAACGATGGTGTAGGCGATGGCTGCGACAATTGCCCTAATCTCCCGAATCCCGACCAAAAAGACCGTGACATGGATTTTGTGGGCGATGCCTGCCACAGGGACATAGATGGTGATGACGATGGAGTCCCAAATTCCCTAGATAACTGCCCAATGGTTAGCAACTCTGACCAAGCTGGACACTGACGAGGATGGAACGGGAGACGAGTGCGATGACGACATGGATGGCGACGGCATACCCAACTACAAGGACAACTGCCCGCTGGCCAACAACCCAAAACAGGAGGATTTCAATCGCAATGGCAAGGGCGACTGCTGCGAGGATGACGAAGATGTTGATGGGGTACCGAATGCCATCGACAACTGCCCAAATAACTCCGTAATCCATCATACGGACTTCCGAACCCTTCGAACCATTCCATTGGATCCCAAAGGTATATCCCAAGCAGATCCTAATTGGATTGTACATGCCAACGGCACCGAGATAGTCCAGACCCTCAACTCGGATCCTGGTATAGCGGTGGGCAAAGATGCTTTCGGAGGCGTGGACTTCGATGGAACCTTTTATATCAACGATGACACAGATGACGATTACGCTGGCTTTGTGTTTAGCTATCAGAGCAGCTACAAGTACTACGTGGTCCAGTGGAAGAAGGGCACACAAACCTACTGGGAGCCATCGCCCTTCACTGCCTCCGCGGCACCGGGCGTCCAGATCAAGCTGGTTAACAGTACCGAGGGTCCTGGGCCAATGATGAGGAACAGTTTGTGGCACGAGGGAAACACCGACGGGGAAGCCAGGTTGCTGTGGAAGGATCCGAAAAACATTGCCTGGAAGGAAAGGACGTCCTACCGCTGGTCTTTGGTGCATCGACCTGCCATTGGCCTCATCCGTCTGCAGTGAGTGATGGCACTGACTGCCATAAAAGAGTTCCCATGTCTTCAATCTTCTTTCTACAGAATGTACGAGGGCAACCGCCAGATCTTCGACTCGGGCAATATCTACGACTCCACGCTGAAGGGCGGACGGTTGGGCGTGTTCTGCTTCTCGCAGAGGATGATTATATGGTCCAACCTGCAGTACAAGTGCAATAGTAAGTGTATCCGAACAGGAGATTCTCCAAGTTAACCGATCTTATTTTTTCTGTTTAACCCGAAACAGGCCGCGTGAAACCCCTGATCTACAATGATCTGTCCGACTATCTTAAGACGAAGGTGGAGTTGCAGGACTGAACTGAACTTGTCCTCAGTGTTTAAATCCTTTCCTTGCCATCAATTCTAACCAAATTAAATATTAATGCTACCACTTAGTTAATAAAGGAGTTGCCAACTCAGTTGGCCATTTAAGACGCATTTTCCAACACGAACTAGGCCAGGAATAAAGTTGGCCATGACTCTGGAAAAAGCAGATGGCGTCGAATGTCAAATTTATTTAACTGACCTGTCTCAGTTAGGCGAAACACTTACGCTAGGGAACATTTTGATCCGCCAAATAAGGGAATTACTTAACGAAAATATTGAACACACATCAGTGAAACTAGTTAACCGGGTAAAATTCAGTCAGTCTTGCTAAAATTTGTTAAGGGTAAGTACGAGCAGAAATCAACCTACCGGAGTGTTGTTCCAAATTGAGTTAAATTCATTTGAGCGTCCAGATAGCAACGATGGCCAACTGTGATATGCAAGCAACTCCCTCCCAGGAGGAGTTGAAGAAGACTGAGAATAATAAAAATGTGAAAAATTCTGAAGAAAGTCGGCCTATAAATTTAAAATCTGACGTCGACATCGATTTTGAACCAACTACATCATCGGAGACTGAGCTGCGGCCTTCGCGCAGTTCGGTAACGAAGATGACCAAGATTCCGGCCCCCATTTATTTCGGCCCCAGTGGGAGCAGCCGCCTGTACAGCACGGTAATTCACCAGCACAAAGATCACACCTCTTCGGAAAATCTTCATGTGGCTGACGATTCTGGCATACATTTGGATAGTTCGATGACAGAGCTGGAGACGCCAGTTCTAGCCAGACCCAGCCAAACTATTCTCGATAGGATTTCGGTTACCGATAGCGAAATGGAACTTCGACGGGCTGAGGAGCAGACCCTTAAGGAACTGCAACGTGTGGTTGCCGAAATGGAGGCTGAGGTGGCCTTAGATGGCCTAGATAGCCCGGAGCTACAATCTGAGGTTAATGAATGTGAGGACCACTCAGAAGGGCAAGACCAAAATGAAGCCATAGAGATTGGCCTCGAATATTCTGTTTTGGACACAGAAACCTTTTCTGCAAACGAAACTCAGCAGATTGAAGTGTTCGATGATCCTGAGCAAGGACCAACCAATGAAGAACTGACAGTGGACAGTTTACATATTCAAGATTCTGTGAATAAAAATGAATCTCCAGAGGTACATGAATCCTCTGAGGTAGAGGAATATGTAGAGGTAGAGGAATCAGTTGGATCTGAACTTTTTGAGCAATTGGCCGAAGAGTCAGCCGAAGAGAACACCAAAATCGATCTCCCAGGGTCTTCAGAAGAGTTCGTACCCATGCAGGAACTGCAGGAAACTGTACCCGAATCTGTAATAGCTTTAGAGGAGTCGATGTCCATTGTTATCCAGAAATCTGTACCCGAATCATCAATAGACGAACTCGAAATGGCTAAAAGTGGGGGTTGCGAAACTAAAGATGATAGTTTTCTCATGGAGAGAAAGCCAGAAATATTGGTCCAGAAGTTTCAAGGCCCGGCGGATGAAAGCCTATCCATCATTTTGGAGACGGGAGTGGCCGCCGAAACCCTCGCTGGATGGATCATTGGAGAGCGAACGCCTCATGGTTCCGTTGGAAGAACTATTCGATCCGGAGCATAATGTACAGCTGCTGCGTCAGCTTATGCAGGCCGCAGCGGTAGAAAACGTCATTGTTTCGGAGCAGATCCTGATCGAAAGCGAGTGTGCAAATGAAAATGAGATGAAGGAGGAAACGGAAACTGATGAAGAACCTGGAGATGACCAGGAAAATGGTCTGGCCAAAAAGCAGACTGGCAAGCCAATAAATTTCTTGCAGCGTTTCATCAGTCGCAAAATCCTGAAGCTCAGCTATCCAATACTATTCTGCACCTTGGCTTTCGGTTTGATCTACCTGTCGCGCAAGGAATAAACCACGAATTCAAAAATGGAAATTAGAATATATGTAAACGAGCAGATTTGACCCCGGTAGATATGTACACATAGTACAAAACCCTTCAAAATCACCTGACACATAGGCACCGAGTTGCCAAAAAACAATCTATTTTACAAATAAAAATGCCTTCGAAGCAAGCTGTGATTTTCAGTTTTATAAGTTATATAAATGCATTGGAATTAAAGCGCCGACTACTTAACCCTTTTTCGAAATGACCAATAGGTGGCGTGGTGGGTACATTAAACAGTGTTGGGCAAATAATTATCGATAGACGATAATCGACTGATGCGTAACGGAAATGAATTTTCGTAGATTTCTATCTTTAATTTAAGTGGTTTAAATAAACTGTTTTTTTTATGAACATTGAGTCTTCCATTTTAAAGTCTCATTATGTTATTTCAAATTAAAAAAATTTATTAGGCGATATTACATTTTATGTTACTAGTAGATTCCTCTGCATTTCAAGAGCTTTCTACGTTATATACGGTAAGTTAAAAAGTTGTACTTGTGAATAAAACCAAACAGGCGATATCTTGACTGAACTGAAAAAAAACCGAGTATAGTAACATTTGAAATTCTAGCATTGACATTGAAAATTACAGATTAAACAGATTTATTTTTTGATCATAAATTATAAGTGTAGAAGATCTGGAAATGACTTCCTTGGGATGTGTTTTCGTCGCTGGCTTGTTCCACGTGATGCACTATATGGCGCTATCTTCAAAAGGTTCGAATCTTTCTGAGCTAAAGTTACCTACTGTGATAGTGTCTCTGGCTGCGATGGATATAATATGGGACAATTGCTTCATTCCAAGGCAACTCAATATCATGCCGGTAGTCCTTAAGCGGATTTATGAGCTTGCCGTGACATTCATTCTGTTGGAGATTGCCGTCCATGTCGTTTGGAAGGAGATCGAGCACATATGTATTCCGCTGACCCGGATACTACTGATCGGGACGGGGCTTATGTCGGAGTTCAACTATGTGAAGTACGAAAGTTATTGCGTGGGCAGTGTAACCATTCCCTTGTCCTTATTGATCCTTGCCTTTGCCGGTCATGCAACCGACCACTTCCACATACTGCACGATTGCATCTTTGCCAACCAAACGAAGATCACACTGCGGGTGGATGAGTCCCTGAAGTACTTGACCAAAAATCCAAGGCTCACCAAAAAGAAGTTACCAAATATCGTGAACATCCTTCAAAAACACAAAGATTTGGCGCGTAAACAGCGACGTGGAAGAACCTTCTTAAGCCAATTCAACCGCATCGTCGAGCCCTCGGACCAATAAATTACAAAATCTGGTGTCTCGTATTTAATTAGATTCGTTTTTTTCTTTTATTTTATACAAGAAAATTTATAAAATTAATTGTCATACATAATAATTAAATTGTTTTTATTAAATTACAAAATAACGACTATATTTGATTTGCTTTTTACAGCACTCGCGAATTTGTTCAACAAGCTTGGACAATCTATGTATATGGTTGGAAAAATCTATGTTTATATATAAGTATATATGTATTGCAATTTGGTACCGTGTCGAGCATGGTATTTTCGTGTTTCTTGTTTAGGTAAATAATACTTAAGATTAAAACAATATTTCATAAGTTCGACTTAATTTCATGTAGTTTGCATACCTAAAGAGCACATATGGGAATTACTAATTTAAGCTTTCTCTTCTCGACTCGCATTTTCAAGCAGCTCTTGGAGCCTTGCATTAAGTCACGTGATATCCGAGATTGGGACTGTAGATGGATCGAAAGCGGTGTCGCAGCTATTACGTTGATTCAATGCAAGGCTCTCCAGTGAGTATTTGTGGGGGCAGTGTTCGATCACTGTTCTGACAGTGATTTGCTGCTGATTCCCATTTCGTTATTTATGACCACATTTTACATTAAAGCAGCTTTGTTATCCGTAATTTATCTCTTCTAATTCGCGACTCGTTGTTTTACTGCACTTCGCTATCACTATCACTCTTTTCTGCAAGAAAAATATTTTAAATATTAATAAGGATTAGGTACAAGGATATCTGTGTGGATCTTACCCTTTTTGCCCGTGTAGGCGTGACGTTTCAGTCGGTCGTATAAGTCTTCTTTAGTTCCATACAGCGAGGCATTGGACCTGGCCAATGTACTCATCTTGCCGCCATGCAGACCTAATAAAGGTTAAAGAAAACCGATGTTAAGAATAAGAATATAGGTTAAGGCTAAATAGAACTAAAAATATGTTGAATAATATATTTTGTATTATTTTATAGGTCTAAGTCTTCATCTGCACGCATTGTATTGTATTTAGATCTTGTTATCAGACATCTTCCCTTTCGTTTTCTTATCAGTTTTAGATTTTTGGTTGTTTTTGTCTTTACATTTTAAGGTAGTTCCTTTCGTTTCAAGTTTTAGTTTACTACTAAATGATCTTTTAACTAAACTTAACAACCTACTTAGTCTAAGCATTACTCACCATCCTTCATGTACGTTTCGTTGTAGAAGTTGGGCATCTCCCAGCCATCCTCCTCGTCGTCGTAGTAGTGCGCATAGGTGCTGTGATGCGAGGGAGCGATGGACTCAGCGTAGGGAGTGTGGGCGCCGTAATAGAAGTTAACCTGCGATCCGGTTTGGTCGATTGCTGGCGTCAGCATCTTCTTGGGATCCCTACGCTTCGTCGATCGGACGCAGATCATCCAGATGAGCAGAACGATGATTATGATAAAGATCACTGCTCCGGCAATGCCACCGGCGATGTAAGCGAACTCTGAGCGTTCCGCGCAGTGTGGTCCCGTAAAGGAGCCAACACAGCGGCAAGAGGGCGTACCCTTCAGATCCTTGACACAGGCCCCAGAGTTCTCGCAGAAGCCATCGCACACATCCGTGCAAGCCATTCCGGTTCCATTGAATCCTGGCTTGCACTCACACTTGAAGTCCGACGTCTCCGGCACCATGATGCAGTAGGCATTCACATCACAGTGTGGCTTGCCTTCGGCAATGTGCTCGCATGGATTGGTGCACTCGCTCTTCGAGGTGGCTCCAGTGATCTTTGTGCTGTGATTGGGCGGGCACTGCAGACAAGTGGTCTGCTGCGACTCCGACTGGTAGAAGCCCTTGCGGCACTCAATGCACATGTTCAACGTCGCATTCAGGTACGTTCCCGCTGAGCAGACTGGCAGGGTGCATTCCTCCACAGAACTGGCGCCCACCTTGGGCGTGGTCCGGCCCAGAGGACAAGCGGCACAAGACGGCTGAACGCCTTGCAGACGGTAGGTTCCACGTGGGCAAGGTTCACAGCGTCCATCGGCTCCTAATTGCTGGCCAGAACTGCACTCATCGCGACATTCTTTGCGTGAAGTGGCCTCTGTGGAGCGCGTTGTCTGTCCCAAACCACACAGCTCGCAGCCGAAGGATCCTTCATTGGGTTGATAGAAACCATGGCCGCAGGAGCGGCACAGTCCAGTTTCAGCATCGAAGTACTTGCCGGCAGGGCAGCGCTCTTTGCAGTCTGCCGCCGAACGGGCACCAGGTCCTGCGGTCACTCCTGGTCTTCCGGCAATTACCGGGCACTTACTACACTGCAGCTGGCCAGCTTCTGACTGGTAAGTTCCGCGGGAACAGGCTATGCACGTCTTGTTGGCACTGTCGTAGAAGGTTCCAATGGCACAAGGTACACAGTCGGGAATCATCACCACCTGGCCCACGGGGCAAGCGTATTCCGAGCCAAGTTCCAAAGAGGCTGGGTCAGGGACTGTGTTGGGCAGGATCTCCTGCACTGCAAACTGGTCGTCCTCAAGGATCAGCTTCTCCAGCAACTGTTTAACACTGGATCTTTCACCCGTCGAAGTGTGCACCACTGGATCACTGTATAGGGATAAAAACAAGGTGAATTAGTTATGGAAAAATGGCACAGTCAAAGTGTTTAACGAAGGTTAATGTCCAGATAAAGTATTGCAGGTTGAGTATCATTTGATACCCAACACTAGTCTGGACACTAAGAAGTAAGCTTTAAGTTTGAGTTAGCACGCAAAGACATGTAATATGAGGTTAGACAAGCATTAGGTTAAGTTGTTTGGTTTGGTTGGATGGTTGTTGGATTAGACTGAGACGGTTGTTGGTAGTACTGGGTGCAGATTGATGCTGGGCAGATCGGGTGCAGTTTGTCGGATTTGGTTATTCGAAAGGTGAACCAACAAAGGAGTGCTAGACATACTTTACAGCCGGGAAGGCTATCTCCAGGGTGTATGTATCGCCGCCAGTTTGTTGGCGTCCCTGGCGACCCGTCAAAGTCAGATCGTCATCATCCTCGCTGCAAATTTGGTTAACGAACACACAAAACACATATAACATATACACAGTGTACATGGATAAACGGCGGATCAGGACATGCTAGACCGGCGCGCGGTGTGGGACTCTTGGGTGAATTATGCAACTACTTACTTGACCACTGGCAGTTCGGCCTCCATCACATAGACTCCGCCATCCTTGGCCTGGCGACGAACGCGGTTGTTCTGGGCAGCGCGGTAGTGATCGCATTTCACATCAATCTGGATATCCTTGCATTCCCTAGGATTCGGAGAACATTATGGGTGAGAAATGGAATGCCAAAGATTGTTAGGCAAAAACCAACCTGGTTCCTTCGATGGCGTAAGAACAGAAGTTCCAGTCCCTGTTCAGGCCGTTCACTGAGTTGGTAACCTTTTGGCGGAGCACCGCCTGACCAGCCTTGTTGCACAGGACATCCGAGGGGAACAGCATCTTGATGCGGAACACTCGTTGGGCTGGCTTCGAAGGTGAGCAGGATGGGTAGACCAAAGGCGTTGACGGTTCGCGTGTGGGACGCCAGAAGCCTTCGGCTCCGCAGGTGTAGAACTCTGGAACCTGCTCGGAGAATCGCAGGCCGGTATTACAGGCAATCTCGCAAACCTTGAACTGACCACCTGCTCCCCAGTCCTTGCACACTTGCGATCCCCAACAGGATCAGCTAATGGTGGGCAGAATTCGGCTGCAAAATAAAAATACAGAAATTAATAAATCTTCAATGGGTTAGTTTGGTCCAAGAACTCACTTAGCAGGGAAACCTTGAAGCTACAGGATGCCGTGTTACCAGCTGCATCGGATGCAATATAGGTAATATCGTAGGTGCCCCAAAGTAAGGTGGTTCCAGATCGGTGTCCATTTCGTTCATAGATCTTGGTCACTCCAATGTTGTCGCTGAAGTGTGGCTCATCCCAGGTAACCACTGCCGATCCGTTCTTGGCAATCACCCACAGATCTCCGGGGCAGTGTTCCACAACAGGTGGCTCCTTGTCGACTACCAGTTGTTGGCAATTGGCTCCAGTGTAGCCCACAGGACACTTGCGTTGTCCGCAAAGGGATGGCACATTACGTTCCACTCCACCAGATGTCACCTCGTATCCCGCCCAGTTAAGGATGAGACCGGGATAGAGAACTGGCTCAGATCGGCAGTCGCGCACCTGTTTCTGGATCTCAGATGTGATGTCGAGGGCACGAGCCCACACCTGAGCCTTGGTTACGGTACCCTGGAAGCCGGAATCGGAGTAGGCCAGCTCGTTGCTAAGTCCATATGGCTGAGGGCGTCCAAGTACTGCCCAGAGATATGCGGGCAGAGCGCCACCGGCTCCGTACTCCATCTTACTGGCAATCAGTCCCTCAGTGATCAGTTGCAGTTGTCCGGAGATTCCATCCCAGACCACGGCAACATGATGCCACTGGCCGTCGTTGACGGATGTGTACTCTCCGAAGCTCAGGAAAGCGTCGGACTGATCCTCAAATAATGAAACCTGAACTCCACTGGAGTGAGCCTGGAGCAACATTCGTCGACGCTGGGTCATGCGAGCGGATTCCACTCCGTAAAGGGTGAAGAAAATGCCGGGGTCGTCCTTCTGGGCAAACTGCACCCACATGGCCACCGTCAGGCTGTTGGCCTCTCCCGTGGGGAATGGCACCACCTGGGCGGCAGTGGATCGCGAGGGATCGCTGAAGTACAGATCGTAGTCCACTTGGATGGCCTTTCGGCAATCGTCTCCGGTCATGTTGAATGGACACTGGCAGTAGAAGCCGTTGGTCAGATCCACGCAGGTAGCGCCCGGTGGGCAGGAGTTGTCCTTGCAGTCCACGATGTCCTGTTCGCAATTGTGTCCGGTGAAGCCAGGTGGGCACTGGCAACTGTAGCCAGCTCCATTGTCCACACAGGTGGCTCCATTCTGGCACACTTGTTCCTCGCACGCATCGTACTCGTACTGACAGCCGATACCCGAGTAATCCGCAGGACAGCTGCAGTTCAAGCCGGATCCGAAGTCCTGGCACTTGCCGCCGTGCATACAAGGATCTCCAATGCAGCGTTCCGGAGCGGTCTCGCAGTTCTTGCCATCAGTTCCACTGGGACACACGCAGAAGTAGTCCTGGAAGAGGTCGATGCAGCTGGCGTCGTTCTGGCAAGGAGCCTGAGCCCCACATGTGGTCACCTGCTGCTCACAGCGCATGCCACTCCAGCCCGGCTCACAGCCGCACTCAAAGCCACCAACGCGATCCCGACAGAGTCCATTGTTAAGACATGGCTGAGCTTCGCAATCATCGATATCGGTAGCGCACAGAGGTCCCTTGAATCCATCCCTGCACACGCACTCGAACTTGTTGTCCAGGTCAAGGCAACGTTCCGTGCCCACGGGATTACAAGGATCGCTCAGGCACTCGTCAATCTCAGCCTCGCAGGAGAGACCCACATAACCAGGTCGGCACTTGCAACTGAATCCATCCAACTGGTCGACACATGTGGCTCCATGCTGGCACGGATTCGATGCGCAATCGTCGATGGTGTGTTGGCAGTTCTTGCCGGTGTAGCCGGGTTCGCAGTTGCAACTGTATCCGTCAACCAGGTCCACACAGGTTCCCTCGTTGGCGCATGGCCGATTTTCACAGTCGTCGATGTTGATGTCACAGGCGGATCCTGTCCAGCCCGGGTGACAGACACATTCGTGATCAAACAGTCGGTCCACACAGGTTCCATGCTTGCAGGGCTCGGACAGGCAAAGGTCGATCTTCTGTTCACACCGCTTACCAGTGAATCCTGGTGGACAGGCGCACTGGAAGTCGTTGACCAGATCCGTGCAGTTCGCTCCCAAAAGGCAAGGATTCTCCGAACAGTCGTTGATATTCAGCTCGCAGTGGATGCCCTCCCATCCAGGCACACACTCGCACTTGTAGCGACCCTGTTCCAGGGCCTGGCAGCTGGCTCCATTTCCACATGGATTACCATTCGCTGTGCACGGGTCAATGGTCACATCGCACTGATCTCCGGTGTAGCCGCTGCGGCAGAGACACGTCACGTTCTTGAAGCCCGGCTCGTTCTTGCACATGGCTCTGGCTGGACAGGTGTCGTTGCCACAGTCGCTGGTCTCCTCCTGACAATTGATTCCCGAGTATCCCGATGGGCACTCGCAACGATATCCCTGAGGCAAGTCCTTGCACTGACCACCATTGTAGCACGGCTGGGAGGCGCACTCGTCAATGTCCTGTTCGCAGCGGCGACCGGAGAATCCGGCGGGGCAGAAGCACTGGATGTCGTGGCCCATGGGAACACACAGACCTCCGTGCTGACAGGCGCCCTCGCCACAAACCACCGGCTTGCACTGTTCGCGTCCCTTGGAGGCAGCAGTATCAGTTCTCATATTGCTCGGACACTCGTTACAGCTCTGGGATCCTGCGGCACCCTGGTAGTGATGCAGTGGACAAGGCGAGCAAGGTGCCAATCCTGTGGCGGAATAAGTTCCTGGAGCGCATTTAGCGCGACACAAATCCTTGTTGGAAGCAGCTGGCTGGTAGGTGAAAGTCTGAGCTGGACAAGCCTGACAATCCTTGAATCCACCCGTTGGCGGTTCGGCGGTGAAGGAATTACGTGGACACTCCAGGCAGGGTACTAATCCAGTGGGCGAGTAAGTGCCGAAACCACAAACGGGAATGCAGTCCGCTTGCAGCTTGGTGCCCTCTTCCTTGGTGTAAGTTCCAGCTGGACAGCGTAGGCATGTTCCCTGGCGATCGCGGTTCTGGTAGTAGCCCCTCGGGCAGTAGGTGCAGCTGTTCTGACCCTCGGACACATAGGTTCCGGCGGGACAGTGCAAGCAGCGTGGCACATCGCTGGTATCCATGTTCAGCACCTCACCTACGTTACAATTAAAGCCACGCGAAATCTGCGACTTGAGAGCGCGCAGAGGAGGACACTGGTTGCCAATGTTGGCAATGTTCAGGAGGTCATCAATTACAGCACTGGCATAGGGCACACTCAGGTCAAAGATCAGGTTCAGGGTTGAGCCGCACAGATCGTAAAGTTGAGGCTGACGCACCGCTGGCAGGATGGAGAGGATGAAGTCCATCTTGACCACATTCTCCTCCAGAAGCATGGGCACCGACTTAACGAAGGTCACGTTCATGTTGACATTCACCGCCGAGCAACGCTGCGACAGCAACTGGTTCAAGCCACTGTAATGTTGAGCCAGAACATCCTGGTACTGACCCAGACAGGATTGGGCCACTGCTCCGTTGGCACGATAGGTAATCGAGGCAGTTACGTGGTAGGCAGCTTGCTCCGTATTCTCGGAGACACAGTCGGGCACCACAGAAGTGGGACGCCACAGACGGGAAGTTTCGCAGGAGAAGGTCTTCAGGGGCTCTCCGTCCGTGAACCGGAAACCTGGCTTGCAGGTAGCAATGCATTCGATTCCGCGATCTCCGGGCAAGCAGTTAATGGCTCCATTAGCAGGGGGCTGCAACTCCCAGTCCACACAGGGTGAAGCCTTCACGGAGACCTGGAAGTGGCAGGCGGCACGGTTGTTGTACTTATCGGTAGCCGTAACAGTCACATTCTCAAAGTTTCCAATCTTAATCGTAGCACTTTCTGGGCTAAACTGCAGCTTAACCTCTCCGGTGTCATCCGAGGCCTTGATCCTCTTACGAGTGTCGTTGAAGTTGACAGTGTAGCTCTCCTGGCGATCGACCAGCTCGATCACATAGCTCTGGGGGCACTGAAGTAGGGGTGGTGTGACATCGGGAACAGTGATGTTGATCTCGCAAATGGCCACGTTACCATCGTAATCAAAGGCCACGTACTTCACAACCGTATCCTTGAAAATGTAGCTAGGAGTGCGGAAGTTTTGTGGCTTGATCTCCAGACGTGCAATGGATCCGGAATTATCCACGGCAGTGGGTTCGGTGAAGTTCACAGGCAGCACACCGCCATTCTCATCGCGGCGCACCACAATTGGTTGTTGTGGGCAGTTTTGGAAGATTGGTGGCTCGTTATCCACGCAAGGGGAATATCCGTAGTCATAACCCAACAGAGGCTCCTGCTTTGGCTCCTCGCAACCCATCAACTCGAACTTCAGACAAGCGTTGTCCATGTAGCTCACTATTCCCAGAATCACAAAGCGGGCCTGCACAAACTTGGGCAGCGTGATCATGGCCAGCTCGCCATAGTTGCCCGGATCTCGCATGGTCAGGTTGAAGTTGGGGAAGTACACCACGTAGTTCTCGCTCTCGGCCTGCTTGTAGAAGAATCGAATCTCTGTTGGCCTGCCCACAATATCGTTGGTCACCACGCCCTTAACCAGAATAGCCTTTACTCGGTAAATCTGTCCCAGATCCACGCTGACATAGGTGAAGGCTTCCTGCTTTCCACACCATCCGGTGGCAGAGTTGAGACGGATGTTCTTAGCCTCATAGTTGGGTCGTTCCGAGGTGGCATTGATGGCTGAATCTGGAATCCTGCCAGATCCCAAGCCCAAAGGCTTGATGACCTTGCACTCAGGCTCGCGAATACATGTAATAGGCCTGGGGTTGATCAGGATGTAGCCAGGACGATTGCAGCCGAAGTACACCTCCGAACTCTGCTCATAGCTGCGGGCAATCTGGCGACCATCAGCAGGCCTGCCTGGATCCTCACAAACTGGTCCCTCGCAGCGAAGATCTCCAAAGTCCCAGATTCCATCAGCTCCACAACGAACCACATTATCGTGACGTCCGGTTTGTCCAGCCAACTTGAAGGTATTCTGGCAGCCGAAGAAGAAACTGCTCTGGTAGCGCGTGTCCACAAACTGTCCGTACTCAGCTCCAGGTGTAGGCATTGGCGAATAGCAGTCCACCCTTGGACAAGAGGGTTGCATCCCAGATAGCCAGTAGTCGGGCAGACCCGGTTTCGGGTCGTACACGCACTGACGGAAACCGGATGAAGCGGTGGCTCTCAGTTGGCGTCCTGCCGATCCGCAGGTAATTGTCACATTGTCACGGAAGGGCACTAGCACAGATTCGGGATCCGGACGGGCCACAGTCAGGCCCTCCAGCTTATCATCAGGTAAGGAAACGCACTTGGCATCTGAAATAGAAAAGTTTGGAATTATAATCATTGTTAAGTTAAAACTAGTTGGTAAAAAATCAATCTAAAAAGATAAACTTACAGTTGCACTCTGGTACGCTGGCGTTCCACTGACCGCTGGACAGACAAAGAGCCGCCGAGCTACCGCTCATGATATAACCAAAGTGGCACTGGAAGCGTACCACATCGCCAAAGTGGTATTCGTTCCGGTCGCTCAAGAGTTGTCCGTTTTCGGGAGCCTCCAACTCAGGACACATCAGAGGAACACAGGTCTTGTTGCGCTGGTAGGTGTCTCCATCCCGTTCTCCGGACTCGGAGCGCTCAATGTGATAGCCAGCAGTTCCGTTGGATGTGTATAGTTGGTATCCAGTGTTGCAGCCACAAGCAAAGCCTCCAGGAGAGTTGATACATTTCTGGTCACAGCCACCGTTGTTCTTGCTGCACTCGTTGATGTCCACGCAGTCCAAGCGCGTGCAACCCATCAGTTCCATGCGAAGACAAGGAGCACCTACATAGTCCTGAATACGGAAGCGAATGTAACGAGCCTCGATGGGCAGAGGGAGATTGAGGATAGACAGAGTGGGTTCCAGGATGCGGAACTCTACAGCAGTTCCGTCGGGATTGGCGTAGTCCTTAAAGACATCCGTCAGATCGTTGGTGTACTGCAGACGCACCGCCGAACTGAAGGCCACATTGCCATCGGGACGCTGCACGGACATGGTCCGGAATCCACGAAGAATGGTGGGTGCCTTGAGGTCAATAAGGATCCAGTTGGCACCTGGCTCCGAGGAGCCACCACACCAGCCGTTCGTGTTTAGACGCAGCTGAGTCTTAATGTAACCAGGCTCACTAATCGAGGTGCTGATGCTGTCGTCAGGAATGCCTCCATTTCCCAAGCCCAGATCACCCACGGGTCTGCACTCAGTGGTGGCCGTGAATCCGGATCTGCACTGGCAATGGAAGGAGCCATTCGTATTCTGACACTCAGTGGTAGTAAGATCGCATTGTGAGGAGCTGCACTCGTTGATGTCTTCGCAGGTTGGAGGCTGCTCGAATTTCTGGGCTTCGCTGCACCGCATGATGTTGCTGCCGATCAGCTTGTATCCCTTAAAGCACTGCACCCTGGCCTCATCTCCGAACAGGTAGGCTCGGCTAGAGTCTACCACAAATCCGTTGGCAATCTCCGGGAACTCGTAGCAGCGCTTGCGCGTACACTTGGGCACATCCCCACTCCAGGTGCCATTCGACATGCAGGTCAATACCGGATGACCATTACGCTCGTATCCCGGTTCACATTCGTACTGAACAATGGTTCCATAGCTGCGACCTCCTCCGTTGAGGAGGGTAACGTTAGCATGGGCCACTTCTTGCAGAGCTGCGCACTGGGAGGCCATGCAATGGGGCTGTCTTTCCCAACGACCATCTGGCAGACAAGATATCTTCTCAATCGGTGCACTCGAGGCAAAGGCAAAGCCGGCATAGCACTGGTACATGGCGATACCGCGATAGGTCACATTCGAGGAGCCAATGGAGAAACCGTTGTCGATTTGTGGCACAGGACCGCAGTAGACCTCTGTGGATTGGAACGAACCATTAGTGAGCTTACTACTCAGATGGAGTCTATGAATTCGGACTCACCCTGACACTTAGGTATGTAGGAGACACTCCAGTTGCCACCGCGCAGACATTCAGTAACCAGTCGCGTCTTGCCGGTGGCAAACTCCTGTCCAATGGGACATGTAAAGCTGACCAGCGTACCGAAAGCGGTGTCGCGACTGGAGGCCAAGGCTCCAATTCCGGGCTGCAGTTCCGGGCAATCGGCCGAGAAGGTAGCCGACCATCTGAGCGGAAGAGGAGATATTAGTTATTCTTCTTTGCTAAGTTTTTAAATTAAATTAAGTTAAAAGTACTTACCCAGCAGCATTATGCAGAGCATCCGAGGTGAACTTGATAAGCATCTCCCCGGACGAGGCAGTCAGAGTTAGTTTGGGCGCCGCAGGGCCCGTGAATCCGTTGCCAGAGTGCAGACGCAGACCGGAGGTGGAAGATCCATCAAAGACCTGGACGTTGTCGCTCTTGTGGACAGTGAACTTGTCGAATTTCAAGGAGAGCGGAGCACGGGCACTGTTGCGGATGGTGAAGTAGCACTCCTGGTTCTTGGGGTAGTCAGCCAATCCGAAGGCGGGTGAGGTCACAGTACCATTTCTAGCAGTGATCGTGGCCTTGCAGCCCTGGATGTACCGCAGGCTAAAGCCCTTGCCGGCCTCACCCAAACTGGACTTGAAGTACAAGTACAAGGCATTACCTGTAGAGATGATTACCCGGTTATTCTGAACCGTCTTTCCTGTCAGCTTAGCAATGGTGCGGCTCATGGGCGAGTCTCCATCACGGATCAGCAGATAGTCGCGTCCCTCGGCGATATCCAGATCATCGACTTCGATGGAGATGATGCGACCGGGCTGGGCCTTGATCACATACAGACACTCCAGACCGCCGGGATATTGTTTCGGGTAATTAGGGCTGGTCAGGATTTGGCGCTGCAGCGTGGCTTTCAGAGTGCCTCCGCAGTTCTTGGCCTCGGTTTTCCAGGTGGCCCGGAAACCCTTGCGCTCCACACTGCCATCAGTGGTGAACTTGACGATCATGAAGTTGGAGGCGGAAACAAATGGTTGCGTAGTCAAATCCTGCTTGCCACTCAACGTGGCCAGTGACACGGACTTGTCCTCGGTGCGACCGCCGACCAGGATCTGCACGGTATCAAAAGTCTTCTCAGTCTCAAAGTCCTGGAACTGCAGGATGATGTTGCTTCCCAGTGGTCCCTCCAGCGTCCACTTGCACTTGCTCAGCGCTCCGTATTTGTGGGGGTAGTTGGGCGTCTCGATCACATCTCCGCCGGACTGCATGTGGTAGTGGCATTGGGCAGGACAGTCTAGTTCATCGGTGCCGTCTCCACAATCATCGCTGCCGTCGCACTTGAAGGCCTGGTTGATGCACTTTCCGTTGGCGCAGTGGAGTGCTCCCTGGGGGCATGCTTGGGCTCGGCACATGAAGGGAAGCAGGGACTCACAGGTACCCAGATCCCAGCTCTGGGATTTTCCTGCGAAATCTGCTGCCACACACTCTCCGGACTCGGCATTCGGCTGATGAAGTGACCAGTAGCCAGAGTACTGGGAGATCAAAGCTCCGGAGGCGGACTCCAAAGTGTTTGTACGCAGGTCATCGAGGGAGGCCAAACCCAGCCAGTACTTGTCCGAAGCCCTCTGGTTGGGATCACTTGCCCGGGCGATGGACAGAGTCTCATTGTTCTCCGCATAGCTGTCGATGGCTACAAGGTCAGCACCGTATCTGGGAAGAAAATTAAGTTTTAATAACAAGTTTATTTTTTTTCTTATTAATAATAAATACTCTTATGATATTCCAATGCCTTTCCTAGTATAAACCAGGCTAAACCTATTTACTTTTACTAAATAATGAATTGCAGTTTCTTTTTATCGATCTGTACCTAAGACTAACGTAACGTAACGTAACGTAAAGAATGTTGTTTAAGATTCGTATTTCAATAATCGGTTCATAATCGATAATTCACTAAGATAACTTCATCAAAACTTTAAAAGCCTTTCAGCGGATGCTCCTATTAACAAAATTAACTTTTGAAATTATAACAAAAATCACACCAACAAGGTAAATAAGCAGATAAGAATATAAACATCGATAATTATATTACTTTTCCACCAAGTAAAGTCGAATGGGGAGGATATGGGCGATTAGTATGCCGCTCTTGGCCAAGCTTCCGTTGCCGGGCGTAATGCAACTTCAATTATGCAGCTGCGCTTTACTTTCTATTTTCTGCTTCTATCTCAATTATGTGCTGCTGCATGTGGATCGGGGGAAATCGGGCTCACTATACGAAAAACTTTCATTTCCAATCGCTAAACTCACTTTGATTTCGATCTCATAATTTGGAGTTCTGCGGGCCCAGCGAGAAAAACAAGTTTCCCTCAAAAAGACATTGCGACATTACGCATTCGCCGCGTGGGACGTGGTTGCCTTTGGCAAATGGCTGCAGCTGTGGCATGCCAAAAAATAAATCGAAAAAGCATACAAAATTATGTATGAGAGACACTCCCTGCCATCAACAATTGCTGCGTGCCACACCAGAGTGAAAACTTCAGACGCGGCTCCGCAAGTTGTATTTTCTGTTATTTTTTTCTCTTCTGTTTTTTTGGCTCGGTTGGCATTTTATATATGGGTTGGGTGTGTATGGAGGTAAGCAAAAAGTGTTCAATCTGTTTGGGTTTCCACTTAGCGGGATTTGTACCAAAGACATTTGGAAGTTTGCTAAATTTGTAGTGTACTCTGTGGATTCCTAGACTGGAAGACAAACAGCTCTAAATTGATAAGCAATTATTTAATGAAATTCAGTTTTTTAATAAGAATATTTTCTTTCTTTCTATCATTGCTTAAAATATATCCAGTTGGAAATATTTTTTTTATAACTTCTAAAACCTAAAATCCGCTCCCTTAAAAATCGGACACATTTTAATTTCCTCCTCGAGGCATTTTTAACCTAAAGTTTTTGTGGTAAAAACTCCGTTAACTTAAAATGTTAACGCCTTGTCAGAGGCTTTCCTTCATTCTACCCAATTTCGCATGCTGCGCACGCCAAAAAGAAATTTCACCGAAACCAGAGTTAAATAAAACACTAAAATATTTCACAGTTGAATGGATGTTGACTGAGTATGTTGGACTGGGTAACGACACCTGTCAACGCAATCGCCCCGTGTTGATACAAGCAATACATGAACCACACATATGTATCTAACTTTTTGGCAAACCGAGCATTTGAAGAAAGATAGGTGTTAGTGCGGATGGCTGGCAATTGCCGGCCAACGTTTGTTGAACTCTGGCCACGTTAGTGGCATTCAAATGAGCACTGAGCACTTGACTGGGGCGAGGTCTACGGCATGTAAATTACATTAGGAGCAGTGGTCTTCGAGTAGCCAGCCTGGTTGTCTCAGAGTCACGATGTGCCGGGCATAGTTAAGTGTCATTTAACGCCGTTGACGTTTCGCCAGCGAAGAGAAATTGCGTAGGGCATTGACATTCCGCGGGAGCCAATAACTTTATTAATACCTATTCATTTATTTTCAGTTTGCTGCTAACAAAAACCGCACACGAAACGAATCGTACCAGGGCCAGAGGCGTAAAGCCATAGCCGAAAACCGGAGAAACTTTCACCCCACATCGCCCTGTGGGTCAGCTCACGATTCTCACGTTCATTAAGCCGGTCCCGAAATCCCAAGCTCTATTATCAAAACACTCTCAGTTTCCGAGGCTCAACGCGGGGGGCTGGTGGCTTATTCTTGGGCAGGTGATCGCTGCTCAGGTATTTGGGTCATTGGTGCAGGTTAACACCCAAAAAAAAAAAAAAAATGCCTGGAAGAACAGCTTTGCCGGAAGCATTCGGCGACTTTCTTTTCGCTCGAATGGAGAAGGCGGTAAAAAGAGTTGGCGAAGAAAACAAAATTATGAATCACCCGAGTATCGATCGGAGTATGGATATTGATGCCCTGCCCAGTCGGGCTGAAAAGCAATTTCAAACTTGGTCAGCACAGCCAACTTGTTTTACTTCTTTGCGCTTTTTTGGCTCTGCCTGCTGACCACTTTGGCATTGACAGTTAGTTGTCGGCAACGGAAATGCAATGCGCTGCTGTAACGGCAATTGCTGGCAGAAGTACATATATATCTCTAGACATCTATCCCCCGTCAATCCGTCAATCCCACCATCTATCCGTCTTCCAATCAAGAACAACAGGTAGCGCATTTGCTCAAGCGTTGCTGCCCGATAAAAAACAAAACTTGATTGCTTTTGCCACCTTCTCCGGTTCGATTGATGACAAAGAGCGGAACAAGTTGGCGGCGCTTCCCCCGCTCACTTGGTTACTTCCTCACAGAACACCCATCATCTCATTTGGCCAGGGAAATTATCATATGGTTATGGTTGCGATTCCACTCACCTTCGACACAGTTCAGCGCTTTTATCCCACGAGTGCTTTATATTGAAATATTTATAACAATTTAAGCCGCGCAGTTCCCAGCCTGAAAAATAATGAAAAGGAATTCGTATGTTAGTCAAGGTTAATCATGAATATTTGGTTATATCTAGATTATTTTTAATATCTTAACAGCGAATCTTAAGATAATGTTCTTAGGCAACTATTCTGTAACGGAATAAAATATAAATAAAATAACGGAAATAAATAGAATAAAAATGTAAATAAATTTAGCAGGCGGTCACACTAATATATGTTACAACCAGTCACACTAACCTATCTATACACAGTTAGTTGTAAGCACAACGCATTCCTCTCTCTTACTTTTGCATAAAGATCATACTGACGAACCCTATGTGTGTCCTGTTCGCACGATCAGCAACGTCACCAAGGATAGACTAGGATAGGACAAGATAAATAAGGAAAAAACATAGAAGAGCACAGCACGTTCATTAAGACGTCTACAAATTCATATTGAAATGAACATTTCTTATAATTTTAAATCAAGATATGCTTATTAATTTACTCACAGCGGTAATACGAGACCTATGGTCGTAGTAAGCTGCTTAGAAACCAAGGGGATTTCGTGGAAATTAAAATGAATGCTCTTAATCATTAAATATCACCATCAACTGGTCAACGAAGAGCGATGTGTGTGAGATGATGGTGACCCCAATCAGCATCTTAACTCGTTTTGCATAAGTTATGTCCAACATCTAAAAACTTTCTGTGAGTTTCGGCGTTGAGAACAAGAATTTAAACAGCGAACCAGTGGATAATTAAGTTGTTTGGGCCAACTGAGATTAGCTTTAAGACTGTGACGGCTGTGACGCTTTCGTTTTCCTCCGAATGCTAAGAGTTTTCCTGCTAAAATGGGAAAGTTGCGCGCGCGAAACTTGGACACGGCCCGCCTCAAAGTCAGCTTGATTGACAGCTTTCATTTAAAATCAAATCGACTAAAATATGCTGCGGAGCTCGCTCTTTGTTTGCAGTCAGCGAAACCAAATCAAAAACCAAAACTATTTAAACAATTTAGTTTGTTTTTCTCAATGTGCACAGGCACGCGCTGCCATTTAAGAGTCACATACAAAAGTGATCGGCAAATGTTGTCTTTGGTGTTTTCTGTGGGTCGGCAAGTTGTTATAGATTTTCCCAACTGGCTACGATACTCCGATTTGTTTGGGTGTTCAAAGGAGACTTTCACGATTTCCTTGTCCAATTTGAAGGAAACTAGTATGGTATTTGGATGGAAAACTGCATCCTGTCGATAAGGCATGGTCAATCATAAACAGCATTTCTGAGTAATAGTTAATTAAGGAAACCAAGGTGACAATTTCTGGATTATTACATTTTAGTCACGCATTTCTACTTAAAGTGTCGCCATTGGAAAACCAAGGGAAAACTTGCAAATTAGCTGTGGAAACTGTGATTCATCAAGATGGAAAGTTCAAGATTAGCTAATGTATGTCTTTGTACAAGTAGGCTTAGTTTTCCCACTAAATCATTTTTCTTTGACCCAAAGCCAATAGAAAAATCTTCGATCAGTCAGCTAGCTAGCCGCAAAGCTTGTGGTCATCACCCATTTCACCATCAATCCCACCCAATTTACCAACTGTAAAAAAGCTTAACGTTCCTTCTGCGGCTTATTTGTTTGGCTAACTGGTTGAGAGAACCGCTATAAGCCATACAATTTGTTCGAATTTATTTATTTGTCTGCCCATTTACCGCAGCGCAATTTGGTATTAGCCATGCTTGAATGCCAAAATAACCACAGGTAACTGTAAGGTGTTCCACTTAGGATCGACAGAGGGGGAGTCTTGGACATTTCTGGACTTCTTTTGGCCATCTTTCTGGGTTAGCTAACACGCTTCAATGGAAATCTAAATCAGCACAGAAGGCCCGTGTAATTGTTTTTAATGGCCACGGATAAATTCTCCCCCACACATGACGGCCAATGCCAATAGCGTCTCTTTCGCTGTCTGTGATAAATTCCCCACCTTGTGGCCATGTCACCGTGACAGCCACAGAACTCCAGCCAGAGAGTTCGATTCGCTGTGAGCAATTAAAGCCACGTAACTGCCAATTGGCTTCGGAAATTCTTTTGGTCTTCGACTTGGGTGCAGCCCAGCCGCAGCCGCAGCAAACTGGACAAGGTTAGCCGGTTTCGGTCTTCATCCTACTCCTCTACCTCTCGGTTCTCGGTTCTCGGTTCTTCAACTTGTCTTTTGCAGTTGTTATTTCTTTGGTTTTATTGAATTGTGTGCCAGATATTTGAAATTCTTGCCAGGAAGTTTTGTTTTTCTTCAGCTTTTTGCCCCATTACCTATGCAAATGTGTGCTGCGTGACTTGGCCAAGTGATTCGCTCTGTCTTTCTCTCATTACCTCAGTCCCTCTCTTTCTGCTGTCTAAGTATATACCCCGACAATGCCTGATCATTGTCTATATATATAATTTCCTGGGCAGGCCCAGCAGCATTGCAGCATACGAAAAGATCTTGTGGAAACAATACCAAATTAATAATGTGAGAATTTCTTACGTAAAAACTAATCTAGTTATATATAGCTACGTGAGATTTTTACATGCCTAGTAATATAGGCATATATATATATGCGGTATATACTTCTTGTAATTCTTCACTTTGTCAAAGTAATGATGGTTTATTACATTAGTTAACTGACTTTATGTGGGTAATATTTCTTAGTTCTACATTAAGATGTGAGAACTCAAATTTAGAGGTTTTTCTAGTTGTTTTGATTTATTTTTGTAATCAAATATTTTGATTTTGAATCAGGAAACCGGTTTGCCTTCCTTTCAATCGCTTCAGTAAATCATGTAATTACGCCGATTATATCTGGTTTGCTAAGCCGCACGTACTTATTACCCAATTTTCAAAAATATATATGCCATGCCCTGTTTTCAAGCCCACTCTTTCGACATTTTTGTTGTTCTTTAACTTGAAAGAAGTAAGTAAGAAAAGTAAATTAAAAGAAAAAGTGAAACCTGGGCTGAGGCTTGCAATAAATCTTCTTCAGTGTGCTCATTTCATTAACCCCATTGCCGAGGCGAGTAACTCGCAATCTCAGCCATTAAATCTCTACGAGAAAAGGTCTTAGGAAAAGAATGAGATCTCAATTTCAGAGAGTGCGTAGAAAGCTTAAAGTTCTAAGAATTTCTATTTTGTAACTACTCAATTAGCTTTGATTGGATGTAACTCTAACTATTTTAACATCACCTACTAAGTTCACACAGAAGTCGGTGAAGTGAAAAAGCGTTGACTTCCTCTAACCGAAACACCAAACCCACCGACATATGAACAAAAATTTGTTTAATTTGACTTAAGCGCACGCTTTTTTCACGCTTTATGATTTACTAAATGCCTCAATATCATAAATAAAAAACAAAAACAATAACACATTGTCGCTCTATCATAAATCACTTTGGTGGCTCTAATCCAAGTGCGTGCTTGCCGACCCAGAAACTCTTATCACCTCAGTTTTCTGCCAGTGTACGCATGGATGGAGAAGCAGGAGAAGCCGCCAAGAACACACCGACACGACAGAAAGAGATGCTCATTTAATTAGCTTGAAACTCTTGGCAGCTAGCCAGCGCTTACTCAAGCGTGTCCAAAAATGTGGAAGTTGCTGTTGCTGTTCTAAGTCTTCGCGATCGACTCTGCTCCGTTCCATGCCGTGAGCCATGTTTGTCAGTCTGTCAGTTAAGTCGGGCTGGTCATCATCAATTTGAGGCTTTTACCGTTAGGCCTTAGGATTCTTAAGTGGCCGCCAATGCCCGATGGCGGTAGAACTTCTGTTCGGACTGGCGGTCAGCTCGCGGAAATGGACAAAATTGATTTTTTTTTTTGGACCGTTGGAGATGGCCATTTGGAAGGTGGAAAGAAATTAATTCTTTGAGATTAGTAAAATATTAATGGAAGTCCATAAGTGATTCTAATTGGTTCTTAGATCTTGGATCTTAGTTTTTGGGGTTTGTATATTTTAGGCCTAACTATTTGTGAACTTTCAGTTCTTAGTTTTCATATTTACTACTTCTGTTTCTTTTGACTTTAAATGTATATCTATCTTTATCTAATATCTAATAAACTGAGAATCTGTTCTTAAAGTATAGATAAACCTTAAATAATTTTAGGTAAAATATTCCACTGCTTCTATATCTGACTTGGGAATCACCATATCATCTTCACTTTTGCCTGACACCTCACACGCACACACAGATCTTTCACATCTGACAGCTCGACTTATGGCGCAGCATCATAATTCCATTAGTTGAGTCATAAAATCAAAAACATCGCTTCTTAGCCCATATCCATAACCATGTCGGTGTCGGGGTATTAACATCGATCAATATGCAACGGCTAAATGGAGGAAAAAACTGCAATAACTGGCAAGAGTTTGGCCTATTTTTCGAGACCGCCTGTGTGCAACGAAACCCAACCGACTGCACCTAAAACAAGTCACCGATACCCAGACACCTGCATATGGAAAACTTGAGTGTGCTTGGAAAATAATTTTTAAAAAAATAAAAGACTTAGGCAACGAACTTGTTTGGCTCTGCACAAGTGTTAATCAGCACAGCAAGCTGCAGTTAGTTGAGAGATGGACTTGGATACCTCGTAGACGGCGACAGCAAGTGGCACAGCGGGAACAAGCAGGAATCGAGGAGAAGTACACTTAGGGCAAAATTTATGACCTAATCAGATGAGTAATATATCAATTTACGACGTGATTAGCATTCAATTTAAGGGGAATAACATTTTCTGCCTATTCTAAAAATCTTAATCATAAGTTATAAGTTTTTCCAACATTTAAAGTTCTTTCAGCACTGTATGATTTCCCACAATAGTTTGGCTTATGAAAAATGAAATTAATAACATCAAATCATAAAACTAATATTAAATTTTATTAATAGCCATCATGATAATTTAAGCTTGCATTTTTCCCTGTGCAAAGTTAGTCGGGCAAGTGAAAAAGCAGGCAGCAAAAGCAACTGCAAAGCCAGCGGAAAACCGTTAAGAAATCTCGTTTGTGTGGGGCCCAAGTCCGTAGTTGGAAATTCTTCATATGGAGTATATATATATTCTATATATGCTGTCATGGCATTCTACGAACCAGGGAAAATGGTAATGGGCGAGAAGAGAAACAAGTTTGGGATATGTAATAACCGTTATCGGCTAACCGTCTCGCTTCTTTACTTATTTTTGTTTAGGTGTTGTAGGTGGCAATGCCAAGTGAAAGGCTTTTGGGCCGAACTAAACCACCCTGCGACTCCCCCTTCGTAAATTGATTGATTAGCCTGGTCATAACTTCCGTCATGTCTGTACGTTTTCTGCAAACTCTTCAGCTCACTGAATTCCATTTCTTGTCAGTTTGTGTTTTGTAGGTTTCGTTAAGTGCTAACTCGTTTAGCAGGTTGCTTATTGGCTTTAGTGGATTTTGTCATTAGCCCAAGAATTTTTATAGCACAAATGTATGGGTTATGTTTATGACACAAATATGGCTAAGCCTACACTGGGGAATAATCATTGATCTTGAAAAACTACATTCTTTTTGAGAACAAGAGATTATGATAAGCTTTGAAGGAACGAACATGAAATGTTTAAGAATGATAAATTAGTTTTCTTGGGCATTCCATGAAAGAGATTTACTTGATCAACTTTTGGTTCTTTTATCTGCCTATCATCGAGGAAATTGTATATTTTATGCTTGAAAAACTCCGCCAGTCATCGTTAATCTATCATCTAAACTCCCTCAGAAGAAAATCAGCGTGAAATTAATAGTAATTGAATGAGGTAAAAACAAATTCAACAAGAGCTTCCTCATCATTAGATAATTTAGGTCAGCTGGAAATTCTTGATGCATCTTCTGCTTTTTTGTATAAAAAGAATATCTCTTTCGACACGTTAACAGCCGGAAACGATTTATCAGACCACGCTTCAATCAAAGACAATCAATTTCGCAATTAACAGCGCTTAGAACAGGCGAGCCGCGGCATTCTTAAAGACATAGGTAATTGCCAGTTTGAGACACCCAAACAAATCGGTTTCCAAGTGCCTTGGCCACAATTATACTCGCTTTTGATTTATGCGAAAAGTTTTGGCTCCGTTTTTTTAGGCCACACCTGCGTCCGCTGGACTCGCACGTGTTTCAAATGCAATTCGGCATCCGTGCTTAATTTCTGGTTTGTTTTTGAACTAAGAAAAAATATGGGCTAACTTACCATTTGGACACGAAAACGCCTCGTCGGCTCCGATAAAGTGTAGCAAATTTAAAAGCAGCAGCGACGACAGCAAAGCGGCCAGCCAATGCGAATTGGCTGCCGTCGTTTGGTTCATTTTGGCCCGATTTAATGCCCAGTTAAGCGCAGTGTTTTCTTACCAATCCTGCAATCAGAAAAAAAAGTGAAAATAAATATCAGCAATAATCCGGCGTAAATTAGTTTACGGCCTCGCCCTGGCCACCGAAAATCGAAATAATCATAAAAACCGGTTGTCCCATTCACACCTAACTCACACACACACACCCATACAGATATCCAATATAAAAGCTAATGATTGGCAAATTTATGCCAAGCTGACTCAGTCTCCGGCTAAAACTCTGATCTAAGCACGTGTTTCTGCGGCCAAACGCGTTTAGTGAATGCGGTTTTAGAAAGTTTCTCGAGAATTCCTAAGGTGGCAGCTTGCAAGAGAATTTGCATAGACTTAGTTAATACCCCGCACACCTCGAGGTCGTTGGTGGGCCATAAATAGCGATAATGTTCGTTGCTTCTATTCGAGAATGGAATTTTTGGGAGATGACTTTCACGATGAGGGAATAAATTATAAAGAGATGGGGAATTCCTAATACACCCATACGGATGTTGACTAAGTCAAAGCTTTATTAATAAAATGAACTGAGAAATGAGGCAGAACAAATATCTAACTTACATATTTAATTACCCTTCATACTTAAAATTTGTTTTAAAATCATAAAAAAACGACCTTAATGACCTAAACAAGTACACACATGACTAGCTTGTTGTACTCAAAAAATAATTGTTAGCCAAAGCCAAAAGTCAAAATTTGGGTTAGAAAAAATTATTATATAGACTAACGCAAAGTTTAAGGTTATTCCGATTTGTCTGTCATTTATCACGATTGCGTCTAAACTTGTTTGCAGTCGTGTGATCTGTGTGTGTGACTTTTCATTCAGATCCAAAGGCAAAGTTTGAGGTGTCCGGCGGGGTCTCTGGGGTGGGGGTCTGGTGGTGGGGATCCCCCCCCGTCACCTTCCACTTGCGCTTTGTAAACGGAGATCGAGGCGCAAGGTTGCCGTTATTGTCAAGTAATTATAGACCAGCTAACACAAGATGTACAGTTGCATGTTGATACAGTTTTTATTTGTGTTTGCCTGCTAACTGAACTTGATTAGGAGGGGGTGGAGGCTGGATTAAGGCCAGTATATTTGGGGGTGAAGTCTGTGACCTGGTCTAGTTTAACAAAGACATTACTAAGATTATGTTTACTATACAAGTTAATTTGATCTCTTATAGCTTTGAGTAGGCTCTGCAGTTTTCATATTTCATGACATAACTTTCAAGTTTGTTGCTTAAGTCTTTTGTTTGCCTTAGTCTGGGCTGATTGACAAAGTGTAAATAAGGCAGTGTGTGTGTTTCTGTTTCTTAACTGCATTGGAAATACGAAACCACAGTCTCTGGACACAGACCAGTCGCAGACCAAGTCCATTAACAACTTCCGCAAATTGTCTCTGAGAGAAATCTCAATCTCGGCTTAAAATTTAGTCAAACGCGAAGGCAAACGCCCTGCCACATGTTTCATTTGCAATGAGATACAGCAACACCAACATCAGCATCAACACAACGTCGAAACATTAGATAACTTTGTTGCATGCGAATGAAAGGTTTAAAGCCCAAAAAAAAACAAAAAAAAACACAAACAAAAATGCTGAATAAAAGCCATTGAAAAGCGGCTTAAACCCCCAGACTCAGGTCTTGGCGGCTTTTATTGAAGAGTAAAAAAAAAAAACGACAGAAAAAATAATTTGCAAGTAAGCTAAGACTGCACGCACCACTCAGCGCTAATTAAGAAAAATAGCGATGGCAACTCTTGTTTATGTTTATTTCTCTTGGCGCTCAGAAATCGCAATTAAAATTAATAATATAAGCAAAAGGGCAATGAATTATGCAATGCGTGGTTTTCCCTTCGCCCAGAGTCTGAGTTTTCCCAGTTTAAAGTTGAAACCATAAATGCAGCTGGTGCCTGAAAAGCCGCAAGCCGCATGCTGTATGCCTTATGCCGCATGCCGCATTTTTTGTGCAATTAGCTGGCTATGCGGTTTGGCCCAGAAAGCAACTTGCAGCCGTCAAACAGCTAGCTTGTTCGATAGCTAACTGTATTTGCTCCTGCTGCTGCTGCTGCTGCTGCTGCTGCTGTTGGCCAACAACATAAAAATTTTTATTTCGTGTGGGTGTGAGCCAAGTAAAACTGAAGTTAACTCGGGTCTAGGCTGTGCCTGCCAGTAGCATTCAACGGAGAGGCGCCAAAAATTATAAAGCCTTAACCCAACATTTATTTACTTTGATGTCTAATGAAGCGCACACACACACACTAGGAAAACTGGGCGGGGACGTGGGCGTTGGTGGGAGGCTTTGACCTAACCAAACACAGCATTGTCATCAGCTAACTGTGAAGTCTGTGAGTCCATTGAAGGTTAAACAGCATCATTATTCGCAAAAGGTGTTTGCTGAAGATTCATTAAAATTGAATATTTAAATTTACAGGTGAGATAGTAATAACAATGGTATGGAAAGCATTTTAAACTCACAAGAAATAAATGTAAAAAAAAGGTGACTAATAAGCTTAAACTTCCTAAAGAATAAATATATATTATGATTAATATCTGATAAATCTTTGACAAAATTATCTATCAACTAAAAGTTATATAACTGTATTTATCTTTTAATTCAGGGCCCTAATTCATGATTGACAACCAGCGGGAATACTTTAATAAGACTCAAAGTTGCCAGAAGTCAACACCCTGGAAAATATTTGGCCAGCAGGTTATATAATCTCAGCTAATGATGGCAGCACGAACGAAGCCAAGACAAGAGGCTTCCGAAGAGTTGGCAAACAAATTTCCAATTCTTTGCTCAAACTCGAAACTGCAAACTGCAACCGATTACATTCGCCGTATGCAAATGCTGACTTGGCCAATAAGTAATAAAATCAGTTAAATTACTTTCCATTTAGCATGTAAATAATCAGCAGACCGACGAGAGTGAAAGGTCTAGGAAGCAGCTATTTTTGATTTAGTGTCTCTATTTTATTGCCCATTGATTTGGCTTTGCTATCGGTGTGTCTTTCTTAAGCTCATCTTATGGTTAAACAATCGTTTCGAAAGATTCACCACAAATTAGCATTAAAATGGGCGGCATGGGAAATTGTTATGTGTGGGTTTTCGTAACTCCCATGACTGACACCGTTTAAAGGTTGATTAAGCTAGAGATTAAGCTAAATTTATTCATTAAGATGTTAGGGTTATGTGTGAATACCAGTAAACTGGAACATTCAAAGTAATGCATCTCCCATTCGAGGTATTTAGATAGAGTATTACCCGTCAGAAACGAAAGACTTAGGCAACGAACTTGACAGCCTCGGGGCAAGAGAACCACTCATCATCAGCTCCGCAGAGAACAAAAGAGTTGAGCAACTGAACATGAAAAACCTTTTCCATCCGCATCGAAGCTGCTGGTTTCGCAATCGAATGGAAATCTGAAATCTGCATCACCCGAAGTGTGGAAGAGACTAATGGCTGCGCGTCAGTCGCAATCAAAATTCAAATATTTTCTGGGCAAGCACATGTGTGTATGCAAACTGAATAGCAAACCAGAAAACTGAACGATCTGTGACCAAACTGGTTTGCCGATGGCTCAGTGTTCAGCCATTATTGATGACACCTTCGACATTTAGCCAGCCAGCGAAAACAAAGCACAAAAACACTGGCAAGATCAAAACGAAAAACCTTAAAATGATGACTAAGTTGAGCAAATGGTAAAAGTCAAACGGGTTACATTATTTCTGGTGAACTTTTTGTGCTGCTGGTTTTCGATTTTGGTGATTGGAAATGCAGCTGCTGCCGGCGCCGGTTTGTTTGCCTTTTAGAGAGTCAGCGTTTAAGTTTTCCATTTCCACATCTTCACACGAGCCCAATGTTTTCCACCAAAGCCATGTCGGGGACTTTCACTTGCGCACTTGTCTGCAAAGCATTTTCAGTGTTTTTCGTGGCTGGTTTTCCTTTTGTTTTTGTGTTTTCCTCGCTTATGCCAATATTGGCCACACAAAACGATGTTGGCCAATGGAGAAAAACACGTTTCAACTAAATGACCAAATATTATTTTACTTTGATTTCTTTTGGCCTGAAGGTCAATTGGTTTTTACCTTTTTTTAACAAATTGAGTTGGCTTTTCGGTGTCAGTCGGCTGTTGGCGTGGCCAAGGAGTGGAGAGGAAGTTATTGTGAGAAAACTGGGACAGCGATGGAGGATCAAATAGAGAGAGAGTCTAAGCGGTTAAATGAAATGGAGAACGGCTGAGTCTTCAATGTTTTTCTTCAATTAGATGGGTGCTGTCGCCTGTCAATTGAGCTCAGTCAGAGAAACATTAATCAGCAATCAGCGGTTGAGTAGATCGATCTAGCCTAGACAGGCTAATGTATAATAAATACAGCATTGGTTTCTTTTAATTTAATTGCTACTTTTACGTGGGAAATCAAAATAAATTGACCAATTTGTGTCCCAGATCTATATAAGCTAAATGGATTAATGTTTTGAAGCATTTAAGCTAATGTTCTCAAAGATTAACATCATCAAGGCTGTTGATATTAATCACTTTAAGCTAACTAATCTGATTTTACTTTTAAGTGTATAAAGAAAAGCTTTCAATAATAAGTATAAACAAATGTTATGGGTATTATTCTGAGCTCAGATATGCGGCTTCTTTGTTCTCCAATCAGACTCACTCTCATTGGGCTGAAGCTTTCCATGACCCACCCGTTATGGAACTTCGAAAATATCTCGAGGGAAAAGGAGAGACACTCTCAGAAGAAACCAGATTTTTATGTAAATTTATGTTCTTTGTGACTTCGTGATTTCTTTTACCTCTTGCAGCTATTGATCTTTTGGCTGAACATAAAAATTTGTGTTTAATTTCGATGGTCAGGTAGCCGAAGCCGCAGGGAGCTGAGCTGGAGGAGATCGGGGAGGAAAACCAGCTGGGCAGCTGGCGGATCGGTGGAGGGACCCAATGAACTAGTTTCGGGCTTGTGGCATGTAAGTTTTTTTTCGTTTTGTTGCTTTTTTGAATGCTTTGGTATTTGGGTTACATGAAATGTTTGTGGCCAAAGCTGCGGCGAAACCAATGAGACTTTAATGACGTCCACATCGGTCAAAGAAAATAAAATCGTTTAATGAGCTATAAAGGGCTATCTGTGGTGAGTCAATTGGTCACCTAATGTTATGGCCAAGCAAATTGGCTGTGTAAAAATTAATGAATAAACTTGTTTTATTTTCCCATAGAAACTCCATAGCCAGGCAACATAAACTTTTCACTATCCTCATATTTGTAGTTAGCTTTTTCGGGTAACTTGCCACCGCCACCGCCAGCAACAGCAGCAGCAATAGCAAAGCGTTGCAACTTTGGCAGCACATTCATTCATTTGTTTTCATGTTTCTTCATGCTGAAGCCGTCGAAAGCTGGGCACAAAATGGTCAAGTGATTTCCACTGGCCCACACTTTCACAAGCCCGAACAAGTGAATAAAAAGCAAGCCAAGAAGCGCTGCGGGGGTCCGAAGTGGATGATGAGTGCAATTAATATTTAATTCGTAAATAGACAAGGAAAAGTTTTGTTTTTCCACTGCCGCAAGCTGATGGTTTTGTAACTCAAGACGAATGACTTGCTCCAGCAAAAGAAGACCAAATGCAATGAGCCAGCCGCACCTCAGCCAAAACAGAAATACTCCCACCGAAATGCCAAAATGAAAACAGCCGCTCATCAAACCGAAGGCAAAAACAACAACAACGGGTTATAAAAAATAACAACCGCCCGTCCCGGGAATGATGGCACGCCCGTGATATCTTCCAGTGCTATCAAGATGGCTAAAAAAGAAATTGAATCATCCGAGGCAACGACAGCGAATTTCTCTAACAATAACTACTAATTTTGGACTTTAAAATCCACAAAATAATAATGAGTTTCTTAAATATTCAACAGTTTTCATTGTTATTATAACATTCATTTTAATTTTGGATAATTTATTAATGGACAGAAATATTGAGACAGAAAATGCCTCTCTTCTACCATTTAAACTAATTTAAGATTTTTCTAACTTTTGGCCATGTCAAATGAGTCCAGAGATGCCTTCCCCAAGGGTATCACTATCGCACACAAAAACCCTCGGGGCACCAGTATCAGTTTCTTAGTTTTCTGTTTTGGTTAGCGACTTTTTGAAACCGAAGACGTTTGCCGAGCTGCGTGGCCGAGAGACGCGAAGCCGTCAAGAATGCAGCCAAAAAGGCAAGAGCAGCCGAGCTAAAAAACAGGTTAAGAGCCGAGTGCACACCAAAGTCAAAAGTCAGGCAGTCTGCCCAAGAGTCAAGAGTGGAGGGGATCATTGAGCTTGGGTAGGTATGCGGAGTGTGTGTGTATGAGGCAGTCATGTGAATTTTATTTTGAAGATTCGGCAGCTCAAAGGCACCAAGATAGTCTGGGAGAATTGCAGGCTAGAAAGAAGATTAAGCCCGATAAGTTGGCTTGATTATAAATGCGGCTCCACTGGGCATTTCCACCCCACTAAGCCTGATCACAATTTTTCCATTTTTTAACAATTGTCGACAATGACAGCGTCAAAATGTTTTTTTTTTGTTTTTGTTTTGCTTCGCTTTTTCCCGGCGAGTGAGCTCCACTTTTCCACACAATTCTCACAATTAAAAAACATAAGAAGAAAACAGAAAACGCACACAAACATGGAGATCGAGAGACGGAGAAATAAAGAAAATTTGTGGCAATTGTAACTAATCGACGAGCAATGGCAGATGCCTGTTGGCTGTTAGCTGTTGGCGCCGTGAAAGCGCCCACCTTGGAAAACTTATGAAATTGTCAACTGCTTTTCAACATGATTAAGCTGCTTTTTGCCGCAGAGAAATAGAGAGCGCTGCGATGACCATTAATTCGCTTTTAGAATGAGTTTGGCATTCGTTGGCACTTTCACTGCCGCTGAGACGGAAGTTGAGAATTTAAAAACAGAAAATAACAAAATTGAAAATCAAGATTTACAAAAACGAAAACTTTCGTTACCACGGAAAGAGTTTTGTTGATTAGAAAATTATTGACCCAATCAAATTGTTATAATTATTTAATGATTTGATGGACGCCAGACATGCAGGGTACATATTAATCTTGCTCCATAATAAGTTAGTCGCATGTCGGAAAAGATCTTAGTCCAGACTCGGATCAGCCAGCTGATGGATCTCTCTTCAGATTAACACAGACAACGCCCTGGCATTCCATTCCATCTTAATGGCCAACTGACACTTGATGTGCGGCAGGAGATTTGTCATTCCTGTGAATCATACGAAGGACCCATCAGCCCTAAACTACATTTTCCTTCTTTAATTTCATCTGACTTCTTGCACTTTCAGTGGAGATTTGGAAATGGATTTTTACCTGTGAATTAGATTCTGTTGTTTTGTTTTTTAGGGTGTGTTGTAGGTATCTACCTGCCCATACATTGGCATCAGCTGCCAATTATCAGACTTTGAAAAAGATCAAAGAATTTTAGACCAAATAATAGATGACTTTGTGGCGTTTCTTTCTGGGGTTGATTCCTGCGAAATGGGGGATTAGATCATCTAATCGAAACCAAAGACTTTGAGCGATGCTCTATTGTTAGGTTAAGAAAAATTGGGAATAGTATAATCCAAAGGTTTCATTTAATCCCCTAAATGCCCTTTAAACAGGATTCTATAAACCTCAAATTCACAACTGTTACAAATCTAAAACGGTTTTCCTAGCCCCAGCACGACTTTGTAAATCCAAAGACTTAGGCAACAAACTTGCATTCACTTCTGGAGACTGCAATCTCTATTTAGCTCTTAACACACTTTTAACCACAACTTCCGTTTAGATGCTCTGAGCCAAATACCAATTTACAAATTATGACTAAGCCATCGTAGACTTAAGCCATAAAGCACGCGCTAAAACAAGTTTTACTTGTTTCGATACTTTTAGCCAAGTTATGGAAATGACTTAAGTAGAACTCATCTTTCCACAGATTCCTTAAACATGGCACAAATTTCCATTAAAGAAACGAGTTTATTTATATTTGCCAAATAGCTTTGCCAAAAAAAAAAAATGAGCAACGAATTAAAGAGCAAACATTGCCTTTTTTGTGGCTTGTTTACAGATCTGATGAGAGGGCCTTGCACGTCATTTGTTCTGCTTTTCACTTTGAGTTGAGTGAAATTTTCTACTACTTCTATGGTTTGTTTCGGTTTCTGTTATTAAGCAACAACAACAACAACAACACAAGCGTTCCGAGTGCGTCTTGAAATTGAGGTTAACTGTTTCCATAGCTCTCGCTTTTCGTCGTTCCAATGGAGTTTTGGCTGAGGCTGAGGGTTGAGGGGGAACCAAGAAGTCGACTTGGCCTTTATTGAATGAATGTGACAACAAAGGCGAGTCAGACACGGCCGACAGACAATCGAAGCTTTTTTTTTGGGTTTTGTTTAATAGAAAGTAAAAGAAATTGTTCTTATTGTTGCTGCTGGGGGAGTGTGCTACTTTTTATGGATAAGTGGAAATCCATATTGAAGTCTCTCGATGGCCCACAGCATAACCACACTCGACATGGCGATTGCTTGCTCAATCGCCGGAATCAATCAATTATTTAAACACAATTAAAGCGATGTTTAATTGCAAATCGTTGGTTAAAACGAAAGCATAGCTTTGTTTATATCTCTATATATAATCGAATATTTGCGCAATGACTGAAGCCGAAATGAGGCGTGTCTTGAAATGGGGTTTTATTTCATTATTGCTTATTGATTGATAGTTGAAAGTGATGGAATGTAATGATGTCAGCTTCACAGCTGAAGAACATAACGTCATCTCTCGACCAAAGGGCACTTATTCTCTCTCAGACCTTATAATAACCCCCAACTGTTACTTACAGTCCAGAGACTGCTTTGCATTGCCACTCTTTTCTGGCTTATTCGCAGTCGTTTCAATATGCAACTCACCTCTTATGAATGCAGCTGTGGATATAAATTTAACCACTATATTGGCTCGATATGTATCGTTCGCGAATGCTTAGTATTCCAGTTTATGTGGCATGTCAGCTGGTTATCCTTGAGGTCAACAACAGAGACAATAACGACGACGTTTTTTTCCCTTTCCCGACAACGGCGGTGTCAGTTTTTTATGGCAACTTTTTCGGTGCCTTTTCTTTTTATTTATTTAAACTTTTTAATGGACAAGGCCAGTGTTGCACTGCTGGGAGATATTTAAGTTGATTAAAAGTTTGAAAATAAAAGCTAAGAAAAATGAAAACGCGTCACATAAACGTTATTTATGATCGGTTCGGCTAGTCTGACTATCTATAGTCTGTATAATGGGGCTGGGTCTGTTTAATTATGCATGCCGTGGAAGAGATCTTAGCCAAGTCAACTCAAGAATTCTTGTCACGTCTTCGAAATGCGTTGGGAACATTTTGGTTTTCAGCTCACCAAAATGTTTGAAGAAATATTTATGGTAATTAGGTGAAAACCTGGCCAGGGATAGGGCTGAAAGTATTCCTATTTCAGATTTGGTTTCTCTAAGATTGAAAAACCAAACAAATGACTGGAGACACAAACTTGTTGTTGGTCGATCTTTGAGTTACTTAACTTAAAACTGGCTGCACTTGTTGCTGGTCCAACTTTAACCCTTATTATATATTTTTTTGGTAAGTTTTTGTGGTTGTTTCTTTTGGCCATTGCGCAAAAGTAGTTGTGTTGGCCACTTTTTCCATATGTCTGATACTTCTGCCCGGTTAATGGGAGCGTAAATGCGCAGCTGGCATGTGAAGTGAGTACCGGAGTATGTTACTCCCCATGGATGGACTACTTACTCGCACAGGTAGTCTAATGTCAGTTAACAAAGTAAAGTGCAAAAGGCACAGACAAGTTAATGGACTGGTAAAAACCGAACGGCTTACAATAAGAAGAAGCTAAGAAAACAGGGAGAACAAATTATACTAGAAGTTCAACTAACTTGCTTGGCTTAAAAACAACACGAAAGCATAATAATAGCGGCATTGTTCTGAATAAAAAATACTGTTCCACTTAAAAGGGATTTCCTAGCTTTGATTTTATAAAAATAAACAAGGAATTCCTGCAACTGCTCCTCGTATCTCTTCCACTCATGCGTTTGTTTTTATTTATTTATTCACTGATTTTAAAGATCGGTCCTTCATCCATTCCACTTTTTTTATTTTCTATTTAAAATGCATTTAGTTAATGGAAATGCTCGAGTTTAATGGCCAGTTTCCTCCTCACAGAGCACACACACGATCCAAGCACGCGCCTCCATTAAAATGCACAGAAATCCTTTTTTCGCTAGCCAAGAAACAAACACAGGCACGAAATCAAACACATTTCTGGGCAAAACAATTGAATAAAATCCAGTTTCCAGTTTCGAGGCAAATACATTCACAGACTGCACAAGCACTTATTGTTATAGGACACAAAGAGAGATATGTGTTTGTGTGTCCGGCGAGCGTTTACTGTACCATGTACTGTACCACACGAAGGCCAAACTCAGACTGAAACTTGTTCAGCAAAATCAACGCGGCCTGCACCTGAAGTTTCAGTCCACGCACACACACTCGCTCACCCAAAAGACCACAAGACACGACAGCAAAAAAAGGTAAGAAAAAGGCGAGGAGCGGGCCAGAAAACAGACAAGAAGGTAGAGCTACAGCTAGCGCTACGGCTAGAGCTAGCGCAAGAGGTAGAGGCGATCGGCAATAGGTAGAAATGTAAGACTGGCGAGGAAAATAAAACAGCTCAACGTGCCCGTTTTACAGATTTTCCTATGGTTGCCTATCCCGCTCTCTCTCTCTCTCTCTTTCTTAGACTTCTTAACGGCTTTCATTCGCTCAGACTCACTCACTAACTCACTCACAAAAACCCGAATCGATACATACACTAGTCAAGAGTTCGGGTTCGCCGCAGAATCTCAACGTCCACAACGCGCCACAGTCGAAGGCATACTGAAGCCCCGAAAGCTTCCGATTTCATGGGTTTCTTCATACATAAGTTTATCGCTCGGTAAAGAAAAAAAACCGGCATCCGATCGTAATTCGCCGCCGTTGCATACGGCCAAAAAGGCGGCTCGGTAATCTTAGCCGGCACTGCGAATTCGCCGCAGAATTGCTAGCTAACTGAATTTGCCAAAAATACGTGAGCTATATATTGTCTTGGCAGGATTAGCTGCGCCATCCTTGTTTCCTGGGAAATCCTTTACTTAATTATCCAGGACATGTGTACTCGAAAGTGGGTTTTACCCTCCTCCTGATTCTGGATTGCTAACTGTTTTCAAACATTCAAGCGTAACGGAAGCGGTAGTCCATCGAAAGACTCAGGCAACGAACTTGCTAAAAGGGCTAACCAGTAAAATAGAGTGGGCCATAAAAGTGGGATTGTTGCACATTCTCCTTTTGCGTTTCTGGACTGCCACTGTTCGTCTATTGAAGTCCTTTGGCACTCCTCGGCTATCAACTGGCCTTTCTTTGCTTATTATTATTTTTTAGTAATAAACGTAGCCATAAAATGACCAAAACGTGCGAAATGCCAAACGGAAATAGAACCTACTAATGACTAACCAAAAACTAAAGGAACAGGAGGAAGTCATAAAAATATCGTTCTTCAACGTACATATGTATGTATTTTTGAAAATCCTTTTTAAGTCAACCGTTAATGTCTGGCCTTTTGCATCCTAGAATTCTAAACAACCTTACGTCACTGCCGTAACCTACTTGGAAAAGGACACTTGTTCCCAAGAAAATTTACAGAATTGGGCAGAACATGTGCCTTTAATTGTGGGTTTTACCCAGGCTTATTTTCTAGGTTTTATTTTTATTTAAAAAAAACTTCATTTATTGTCAAGGACGTTGATAACACCTCTAAACTGACCATAAAAAAATTAAGTGATTATGCTTTTAGGGTTTCTTAGACACAAATTACAACCTTTTCTATGTTTTGTTGGCCTTGTTTCGTTCTTTCTTCTCTCATTATTTTTATTTTCAGCATAAACATTTTCCAGCAATGATTACTCATAAGAATGAAATAAAAACTGTTACGAATGATGATGTTCAACATATCTTAAATAAAGTTTCTTTTCCAGAATCGAACTTCCTGGCTTACATCGATCGAGAAGTCACGTTTCCTTTGGAAATTACACATGACTACATCAACAGTTAGTATGAGTGTGATAACAATCATTTAGCTGACTTTTGTACAGATATAAATTAGATAAAACGATGTAATTCACACAAACACCAAAATAGACCGATATAATTATAGGGTAAACCTTCCATTAGGCTCGCATCAATCCATCTACAAGGGGTTCATTTTTCTTCCTTTTCCAAAACAACAAATCATGATTTTATGAGTGCAATTAAAGTTTCTTGTGGTTGTTTGGAAAAAGAAGAAACAGAGGATTTTTGTTTGATAGATAAAAAGTAGGAATACTCTAATTACCTTTAAAATTGCGTCTATTTTCGGTTTATAACAAAGAAAAACATGATTCTTCCTACCTTTCTACGCTTCGGCAATCAGCTCCAACACTCTCCAGGTCAGATATTAAAATTAAAGGCAATACCCTTCCTTAGACGGAAAAGTAGACAATTGCCAGCCAATTGAAGAGGGACAATCAGACGGCTGACAAAATCAGCCAGTTGAGCCAGCAGAACGGAAGTGCCATATAGGGCGCACACTCGAATATTCCGATGAGGGTTTTGGGTCCCAGTTTAGGTTTAGGTTCTGGGGCGTGCCTGTCCGATTTTGGTCGGAGAAAGTCTTGACATTTTCATCAGAATAATGTTGTATTCGATTTCCCAACACACACTTTGCCAGCTATCTGAATAGAAATATTAAAAATGCCAATTGGTGGAGACGACTTGAAAGACTTTAAAGAACTGAACAAAATTCCGAAACGGAGTAAAACTTACATGTATGCCGGAATTATGCTCACTGTCATACCTGGCATTCTACTAGGAGGCTACATGGGCAAGAAGTTAGCCCAATTCCTTGAAATATTTGATCTGTACACGCCCGATATTGTGGATGACAATGAATGGAGTAATAACCATGGCACAGATTAATCTCTATATGGTTAACCAAAAGAATTTAGAGCAAACCTGTGCCGCATCCTGTTCGTATATATGCTAATGGGCCAAATCAAACAGGCCAAACGGGATGCTAGGAAAAGAAAACATAACGCAAACAACTGCCCAGACCGGTAACCAAATTTAAGTCAGGCCAATAACTCCACCAGATCGTTTGAATTATAATTACGAGTTCAAATCTTTGAAGTTTGTTTTATCAAATATATTCTTTAGATACGCGCAAAGTATTTATGAATAAAATGAATAAAAGGTGTGATTTAACTTTTTTAATTTTTTAAATATAAGCCAAGATTTATTTATTATCTCGTTAAGCTTTTGAAGTGTAGGTCATGCAATTAAATAACTTTATAATTATGACACAATTACCTAGAATAAACTTTTGTTTGCAGTTTATGTAGAGCATGAATAATACTTTGCATTGCAGATGAGTTTGGCTCGACGGCAGATTTGGTCATCGCCAGACTTTAATTGCATCAAGTGTGGAAGTTTGCTTTATTGGATCTGGGTTAGGCATTCACTGAGAGCGAGCACGCATTAACTTAAACTAATAAAACAAACTAAAATTATCACGCTTCAATATTAAACCAAGCACACGTTCATCATTATTTGCACATTAAATGATCGTTTTTCTTCTCGCTTGAGAACGCCCCCCGGATGCTTGTAATTTCTCTTTAATTAATTGGTTAATTTTTTGTTTTTGCTTGAACACCCAGTAGCATATTTAGAGCCGGGAATCTCATTTTTTCTCATAATACTCTAGAAATCATTTACAATTTAAATAAATGGTTTTATTATCGCATTGATTTTCATAAATGTTTAGATTATTATTCTTATTAATATTGAATTAATTTAAAATACCGCTAAAAAGGCAAGATTTATAACCCGCAATTAATGACTTATCAAGGCATCTATAAACCATTTTTAAAAGTTTTTCTTACCTTCAAGAACAACATATTTTGGAGTTTCGATATTGATCTTTTATTCTAAATAAAATATTAAAGATCGAAAGTTCTTAAAGAAAATTTTTTAAAAATTTAAATAATTACATTTTTTAAAGTTATTTATAATTAACAAATTGAAATTGAGTATTTTTATAAAATGGTAAGTAGTTGTAAACATGGTTATGTTTTCAATAAGAGATATTAATATAAAAAAAACGAATTTGAGTATATAAAATTTTACATTTAAAATCTTTTTGTAATTTAAATTTCAACGGTTAAATGGATTTAACCATCTCTAAGTGTGACCATAAATATAAAAATACCAAATAAATGTATTCCCTTTTTGTGTGCGGTATATTAATACTACTACTCCTACAAACACATATCAACAGCTGATCGCCTCGAAAACATAAACAAACACTTATAATAGTAGGAATGCATTGAACGTCAGCTGCCAAACTCAGAAATAGTTTCAAAAGTAACTTAAATAAAAGCTGTGAAAATGTGGCTGGCAGGAAATCTTTTTGGTCGTTCAGAAACCTTTCGATTCGGTCGTTTATTGCACCTCAAGCGGAAAGAGGTCTATATAGTGAGTCTGAAGCTAGCAAGATCGCTTGTATTTCCAACTATTATGCAATATCCATCCTGTTAATTTTAGGAATGCCTTCGCATCCTGGGTGTGCATGAATCAGCCGATCAGAACACGGTCCGCCATGCTTATTTGGATCTTGTGAAGCGGGTGCATCCCGATTCGGGTACAGAAGAGGCCAGCGCTGAGCGCTTTCAGCAGGTGGACGAGGCCTTTCGGGTGCTGCAGGAAAAGTTCGCAAAAGGCAGGCGCAATATCCAGGAAGACGAAGAAGAGGCTATGGAGTTCGATATTAAACACACGGCGCCTCAGCATCGCCAATATCTCTCCAATGAAGGAATCGGCGTGGGTAATCCTTTCCAGCGTCAAAAGCAGTACCAGCAGGTACGTGCCATGAAGGCTCAGGAACGCGTTCTGGAGCACCGCATTGACAAGTCAGCTGCTGGAGAGAAAACAATAATGTCTAAGGGCGGCAATCACTTTCGCAGACATGCCATTAAGACAAAGTACGGCATAGATCGGGTTGTCGAGGATCTCATACAGGAAGCCATGTCCAAGGGCGATTTTAACAATCTCAACGGGGCAGGAAAACCCCTGTCTTCGGCTCAATCGCAGAATCCCTATCTCGACTTCACAACCCACAAGTTAAACAAGATCATGCTGGACAATGGCTTCACGCCCGAATGGATCAGCCTCGGCAAGGACATTCGTGATGCGATAGGTGAGCTTAAGATTAAACTACGCAAGGAACGTATATACTACGGGGAATGGCCTCTGCACCTATCCGAGCACATAGCCGCCTGGCAAACCTTTACCCAGCAGCACCACGAAGAAGTTAACCAGCTGAATAAAGCTCATTGATAAGTACAATCTCATAGTTCCCATCCTGGAGAATCAGTTCTTTCGCCTGAACCTCGACAGAATGGCGGAACGTATATTTAAGGATCCAGAATTACAACGTAACATAGTAAGACCCGGATTAAGTGCCAAAGCCAGCAGCAAAGTGGATAGTCAGGATAGTAATAGTACAAGTCTGCTTTCCTTTTTAACCAAACTATTGTAAAGGTTACTGTGTGATTGTCAATATGTGATATTAGAAATAGAGAAATGTGTACAAAATGTGTGATTTACGTTTTATTTGTATAGATTAGAGATAACTATGAAATAGTTTGCTATCTATGATGCTAACCTATTGTAGTAATTATTAAAAGAAAGTTGAAAATATTGATAATAATAGTTTTTATTTAAAGGGCAAGAATTTGCTAACAAATAATAAGATAAACTTTGTTATCAGAATATTTGTTTTCTTTATTAGGACTAAGTTCATATTTTGCTCAGACTCTTCGTATGCAATCATAAAAAGGGTATACAATTGTTGTCAATATCAGTGATGTACGAGTATAGAAAACAAAATGCAGTCTTAGCCTATTAAAACGACTTAATTAGTGTAGATTTCTATAAAATTTCGAGATTAATATTAAAACTAATTCGAAAAAGATGAAAGAAGATGATTATATTCCACAGATAAATTTTCTTCAAGCTGGCAGGCTTGATAATCAAGAGAGATTTTACTGACTTCCCTCGGGACCCAGACGAGCTGCTCCGCTGGCCAAGAGACCCAATGCCCTTGGAAAAGCCCAATGCTCAGCCTTGTGGATGCGCTGCGTCAGTAAATCCTCATCATCACCGGTCAAAATAGGAACTGTAGCCTGAACTATAATAGATCCCGTGTCCACGCCTTCGTCAACAAAGTGAACCGTGCAGCCGGATTCCTTTTCACCCGCCTCCAAAGCCTGTTTCTGAACGTGCAGTCCAGGATACTTGGGCAGCAGGGAGGGATGGATGTTGATGAGGCGTCCCCGCCACTCTCGAACGAATGGAACACTTAGGATGCGCATGAAGCCGGCCAAGCAGATTAAATCCACGCGAGCCGCTTTCAGATTTCGCGTAAGCTCGGCGTCGTATACTTCACGATTGGCGAAATCTCTGTGGGAGATTACAATCTTGGGAATCCCAGCATCGGCAGCACGTTCTAGACCCAGGACGTCAGGCTTATTGCTTATAACCAGCACTATATCGGCATGGATACCCTGCGCCGAGTCCCGCGTAGCATCTATCAGTGCCTGCAGGTTGCTGCCGGTCCCAGAGATGAGAACAGCAACTCGTTTCCGCGGCAGAGAGATAATCTTCTGAGTCCTGGCTAATGATGCTTCGAAGTTTTGGACCACCACCTGCGGTTTCTTCGCATCCTTGCGAGCAATAACCTCGCCGACTACAGCAGCTCTTTGGGGATAACGCAATTCGTTAAGGACATTCTCGACTTCCGTGGGGGCCACCACCAGAACCATTCCTAATCCGCAGTTGTAGGTGCGCTGCAGCTCAGTGGAACTGATGTTTCCGGCTGCTGCCAGCCAGGCAAAGACGGGTGGAAGCTGATACTTGTTGGCATCCAGGCGAACGGCCAAATCCTTACGCAACACTCGGGGTATGTTCTCACTGAGGCCTCCTCCTGTGATATGGGCCAATGCTTTGATGCCGTGATTACCCCGGGCCAATAGGTTGGATAAAGCCTGCACATAGATCTTGGTGGGTACCAGCAGCTCCTCGCCCAGTGTCTTCACGCTAAACGGCGCCTTGTCATTGAGACCCAGACCCACTCGCTTAAGGACGGCGTGGACCAAACTGAATCCATTACTGTGAACACCAGATGAGGGTAATCCAATGAGCACATCACCCGGCTGAATGTCATCCAAAAGGGGCAGTATTCCCGAACGTTCAGCAATGCCCAAAGCAAAGCCGGCCAGATCATAGACCTGCGAATCATACAGTAGCGGCAGAGCGGCACTGTGCGAATCTGGATGGGATTAGACACAGGATTAGTTTAACAATAATCCAAATTCTATTTACCACTTACCAATGAAACTGCTGTTGGCCTGCCGGGCACCCTCCTGGACTCCAGAATGGACCTCCGTGGCCAATTTCTTCTGCCATTGGCCGCAAGCGTAGTAACTCGAGAAACTTAAGGGCTCGGCTCCGTTGCAAAGGATGTCATTGACGCACATGGCCACCAGATCGATACCCACGCTTGAGTTGCGATTCGTTTGTTGAGCTATTTTCAGCTTGGTCCCCACGCCGTCGGTGCCCAAGATGAGAATGGGATCCTTGTAGTGACTGGGAATGCGAGTAAGTCGACGTCCTGCTGCGTTTTCGAAGCAGTCCTCACGAGGAGCTGTCAAACCCAGATTCGAAGGCAGTTCCTTGAGCTCCTCGGGCAACTGCCGTTCGCCAAGTCCACCGAAAGGGGGAGGTAACCTTCTTTAGTTGCTCCACAAAGTTGCGCACCTGGACGGGAGAGGCACTGGTCTTTGACCGCCGCTGCAGAACACCCAGCACTTTGGCTCCTGGCAAGGATGTCCGCCACAGTTTACTCGACTGGGGCAGAATCAATACCATGCCGATGCCGCAGTTATGCCGCTCCAGGAGTGTCTGTGCACTTAGCTTCAACTTTCCAGCCAGCCATCCAAAGATTTTTGGTACCGGAACAGCACCGAAATCCAAAGTGGTCTCGAATCCTTCTGGCAACAGGCGGAGGACGTCATTTAGAAGACCATGTGTCACATGGGCCACCGACTTGATTTCATCGCCTTTTTGAATATGAGGCAGCAACTGCTGGACATACAGCTGAGTGGGCGTGGCAAGCACATGGGCAAGCGTCAGGCCGTCCTCGCCACCGTCAATAGGAGAAAGCTCCTTCATGTTTACTTTGGAGGCAGCCAACTGGGTGAGTATCTCATTGAAGCCGGCGCAATGCAGTCCAGATGATGGCAAGCATACGAGAAGATCACCCGGCTGATAAAGGTCATAACGGGGCAGGATCCTAGACTGCTCCACGATTCCCACGCAATAGCCAGCCATGTCATGTTGACCGGGCGCATATAGAGAGGGCATCTCGGCTGTTTCACCACCTGTTAAAAAATTTTTATTGAATATTTCAGGATTAAAGAGAGATCAGTCATGTTCTCACCTACTAGGGCACACCGCGCATCTCGGCAGCCATCGGCCATTCCCTTGACCAACTGAGCGGCCAATGGAACGTGAAGCTTTCCACAGGCAATGTAGTCCAGGAATGCCACAGGCTCGGCACCTACTTCAAGAAGATCATTAGCGGCCAGGGCGAACAGGTCGTAGCCAACATTTTCGTATAGTTCGTGCTCTAGGGAAAGGTGAATCTTGGCCCCCACTCCTTGGACGGCCTCTGCAATGACTGGCTCCTTGTAGCTAAGGTCTTTTATGCGGAACAGACCTCCAAAGCCACCCAAGCCACCTAAGACACCAGGTCGCTGAGTGCCACGGGACAAGGGCTTAATGCGCTGCACGAGTGCATCGCCAGCATCAATATCCACTCCGCTGTCCTTGTAGCTCAGCCCCGGGGAGCTTGCCGTAGCTCTAGGAACGCAAAATGGTGTAAGACAATAGATCATCAATGTGATAAAAAGTGATATTAAATATATATATATATGAGTGAGGATTTGAACTGTGAAGTGAATTTATCAAACATTCCTTAATTGAACATCTTCTATCTTTGAATCCCGGATTAACATTCGATGACAATATGGAAATTAATACCTTGAAGCGGTAACTAGTATCATAATTTCCTGAGCTCAAAACTATCTACTTTAACAAGATGAAATCTACAAATTAATATTTTTTCCAATCTAATCTTTCTTTATTTAAACTGAGTCATGATGGATGATTCGCTTGTAATTACATTTTGAATGCCTTCTGGGCAATGTCCGTCCTGTACTGAGCTCCTGAGCCCGAAAATGTAATGCTGCCAGCCAACTTAGTGGCCTTGGCAGCGGCCTCCTTCAGGCTGCCGTCCAGAGCAATAGCGATAAGGACCCGACCGCCGTTGGTCAAGGCTTCCTTCTTTTGGTTTACGGCAAGACCGCTGTGAAAGACCAACTGGGTTGGGGAATTGGCAACCGGAAGTCCTGAAGGGATTATAAAAACAATTAAGAAACTGCAAAAGTGTTTCGAAACACAAAACCTTACCCGAGATAATGACATCCCTTGGTTGAGGTCTCCGGATAGCCAGCACTGGCTAGGATCACACCCACGGCGCTTACTCCATCACGCCATTGCAGTGGAATTTTGACCAGCTGTCCGCTGCAGCAGGCCTGCATCACTTCGAATAGATCAGTTTCGAGCAGTGGCAATATCACCTGGGTTTCGGGATCACCGAACCGACAGTTGAACTCCAGGACACGGGGACCATCGCGTGTCAGCATGAGTCCCGCATAAAGGACACCTTGGTAGGTGATCCGCTCCTTTATTAGACCCTGGACTGCCCTCTCCAGCACAGCCTTTTGAACCAGCTCCAGCGCTGGCTGAGTGATCAAAGGACATGGGCAGTAGGCACCCATGCCACCGGTGTTTGGTCCAGTGTCGCCGTTGCCCAAACGCTTGTGATCCTGAGCGGGCAGCATGGCACGGACATTCTTGCCATCGGTGAAGGCCAACACGGACACCTCTTCGCCCTCCAGCAGCTCCTCCACCACTAATGTGGCACCCGCCTTTCCGTATTTCAGTTCTCCCAGGATTTCGTCCACCGCCTGGCAGGCTTCCTCCACATTGGCAGCCACCACAACGCCCTTTCCGGCTGCCAATCCAGCTGCCTTCACCACCAGAGCTTGATATGGGGCGCTGTAGAGAAAGTATTATTTTCAATCTATATAAATTTTTATTTTTATATATCAAAGTTCACCTTTTGATAAATGCCTTTGCCTTCTCCGTGTCCGTGAAGCTCTCATAACGGGCCGTTGGGATGCCATGACGAAGCATAAAGTCTTTGGCCCACTTCTTGTCAGCCTCAATTTGGGCACCTTGCTTCCCAGGTCCAAAGCAGGCAATTCCTTCCTTCTGTAGAACATCGCCCAATCCCAAGGCCAAGGGATCTTCGGGTCCTACTACCACTAGAGAGATGTGATTTTCCTTACTCCATTTGGCAATGCCCTTAAATTTATAAAAATAAGTTAATTAAATAATAATAACAATAAATACAAAAACTAAGTAAGGTATAAAAATTATTTAGTAAGATCTTCTTAAGTGATTCATTAGGATATAAAATATATAAACACATTTTTCGGGATTAGTCGAGCTCATCGATAACAATACCAGCCCCGGCCCCGATAATCCTGTTGTGATGAAATATCATCAAATAACCGTTGTTTAAATTTGCAAAGTTAAAATCAAATTACTTAATTAACAACCAAATCGTAATCACAATACACTGCTGCAATTTGTTTTAAAAATATATTAAAAAGTTTTTTTTTTTATTTCGTATGATATGGAGATCGAAAATCTTGAAAATTGCATTATTATCTTTTCGTCTGCGAAAACAATCTTAAATTTTGAGATCATAATTGGTTTTTCCAATCAAACCGGGTCACGATCGTTAGCCACTTCTTGGGATCCTCGTTGTTTTGATTTTTTGTAACCACATTCCAAATGGGAGATAACACTCCTCTAAGTACTCAACCGGTTCCATCGTCAATTTGTCGCCAAAATACTAAATGCCTTCCTAATTGTTTTGCCCATTAAACTGGGTCTGCGGGTGCATTGTCTTCACATTTTGGCGGATGCTGAAGATCGAGAAGAGACTGACTCAGGCGCCAGCTATGTCAGCCATGTCAACAAACCAAGTTAATCCCAGCTCGATCGCTGGTCCGGTTTTCAAGCTGTCGATATCGTTACTCAGCTCTAATTCGAATTGGCGCCAACGCAGCGCGGATTACCCCAGCGCTGCTGGTGAAACGTGTCGCGCGATTGCACTCGGCTGCGTTCCAGACCATTTAGCACCTGCGGAACTCATCCCGATTTCCTGACCCCCACCTTCCATCCATCCCCATCCGGTTCATTCGTTTCCCAGGGTTCAAGAACGTTCACACGGCATGACGTTTTTATCGAGCTATTGGGCTTTCCAAATCTGGAAAGAGTTTTGGCAAACCCGGCCAAGGTTTTAATTTCCCGTAACGAAGGTTGTGCCGACCTTATGACAGATGTGACGAACAAAGAAAAAAGAAAGATCAACAGCTTTTAATACTGTGTATTTTTTTTTTTTTTTAATTTTTGGCTCACATTCTCCGACTGGCTCTTCCCAAATTTGGCTAGAACGTTTTCGTCTTTATGCTTTACAGAGTGCGCTCATGATTTACGGTATTATATGCAAATGAAGTGCGGGAGAATGGGATCTCGCAATCTGGAGGGGGCGGTGAGGTTGGAGAAGAATGTTGCCACATTTGTTTGCGGATAAGTAAGGAATTAGATACGCTTAGCTGAATTAGTCGGACGGGTTTTTCGAATCAAAAAAAAAAAAAAGTACCATCAGGCGGGAGATAGCTGGGATGAAGCAGGAAATTTCGTCTCAGCTTCTTCTGCCAAGATATTGAATTATATGTTTGATGATAAAAGTCCAAAGATCATTTATCAGACTAACTATGCTGAGCTTAATGATCGCACTATGCAATTTCTAAGAATAACCATGCCAATAAGGAGAACAAAGAATGTAGCAGATCACGTAAGTTGAAGAACTAATTAAGCTTTATTATGCCAAAATTGGCATTTAAGTTGTAAAGTAATAAAACGTTCCTTTAACTGGAAAGTCATTTCCTTTAAGATCAACCAAGGGTATAGCTGCCACTTTTGGATCTCTAAACTGTGCATAAAATAGAATGATCTAATGTCAGTTAAGACTAGAAGCGGAATTATCTAACATTCTATAACAGTTACTGATTTATCTTATCAATCACTGAAACGTAGGCTTTACAGATCTTAACAACATCTGCCAACAACAGAGCAGTTCAACGATCGCCATGGTATTTAGAGTTCCTTGAGAATATAAGTCAAGCAAGGCAATATGGGACTTTCAAGATCAGCCACAATACACATCAAATTGTAAGTGCCCCAACCTTCGGTTAGGGCATAACCATTCACGAATGTTTCATTAAGTTTTTACTCTTCTTTCCGTTTTGCTGGATTTTAGCATCCCACACTTTAGGAATTGCAGCGGCGACAACGACAAATAACGTCGTTGATACCTATATAAAATAATACTTATAAGAAATAAAATCATTTTATTTATGACTGACTAAGGCAACCAACAGCGATGATGTAGATGAAGAAGATGGCGTTGATGACGAGCGGAGACGGCGGGCTCGGAACTGGGTTTCCGAGGCGAAATATTGCCAAAAAATCCGCTGGTGAGCGGATGGATATAAAAACGAAAGCGTCCGCGAAACAGCCAAGCAGTTTAGAACCAAACTCGAACGCGACATCATGTATTTGCTTGTAAGCCTAAAGAATCTCCCTGCCAATCTGGGATTTCCCCCGAAAATGGATTATAATCGCTGTCTCTTGTCTACCCACAGGTGAACTTTATCTTTGCTCTGGCCGTGATGCAGGTGCAGGCCGGATCCTCCTACATTCCTGATTCGGATCGGAACACACGGACACTTCAAAACGAACTGCAAGTGGAGCGGGATGGCAATTATCGCTACGCCTACGAGACTTCCAATGGAATTTCCGCCTCTCAAGCTGGACTGGGTGGTGTTTCGGTCCAAGGTGGGAACAGTTACATTTCTCCCGAGGGCAATGTCATCAGTACCAACTATGTGGCTGATGAATTCGGCTATCATCCCGTGGGATCTCACATTCCCCAGGTCCCGGATTATATACTCCGCGCCCTGGAGTACATTAGAACGCATCCCTACCAGATAAAGGATTACTACACCGGCGAGCTCAAGACCGTGGAACACGACGCAGCTGCCTTCAATGTGTACACCCGCAATATCCAGGAACACACGACTCCCAGATCCCGACCGAGCACCACTCCAAAAACTATATACCTCACCCATCCGCCCACGACAGCGTCGCGATCTCTGCGACAAAGACGAGGCGCTCTGAAGCACTGATGATCGATGGTCGAGAGTCTTTGGCGGGGTAAGGGACTGGTAGGGGCTCTTAGGAATCCACCAGGCGAATCTGTGAATTTTGATCTAAACAATTAATTAAGCCACAAGCAATAAATAGAAGTGCTAAGCAAACGTAAGCTAAAATCTTAAACGACAAAAAAGATTGCCATTTTTTAATCGGTCTGTTGACTTGTCAACTGGAGCTCATGGATCACGACATAAACATTTTCGGACATTTGAATTTGTTTATAAAGTTTCGAATTCTGACTTCACCATTTGTTTAGAGTGGCGTTCAGCAATTCTCCTCATATTTGTTACTGGGATCAAAAATCAAACGCATATGTTTAACTTAGTTGATCCAATTTATATCTAATTGAAGTAAATGACCAGCACTTAAAATTTCCATATTTTTAATCGAATTACCAGCTGTGGTTGCTGATCTAAAAAAAAATTTATAAAATATGGGGTCGTAAATGCGTTTTAATTAATTTTTTTTAATCCCAATGTTAAATGCTTTAGCGAAATGGAAGAACCCAAATTAAAGAATTTTTGTTTTGAAGAAATCATCGTTGTTTTTAAATGCAGCTACTTGCTATAATTAATTAAGCCAAATTGACTAGATAACGCTATTGAACAGGTTTCTAAGGAAATCTCACTTTCTGTAGCGGTAATATTTGTGTTATTCCAATAATAAACCATTTATAAGGTTTAATTTTTTATGGTTCAAAAGTTTCTAAAACATTCTTACTTTCGGTGGCACTTTCTTATTTTTACCAATTTTTATTTTCACTTTTCTGTTGAGTGGAACAACCGTTTTTGTTATGCTAGTTAAAATATGTTATTAACGGGCCACAAATTTTGAATTTGTATGTATTTTGAATTGATCTTTAAAAGAGGTGTTTACACTACTTTACACATAAATATATAAGTTAAAAAATAAGTAAATCCATATAATGCATATTTTACTATAAAATAATTGTAAATGTAGAAAAGAAAAACGTTTGCAATTAATATTTTAAGAGCATACACATTTTTATAAGTCATAATCAGACAGCCCGGTGATAGCTTTAACCCAGAGACATGCACTACCCAAATCACTTATCAGCTGAGCTTGCAAACGCAGCCCCCGTGGCCCGCCTAAGGGTTAAGGCACAGCGACAATCGGAGATTGGCTGCAATAAAACGCTTTCCCAGAGTCTCGATTACGGATTTATGGCTGCCGTTGAGCATTAAAGTTCTTGGCCAGCATGCAAAACATATTTTACTCTGATCAGAAGCCATAAAAGCGTATCTTTGTGGCCATAAAACGAAACCAAACCAAATTAAATGGAAAAAAATAAACTGTTTTGCTAAATCTTCACCCGCAACTCAATTAGCACACACATTCGCATTTTTTATTAACAATAAGCCGGGGGTCGAAGGTCATTCCAAGGTCGGGATAACGAACCTACCTCGAAATCCTTAGGATCCAAGGTCTGGGACTCAAGATTCAGGCACTTCTCCACCTGCTGAATGCCATGGCTGCCGGGCAATGCGAATATTTTGGAGACTTTCGGGGATTGCGATAACTTCCAGCAAATCGCGTGCTCCCGACCGCCGCTGCCAATCACCAAAACGCGATGCGACATATTTTTGTTTCGGAAACAACAAGAACTGAGAACTAATCACGTTTCTAAAGCAATAACACTACTTTATTAATGCTCGCCCACGTGTTGAGCTCGGCGATCAAGAGAGTAAGATTGAGACGAAAAGCACACGCGAGTTTATGTTTCCAGCTCTCCAAGCTTCCAGCGACTTTCGGTTCAATTCAAACCGCTCGGTTCGACGCCTCTTTTCCAACTAAAATCTGGAATCGAAGTTAAAATTTGGTAGCAAATGCCTAGGCCTAGGTAGACGTATGTATGTATGTGTTGAATATGAATATATGTATGAATGTACATACATACATACATATGTACCTTTCCGACGTGCGATTATGTTTATATTCAGGTTCCAGGGACTGATAAGAGCGGTTCCAGTGGGATGATTGCATTTGATTATACAGACAGAAAAATCTGTGATAACAAAACTTCTTAGATATGGCACTTAAATGATATGATATTTTAAACATTTATAAAAAAATAAAATAATTTAAATTGAAAATAAACCCAGTTTCAATTTCAGTCGCATTTCTTTCTGTGTATCGTATTGTTTGTTGTTTTCCATGAGGGCAACTGTAAGAGTTGCGAATAAATAACAAAAACAAGATGATAGCCTTTGGGGACCTTTGAAATTCAACGATCGCTGGGGGTAAACGTAACTGTAACTCAAATTGCATCGCTTATCACGATCATTTTTAAAATGCGAATGAACATCCGAAAGATCTGGAAATATTCCTCTATGTTTATACTCTTATTTTTTATGCCACATAAAAGATCAGCTGGATACCAAAAGCTTAGCCTAAACATATGTGTGTTCATACACATATCTAGAATGAAAGCTTAAAGCTTTTTAGGCTCCCTCTCAAAGGGAAAAATAACTCCATCGTTAAAATTAGAACTGAAAAGGAATTAATTGAAATGTAAAAAAAAACACTTTCTTTAGTTATGTGATCAACAAAACCACCATGGCATTAATGAGGTCGAAAACGAGTCAAGACGAGTTCGAATCAACATCCGCTGATTAATTAGGTATTGAACAGCGCCAGGCAATAAACAAGATCACATCTTGAGCTCAGTAATTCGAGGGATCAATGTACTTTAGAAATCGTAATACAATAAAGCCAATTGAGTCACTTTTAATAGGATGTTCATCAGATTCCTAAAAACCATACTATAGGTAATATTCACGTGTTTAAAATTCAAGTTTCTTTGCTTGCATCACTTTTAAAAATTACTGTTTTGTTTTATTAGTATGCATTATACAAAATTGTGTGGTGTGAGTTGTAAATTTACAAAATATCTACCATAGTCCGTCATAAAATTTGTTTTACATAGATGTTGATTTTCAGGTTTAGCCAGTGGATATATCAACGAATTTGCACCACATCGAACCTGAGCTCAATGTTTAGCGACAAAGAATCTCAGAATGACTCGTGGGTTGTTGTTTTCGGTTGTTGTTGTTTTTTCTTTTATATATAGAAACATGCATTTGGAATCAATGTACCAAGATGAAAATAAGAATAAGAAGTTATTGAAATAGACAAGCCGCTCTCCATCGCTGCAGTCTGTTACCGGCGCATCTGAAAGCCAATGGAACCATTCGGACAAGGGCCCTTGGGCAAGCGCAGGACTAGGTCGTTGAACGGATGCGGATGCTGGCCATGCTGCTGCTGATTCTGTTGTTGCTGCTGCGGCGATTGCAGTGACTGTTGGCGCAGAAGTGCGGCGGACACTGATCCGCCCACAACAGGTGACCAGCTCTGTTGCGGATTGGGAGACGACTGAGGCGGCCCCTGAGCGGGCATCCCAACTCCTCCCAGCCCCGATCCTCCGCCACCATATGGCGGCAACCGTTGGTTATAATGCGACGGAATCGAGGGCGGCGGCTGCTGCTGCTGCTGTTGCGGGTTATAGTAATAGTTCAGGCCCGGCTGATTGTGCGGCCCCTGGAAGTAGCTGTTGTAGTTATTATACATCGGCGTCACCTGGGACATTTTTGGTGCCGAGCTGGAGCGATGCATTCCCGCTGCTGGATGGCTTCCGTTGTTGTTGATAACATTGTTGTTGCTGCTGGCAGAAGGGGGAGTAGCAGTAGTGCTATTGGTAGGAGGAACCGAGGGCGGGGCAGCCGGAGCACTGCTATTTACAGCTGGCGAACTGGGAGTGGCCCTAAAAATAGAACACAATTATAATTACAGTAGTAACTACTTTAGCTCAATTCAACTTAAATAAATGGTAAGATTTCTAACGTGCCTTAAATTCAAAAATACTAAATAATAGATGAGATAGATACTCAGTAGATAATATTTTAAGGGCAACCTTTTATTAGTAAGTAAAATGATGCTTTCTGTACCACAATAGGTATTAAAGTGCGATTTCGAAACTACCTAGCTTGTGAGTTATAGAAACTCATGTCCCTTTGCCATCAACAACGACTATCAACATAACATGACAAAGTTTAATCTCTGCAAAATGTTAGTCATACAATTTTTATAGGACAAAATAATATGAAAACGCACGGGTTGGCGTCTTAAATTATAGTATATATTTCAATATATGTGACTTTTTCAACAATCGTTAAAACAGTTTCCACTATAGGAACATCTCATTTTATCAGCCCCATCAGGAAATCAAGTGAATAGTATTAGTCAGCCTGAAAATAACTAAAGCCAATACTTAACCTAAATATATACCATGATCATTTCTGCCTATATATCAAGTTTTGTCTAACGAGTAGCAAATAGCTGCCCTTTTTTATTAGTAATAATAATGTTAAGGAAACGCCCTTTTAATTGTTTAGTTTTTAAGACTTAGCATTTTTAAGGAGAATTAATATAAATAAGTTTTATAAGCTTACGGTTTATCATCCTCTGGGTTTTTGGCCGCGCCCGAGAATGCGCAGCCTGGCCTCTGCGTACTCCTGTTCGCGCTGCTTGAGCGTCTTGATGGGCTGCTTGGGTCGCATCCCGTTAGTATCCCGCCGCTCCTCCGCTTGGGCGGGCCGTCGCAGGATCTTAACGGTCTGGTTGGTGGTGGGCGTGGCATAGCTGGCCGAATCGTACTCATTAGAGGACTTGTGCAGTACCATCATGACTGGCTGCTGCTGGGCAGAAGGATCAACCTCTGCTGGCGGTGGTTGTGGCTTTCGGGCAATGGTTATCTGCCGGGGCGGGGGATTCCCGCTCCCACCGCTGCCGCCACTGCTGAGGATTTGTGAGGGTTCCTGGATGGTCTGCGGCCGTTGGAGCAATTTCATCTTTTGGGCAGGTGGATCGCTCGTTTGTAGCTTTGTTTGCAAAGTCATGGAGAGCTGGGAAATAAAACATGGGGTTCCTTTAGTTATTAGGGCAAATGATTACGGAATATAAGATGATACTCACCCCCGCCTCGTCGATTTCCTCCCAGTTGTCTAACACATCCTCGCCATGGGACATCGTTCAACAAAGCACGTTGCTTGCCTGGTGATAGAATATATACTTCGGGTTGCTTTTTCGCTCACTTTCTTCTCTTGCGCCTGCAAATACGCCTGCTGCAGCTCGCACTCTTACTGATACATGATTCCTTTGCACTTTTATCAGACATAAGTTATGCGTATGTTTGCAACCACACTATTTTCACGAAATTCGCACCCAAAATCCCTACTGAAAAAACAAAAAACAATACGCAACAATTTGGCCCTGCTGCTAGTGTCGTTGTTCTTGTTCTTCTTGTTGTTGTTGCTCACCGTGCCTTACTCTTCTTCTTCGTCAGTGTCAGGTCAGCAAATATAAGAGGTTTCGCTGCTTTCAACAGCAGCTGGGAAAATTATTTCACGTTTTTCGGCCCACCCCACACTTTGCCACAAGGTTCTTGGCCACCCACCTTTGCTAGCCACAATTGTTAACCATTTACTTTTACTTTACATTTATTTTGTTAAAAAGTGTGTGGCCTCCGCCCGCGTTTCGCTGTGATTGTCGAGAATTTCGATATCTATGTATATCCGATAAGATGTGTCATCGAACGGGAAATTTAAAATGTGCTCGCTTCTGCTTGTATTAATTTTAATATTTTAAAAATGTGACAATTTATAACAGGGTGCAATTTGAATTAATTTTAAAATGAAGTAAAACATATTTTACCACATAATTATTAGGTTTAAATTCATTAAATAATTAGTGAGTGTGTAAACTCTTTTAAAGTAACTCGAAAACAAATTCAAAAAAATTCGAATGAGATTGAAAAAATTAATTAATTTATTTTTGTTATCTTTTTGTAATGTGTATTTCCATTTCAAGTATAACTAAGATTACATATTTAAAAAAATACCAACGATTGCATTTGGTACTTAAATGTTAAAGCGATGTTAGGCGAATGTTATGCGAACATGAAAGCTAATCAGCTGTTCCCGCTGTAATTTTGTGAAGACAAATGAAATACGTTTTGGAAATAGATAAGAGCATCGTTTGATCATGGAAGTTGTATTCCCGTGCTATTTGGAAGAAACACACAGCATTATCATAGGTCAGCAACCGCTCAGTCAGCAGATAACAAATCGATAGCGTGCTCCTGCAACCAGCTATCTCCCTAACACGTGCGATCTACTCAGAGGCTGACGGAATTCCCACTTGGTTTACGTAAAAAGTTAAAATCCCGCCATGGAGGAAGTGGAGATCGCCGTGGTAAAGAAATCGAATCCCGTTAAGTCGTTCATTGCTGGAGGCGTAGGTGGTATGTGCAATGTATTCGTCGGCTATCCTTTGGACACCATAAAGGTAAGCTAGAAATATTGGTGTTTTTGTGAAGTTCTAAGCAAAATGTTTTCACGTACAGGTTCGTCTTCAAACCATGCCCACTCCTTTACCAGGACAACCTCCTCGTTACAAGGGAGTTATAGATTGTGCCGCTCGGATCTTTCGCCAGGAGGGTTTTCGAGGATTCTACAGAGGCATATCAGCTCCCCTTGTGGGTGTGACTCCCCTATATGCTGTGGACTTTGCTGTCTATGCGGCGGGCAAAAGAATGTTCCAAACGGACGAACACATCAAGCTCACCTATCCTCAAATCTTTGTTGCCGGCGCATTGGCCGGACTTTGTTCCGCCCTCGTTACAGTGCCCACCGACCGAATAAAAGTCCTGCTCCAGACACAAACCGTGTCCAATGGACCGATACTCTACAACGGAACCATGGACACAGCCGCCAAGCTTTATAGGGAGGGTGGGATAAGGAGCCTCTTTAAGGGGACCTGTGCGAGCATTCTAAGAGGTTAGTTATTTATTAAATCTTAGAAGTCCCCGTTCATAGGATGATTTATGCATATTTTCCAGATTCCCCCACCGGGTTCTATTTTGTCACATATGAGTTCCTGCAGGAATTGGCCAGAAAGAAGTCCAAGACAGGACAAATTAGCACCACATCAACGATTATTTCTGGCGGAATGGCCGGCATTGTGTTTTGGACCTTGGCCGTGCCCTTCGATGTACTTAAAAGTCGCCTACAGTCGGGTGAGTCATCCAATCGCAATATGCTCTATTGGCAATGATTAATAAATGACTTAATTGCAGCACCTGAGGGAACTTACAAGCACGGCATTCGAAGCGTTTTCAGGGAGCTGATGGCCAAAGAGGGCCCCAAAGCTCTGTTCCGCGGAATTCTCCCCATTCTACTACGTGCCTTTCCCTCCACCGCCGCCGTTTTCTTTGGCGTGGAGGTAACCAATGATTTGTTAAAGGCTTAGACTTAAGAATTTGTATTTTAGAGAGGCTGTTTAGTTAATTAAATATTGTTATTGAAGTAATTGCTAGTGTTTTCCTTGGATATTTGATAAGTTTTAGGTGAAGATGCATAGAAATCAAAGGTACTTTAAAATGCCTCAAAAGTCTGAACCCAATGGAAGTCAATATAAAGTCTTTTTTAAGTAGTTTTTAAGAAAACTAAAACAAAGCTGTTTATCTAATGCATTTTTTTACGTATAAGAGCTTTAATATACACATGTCAAAAATGCATTTTTCTTCTTATGTAATAAATGACACGAGCTATGTAAATAATAATATAAAATGTCTAGTATTTGTTCTTAGGCCAACAAACTTCATTCTGATTCTTAGACATAATGAACTAATAAAATCCTAAAGAATTTGTTAAAGATTTTGTGTAAAACGTTTCTTTAGGATTTTATTACTTTACAATGGAAAGTATCTCTACGCGTTAGCCAGGTTTCGATTCATTCCAATCAGAAATCGATATCGATACCTCTAACCAGAACCGATCGACGAACTCTGTCGGGGAATTCATTCGCGAAAAAGAAGTGGATTGTGTTGTGTCAAATCGGATAACCAAGTTTAAGAAATATACAAAATATATAAAATAAAAAAAACTAAAGACGTGAATAAATATTAATAGTGCTAAGTTCCGCAAATCTAATTAAAATAAAAAGGGCGCGGTTCAAACTGAATTTCACCAGTGCATTAAATTCCTTAAGCTTATCAGTGGTTTTTCCGGTTGAATGAATGCATATACATATGTACATATGTACATAATTGTGTTTAGTTTGCGATTTTAATAACTGCTTCAATAAAACGGCATAAATATGACCGCTCGAAGGGAAAGTAATTGCCTTAATATTACCTCATATAATATTAGGGGTCTTGAGGGCAAACAGAAGGACAATGAATTCATAAAGTATCTTCGTAACTTTGATATTTTCATTTTACTCGAGACACATACACTACCGGATGCCCTATCTGCAGATGAATTTAAGCAAAATCAGACCGATTTTGAGTTTTTGCACTGGAAGGATGCCACGAAAGTATTTCGTCGTGGCAGAGGAATCGGCGGATGCATAATAGGCATTAGGAAGTCACTCAAGGATTCTGGGATAACGCACTTAATTGTTGAAAGAGAAAACTTAAAGATTCTTCAGCTGCGTTTAGGCGATAAAGAACTAAATATAGTTCCACTCTACCTACATACCATAGGCTGGGAGGAAGAATTCGAGCCAGTGAAGAAAGCTTTTGACAGCAAGGAAGTTCCCATAGAGAATGCCATTGTCTTGGGTGACGTAAACATCCGAATTGGTGAGATCAAACAGGCGGTGAAGCCCAATCCCTGCGTAGCCAATACGAATGGACGCCTTTCCAAGGACAAAAAGTGGGAACGAGGAGGCAAGTTCTTTACGTTTTGCACTGATAACCAACTTCAGATTCTAAATGGATTGACCAATGGCGACCCAGAGGGAAGCTTCACTTACTTCAGTACCGTGGGAAACTCGACCATCGATATATCTGCCGTAAGCCAGAATCTCATGGCATCGGTGGTGGATTTTAAAGTGGATAAGCCAAATGTGGCGCATGGATCTGATCATTTGCCCATCTGCCTGGAGATGAACCTTGATCTCTTGGGACACTCTCAGGTGGCCATTACTTCACCAATGCGCGGAACAACCAGCGGTGTCTCTTTCGATTCCAGCATAGTACTGAGTGAATCTTCTTTGGACTCTGCCATTACATCTAAGGAAGTGGCATTTGTTCTCAGGCACGGATCCTGGCCGGAGTTTTCAGGAAGCACTTTGAAAGACTTCGTTGGCGATATTACCCATCATTGCAATACTCTTTTCACAGGGCCAATTACAAAGAAGATCGTCGCTTCAATTGTGTCAAAGGTGTCATCGTCGGAACTGAAAAGGATTCTACTCAATATACTAAAGGTCAGGTTGACGAGGTGGTGCCGAGAGAACCAAATCCTAAGTAATAGCCAGATACGTTTTTCGGGAAAGTCCTCCAAGAAGGATTTTGTTTACAACTTGAGTTCTATTGCCAGTATTAAGTTGGCTGAAAAGGGAACCAGGGTCTACTCGTACTTTGTTCAGTTCGAATCAGTATCCTCAGAAATGCTCAAAACTCTCTTATGGGCCAAGCTTCAGAAACTGGGAGTGTCTTCAAAAATAATCACCTTTCTAAGCTATATACTAAGGGAGAAACTTTACAGAGACAAGTTTCTGAATAACTTTCAAAACGGCGGTGGAGCCCTGACAAAGCTGATATTCGCCCTATATCTGAACGATCTTCCCGAGAAGCTGAAGGAGGGACTCCTCATCGATGACCGACAAATAAGCATCCTAATGTATGCCGATAAAATAGCTATCCTTGCTGACAGTCCAAAACGCTCTTCAAACTATGATCAACCAGTTGGAAAAGTACTGCATCAAATGGGGCCTGATGGTGGATATGACAGAGTCTAAGGTTATGGTTTTCCGGAGGGGCGGTCGGATTTCCGCAGTTGAGAAATGGATAATGAAAGGCGAAGAGATAGAAACTACTTCCAAGGCGATGTTCCTCGACTTTCAGTTTACTGCCTCCCTATCAAGCAGACAGCAAGTACTCAAAATGGTTGCCGATGCCAAAGGTCGCCTGGAGGATTTCCTGGGCGAACATGAAACTTGGACACGATTATTGTATATTTACATGGCTGAAGTCTGGGGAATTCAGAAATTTAAGGAGATTGGCAAGCTGCAAGCCTCTTTCGTAAAGAAATCCACCGATACCACCACCTCCAGCCGCCCTAAGCTTCATAGTCTAGCCCTGGATCTTCATCTTAAATATATTGGAAAACTTTATTTTTCCGATAACGACCATTCCTTGGCTCGATTTCTAACTCACAAAGTAATTGAGGAGAATATTTTGTGGGCGGAGAAGCTTAGTACTCTTTGTGGTCCCTTTAAGTTGAAGTGGAAAAGCTACCTGACCTCTGAACTGGAGTGGACATCCTTTTGCTCAAATCTAGTCAGCCGCCTTAAAGAATAACTAAGACTTAAGGTAAAGGTTTTTTATTATTTAATAATTAGTTGTTTAAAAAATTTTTTTTACATTTTTAATAAATATTAATAAGTTATAACAAACGTTTAAACTCTAAAATCAACAATAATTGTAGTCATATTCATTAGTAACATTGCTAAATTTTAATTTTAGATCAAGTTTAAACACGATCAACAGTCATAGTATTGGGGTCTTATTTTTTGAGTTTAACTTTAATTACCCTTTGAATTTATGTGCTTTTTTTTTATTTTATAGATTTCCTTTTAAAAATTTTTATCTTTTGTTTTTGAAGCTAAACTTTTATTGTCTTTGGACGTTTGGAAGTGACTCAGCTAGACTCAGCTTGATTATTCTACTAGTCTGGGGTTTTGGGTTGCATGGGGGTACCAATGGTCTTTGGTCTTGGGTTCTTGTTGTGATCGCTGCCAAGTGGTATTATTTATTAATTTTACTAGTCGTAGTAGTAAAATCTGAAACGACAAGAATTTGCTTAGCAACTGGCTCGGTCTAGATCGGACCCTAAGTGGATTCATTTCCTTACAGTAGCCCGAATGTGGTTCTCACAGAGCTCGGGTTGAGTAAGGGGAGATTCTGCTAACTCATAAGCTAAGAATATTCATGGGTTGAATAACATGCATATAGAAAAAGGTCAGCATTCTGGTGCTCTGTTAGTGGTGTTATGTTCGGTTTTAGGATTGTAAACATAAAAATCGTTTTGAACTTTGTAAATCTTTCTTAAGAACTCTCTTCATAATGATGATTTCTACATCTGACATACTGTTTTACTAGTAGTTAGGAAAATGTTTACTCCTGTTTTTGAACAATTTTTAAATGCGGAGGGTTATGCTATTAAATATGTTCATGATGGCTCTTTTAGATTCTAGCCTTTTCTCCCTCCCTTTACTCGGGCTAATGCAGCCAATTTGGAAAAGACGTCAATGCAAATTAAATTCGTTCTTATGAATACTTTTGAAAAAATGTATTTATCAGATTTCGATTTTTTAAACAGAAATTTTTGTTTCACAATGTACTTGTTTTTGTTTCACCATTTTACGAAACTTTTTATCACTGAATGAGGTTTTGTCCGACTACTCGTAGGGGCTATGTCGTAAATGTTATTATCAATTTTGATTTATTTTGTGTAGCTGCGATTAGGCGACTACTCGTAGGTTTTTATGACGTTTCGCATGAGTCACAGTGGTTTATCAAACTGTTTGTTACCACCTTCACTCGATTAGCACTTAAGGTTTTTATGTCGATTATCGCGCGCTTAACTAGTTGGTTAGTATATCCTGAGGTGACCAGTACCGAAAGGGAAAAGACTTTTTCAATCAGGATCCTACCGACTGCGCCAATTAAATAAATTTTAAATTATAAAGAAAAACAAATATGTTTTATTTAATCATTTAACACGATTTATTTATTATCGTAATACACCGATTATTATTACAGGCACGTAATAAGTCTCAAACTGAACCGACTTAATTCTATTACTTTAATTTATCATTAAGCCTTAGCTTCAAGCTTTACATGTTTACATGTTTTGTTCTCTGAGCGAACTTTTCTTAAAGCTAAGCTTAACCCTCTTTTATTCAAGTTTACTTCTCTTGAATACAAGATTTACTCTTTTTAAATCTCCGTAACAGGACTCCTATTCTGGCCTTGATCGATTGTGGAAAATTTCGTTATAAATGTTTAGTCTAGGCTAGAGTCTGGTAAATCTCAAACTGAACTTCACTGGGTGTTGAGTTTTACAGTAGTGCACTTAGATTTATAAACTTCACTTAGTTGTACCAATGATAACTATCCTCGAGCGTTAGCTGTCTTAAACTGATTTTATCTTAAGTCTTAATTTATTATGAAGCCTTGGTTTTGGGCTTTTACAATTATTATGTTCTCTGAGAGAACTTTCTTATATCTAAGCTTTATTCTCTTGTATTCAAGTTCGATACTCTTGAATACAAGATTTCTCTTTTCAATTGTCCGTAACAGGACTCCTACTTTAACCTTGATCGTCTATGGAATATTTCGGTGTGAATGTTTAGTCTAAGAGTCGGAGTAATAAGACTCTCTTGTTTTTCAGTCGCAGTGTGGAAAAAGAATTTAGACCTGCGATCTGTCTGTTTTTATAAAGGTCTGGGAAAGTTTATATTTTCATTTTCCATGGTCGATTAAGTTTACATAAAAGGAATCTATATCTTGCTTATGACTAAACTGGAGGTGTGTGGACATGTGCATAGGAGTATGTGGTACTATGGATATGTCACTATATTCATATTTCAGTGATAGCTCATAACCCGTTGTTTTTACCTGGGCTAGCACGGCGGGCATTGCCATCAGGTGAGTTGATGAGTAGCTGCTGTAGTTCCGGTCACCGATTGTGATCATTTCGTTTTTAAATTGTATGACGTATGAGCCCTCTAGTTGGTATTTCTTGGCTGCTCTGGATACTGTTCCATTAAAGTTGGTTAAGAAGGGTGTGCTAGATTCATCGATTAGATCTACTGTTTCTTGGTTGGTCCTCAGATAGTCGCATTCGGCTTGGCCTCTTTTCAACAGTCTAGGTATGCAACTGTCCTCCTCCAGATTGAACAAGTCCTTTACTCGGCAGACTATTGTGTTACCAATGGATACACAATTTCCGAGGAGGGCGTATGTTTCTAGGCGGTCCTTCGTTGTATTTCAAAACAACGTGCTTTCCATCGGATATCGTTTGGTAGATCCTCATCAATCTGTACTTCCTGTCCACTACCTTGGACATCGCCTAGATGTACAAAAGAGTAGTTCCCTTTGTAAGGACTGTAAACATGGAAAATTCGACTGCCTCAACGACGTTTTGATAAGGGAGGCTGTTCACCTTCGCCAGTATCGTGTCGACCTCGACATGGTCCAGAAGATTCGTATTAACCACTTCAGTCTTTCCTATTGAGCAGGCCCTCAGTATTTCGTTGACTTGATCCGCTATTGTAATTGCCTTGTGGAGACTTAGATTTTTCGCCGTGTTTGGGCTATCTGATTTTTGTTGGCCGATTTGTGCCGAACTTTATGTTTGCGTAAGTCCACTGAAGTACAATGTTGTCATTGGTACAGTGGAAACAGCTCCTGGAAACAGCTTATTGTGCATAATCCACAAAAAGTGTTCTTATGGGTCCGTAGATTGTCTTCCATCTTGAGTTGGGTAAATATTTGGATTTACTCGGAATGTTGTCCTAGATTTCCATAGAATATCTTCAACTCTTTCAATTCTGGTTCAAATGAATTTCTAATAGTTGTAGGACTCAGACTTGGACTTTTTGTTTTACAGACAGCTTTTCTAACCAAATTGAATTTTTATGAATGGCTTCTGGACTAAATTTAATTTCTTATTCTCTATTACCATTTTTTTAGTGGCAACCTTTGAGGTTCACTGCTCACTTTCACAATTTATTGACCACCCTTTTTTTTAATGGAAAAAATGACTCCGGCATAGAGATTAGAATCCAATAATCTCCGAAAAATTCATTTATAGATTGAGTCAGAGAGTCGAAAAATAAGATGCTGAAATCTCTAAATTAGACTTTGCAATTTCATAAAGGATTGGATTACAGATTTGGCTCTGCCGGATATTGATGTTTACATTAGCGGGCTTGATGTTTATAGTATCCGTCAGATGTGGGGTGAGGGAAATTTATCTGTGTGAGAATCCATTGCGGCGCAGCAGATCAAAATTGCTGACTTTGGAGTAATCTTGGAGTCGGTCGGCAAAATCACTTAAATAATGAGTCAAATAACATGCATACCCGAATACATATGTTGACGTGTTTAAGCTTATAATATAAGTAGATGTTGATTGTTAAAAAGGCAGATATATGGATTTATGAATACGTGACTATATCTCTTTAATTAAAGATACATTTGATATAAATTCAAACCTTACTTATTATAAAAGTATCTTTATCTAAAAAATGTATACTCTAATAAGAAGAAATCATTGTTATGAAACTGTAAAATGAATACAATTTATGTAATTAATAACTTATTATTAAGCAATATGACTAAAATAAAACGAAACTGTATGCAATATATCTTGTGCAATATATGTTAGTTAATGTGTTACTAGAAGTACATTTAAATATAAATATTACTTATTAGAAAATATGTTTAATTTTAATTTTTTTTATACAATGTCTATTTCAAAGTAAACATTATTATGACTCTTTAAAAAAAATTTGTAAAAACCGCATGATTATATGCAAAACATTATGTTGTATTTTCTATTTATAATAAACTAAAAATAAAAAATCGCCACTTCATGGTTTTATATTATATAATATTAAATTATTTTATAAAAGCTATAAAACGACATATCTTTGTAAAAATGATACAGGACAGGTAAGAAAATATTTGCTCGTTTCAGTGTATATGACGGCATTGGAACTCTATATTCTGAAATTTATTGAGGCTCAGTATTAATATATTTATTTTAAAGCTCTTTGAGGTCAAAATGCTGTTAGTAATACTTTCTGAAGGTATATGGTAAGTCTTAATGCAGAGTTTCCACGTTACCATTATGCTCCGATAACTTCTATTTCCGCATCTTTAAACATTCAAATATTATTGCTAAAGATAGTTACTCAATGTGGATAGTAAGTTCATTTACTATACTTTCACATTTTAAATGTAGATCACGCTTTTAATTCAAAGTTGAGAAGATCTTTAAATGGCAAATAAATAGCTCTTTACCAAATTTATTTAGTAAGCCAAAAGAATTCTAAGCAGCAAAGATTTTTAATGAATGAACTCCATTTCCATTCTCAACAGAGAAATAAACCCTTAACTTAATATTAAAACATCTATTAAACCAATTCAAAATTAGTTTATTTTTATTTAGTTTTTTATTTTTCGTTTAGCTTTGTGGTCTATTCATAGTTTCTAAATCTTAGTTTTTGGAATGTCATAAAATCACCTTAAACACTATTACGAGTACCATTCAAATATTGCATTACAAATGATTGCACATAAATCGTAAAAATATTTTAAAATAGTTGCAAATAAATATGCATAAATTGTATATGTATACAAAAAATTCAATGTATAAAATATGCAATACTCCTTAGGAAACAATCAAAATAAACAGAATTGTGTGCATAGTATTGTTGATATCATAAATTCTTCGCAGCTTTGGCTGTGATGCTCACTTGGTAAACGACCCATTACCGGATCAATACGTTAATATAATACTAATCAAGAAAATCAGGCCCTTATAAACGACACCTCCAATGGAGTTCTTGTAACACAAATATTTAGCATCCTTAGTCATTAACAGCTAGTTCTGGAGTAGATCTTAATCGTGATACTTGGGGTTTAAACAAAAAATTGGATTTTATAGAATATTTGTTTCAAAAATTAGAAATGGGAGAGCTAGTTTTTTTTACTTTTTAAAAGCAATACATTGTAAAAGATTAACAGAATATCAAGTAATGGGATTTAACTGGTTGTAGAAATGCTGCTACCTTGCATATCAGTAGTTGATCTTAACCGTGATAATTGGTAATTATAAAATTCTATTGTTAACTTAAAATATTTGGGGTTTTCTTGTACTATAATCATTTGTTTTGTTAGTTTAGTGATATCGAAGATTTTTTCAAATACTTTTCTCTGTAAAAGTAATCGAAAACAAAATCAATTAACAAATTTAGAGAATATAGCAAAGGGAATATCACGATTAGAACTTCTAACTATAGGTTAGCTTCTGAATTTTTTACTTTAGTTTGCACCTTGGTATTATATCTCAATCGTGATAATTGGTTACTTAAATATTTTAGGTTAAATCAAGTATAACAAATGAATAATAGGATTTAGAATTGGAGAGCTTGATGGTAATAAAAGATCAATGGAATATCACGATTAGTCCTAAACTAGTTATATGTAGCTGCTCAGTTTCCAGTTCAGTATATAGCTCAGCCCGCTTGACTAGAGTTGGAGCCACCGCCGCCAGTGGCGAGTCCTCCGCAGCAATTGCTCTGCGCCTTGGCACTGAAGCTTCCCAGCCCAATGGAACTGCCCTCAGATTGTCGCTGAGCTGCCGCCGCCGCAGCCGAACTGCTGCCATCCTTACTCCTTGCCTGACCTATCAACTCGGCGGCTATCTCGTAGAACAGCCGCTCCACATTTTCCGCCTCCTTAGCGGATGTCTCCAGGAAGTACATATCGTGCTGTTTGGCAAACTCCTCCCCGATCTGCGTGGGAATCTCGCGATCATCCCTATCCGTCTTGTTTCCGACCAGAATCTTAAGCACCTTTGAGTTCGCATACTCCTGGATCTCGCGCGAGCCAATCCGGGAGGCAGTCAAAGGTGGGTTGACAGCTGATGTCGTAGACCAATATCAAAGCATGGGCTGATCGATAGTAGCTCTGGGTGATGGATCGGAATCTCTCCTGGCCGGCGGTGTCCCAGATCTGCAGCTTGATTTTCTCGCCCTCGACCTCCACCGTCTTGATCATGAAGTCCACGCCAATGGTGGCTCCTTGGCCCGGTGGAAACAGTCCCTGGGTAAAGCGGCGAACAAGGCAGGTTTTTCCAACGCCCGCATTCCCAACTAGGACGATTTTGAAAAGGAACTTGTAGTCTTCCATTGGTGCTATTGTCGAAATATGCTGGTTTTCGGACTACTGGATGCGTGTGTGTGTGCTCTGCAAACGTAGACGAAAGTTAGTCGAAGTTCAGACACACCTAGTCAGCGACGCGTAACGACTATACTACGATGGGGTGGTGGTTCGTTGGATCGGCTTACGCCATCCTCGTCGAAGACTCCGCCTCTCACCTGTGGCTCACCTGGCGCTCTCTTGGTACCTGGACAGCAATTTGGGTGGTTCTAACGACAGCTGGCCTTCTTTTTTGGCCAATTTGGCTGAAAGCTGATGACTCAACAGCAGGTGCTAGTTTCTCGCTTATCGGTGCGAATTGCACCTAAATCCATTCAGAAGTGTTTTCACCAGGTTTTCTGTATACGGGAAGTGGCCATCAACTGGTCGCATGCTGGCGCATTAATTTCGTATTTTCCGTATGTTTACCAACGGAATTTTGTTGATTTTCGTTTCTTTTCTTCTATTTGAAGTTATCATGACACGACTCCCGTGTATGCCGTAAATATTTTGCTCGAACCTCCCCCACGCACCTTGAAGTTGTAGAGCTTAATGATTTTTTAAGGTTTTCAAACTGTTCAGATTTTACTATATTTTATAAATACCACTGTCTTATTTATATATGTGTTTTATATATGTAAATATACAAAGATAGTGTTACCAGACAGCAAAACAACTTTCAACCAAATAATCCCAGAGCAAACCTGATATTTAAATTTTCCCTCCAAGCCTCTAGTCATTATTAAATTTAAAACTTTTTGGCCTAAAATTGTTTCTATCAACAATTGGTGAAATTACTTACCTTAAATTTGGGCCATGTTTGTCGAACCCATGCTGAAAGCTACTTCAGACGCCTTGGCACTCATCCTAACTCCCTAGCGAAGAAGCTAATTTGGAGACCAAGAAGGGGAAGACTCAAAAGATACCACCCACACGATCTCTCTTTAAGATATATTTAACACCTTCGAAGTCTGCTGTAATTTAAACTGTAACTGAATAGAAATATTGTATTGTATTGTAACCTTTATACCAACGCTTTGTTATCCCCTATACTTAAAACTGTAGACTGTATTAATTAAATAAAATACAAGAAGTGATAAAATAATAAACAAACAAAATATAGAGATTTACAATATCTTAATTTGTTACTATAGTCCAGATTTATTTTTCCCTTAATACCTAGACTTGACCATTGATTCTCATGCTCCACGGGATGAACAGTATTTTATGAAGTATCGGTTGAAACACTATCGATGCACTATTGTCTTCTGTATTAGTTTCAGTCTGTGGATGTTATCGATAGTGATCTATCGATACTTTTTAAGACAACCCTGAAGCCGAAAACAAGCCACGCTAGAGAAGAAAATCTTTTGGAAAATTAATAAAAGTTGTACATTTATAAACGCATAAGACGAGGACGGAGTTCGTAAGTGGTTCAACGAATTGTGCTGTGCGTCTCCACCACATTTTGATTTCTTAAAACGTGCCAGACACCGAGCAGGGGACTTTTTTCACGGAGCACCCCGAATAGAACCTAAGACATTTTCGAACATGGCCGAGGACTTCGATGTGGAGGCGATGCTCGAGGCGCCGTATCAGAAAAATGTAAGTTTCGAGTGCCCGAAATCAGGCAATTATCGTTTAAATTAAGACCCACTGGTTTTTGTACCAACCAACAAATGCGATTATTTTGCTGCGATAAAAAAAAGAAACAGTTACTTCATATGTACGTTTGTATACTTCTTTTCCCCACATAGAGACACCCACAGGCGCGCTTGTGTACGTACGTGCATTCTGTGTTTGTATGTAAGTCGTCGTCTCGGGCACACACACACATACACACACACACACATGTGCACTCGATGCATACTAAGTGGTCTTAAATCGATTTTTAACCTAATTTTGTTGTTTAATAAAAGATCAGGCGTCGAAACAGCTCTGCGTGCTGATTTTGGTAATTTTTTTTTGTTCATATAGTTTTATACTTGACTGCGTGCATACAGAAAATTATTTCGCGAACTAAAATCTGTCTGTGTGTGGGTTGGTGTTGTTTATTTTCCACCGCGGCATTTGGAACAGTCATGTCCTGTCGACTGTCGATTGCAGTGGGTGTGGGTACAGTGGGGGCAAAATATTTGGCTTAGTTGCAAGGGCAACTGAGAGCGTGTAACAAGTGTCTGTAAACATTAAAATGTTTTTTAAAAAGCAGTCGCGGTCAGAGATAAGCAGGGATAATACATAAACTGACATTAACATTTTTAGCTGACTGAGTCCGACGAAGTATTTAGAATTGCTTATCAATTTCTTATCTTATCTGGTCCAACGATCTGTGGCTGCGCTTAAAAAGGTCGTCTAAGGTTCTTTCAAACCTTATATAGAATATTTATAGGTTTTGAATATGTAGATGTAGATGTTTTTGCACATTTGTTATCATACAAGTTTTTATAAATTTCTTTCTTTTTGAATGTACAATTTGAAACCATTTTTGGCCATTCAAAGTAGTTCAATAAACCATATATCAAACAAATTTTTTTATTGTCTGATAGATTGTTCCTCCTCTTCAATAAGAGTGTACAAGAAATGTATTATTACATAAAGCCAAAAGTATTGGTCCCTTTTTATAAAGTTTATCAAAACACTTAAATAATTCTGTTTTACAATCTCGAGAGTAGGGAACTGTTTGAAGCTCCTCTCGCCCCGAACGAATAATCTTGAGTTGAATGGCTCTTATTTCTTCCTATCTGCTGTCTCACTTAAGAACAACCAAAAAAACTACCCACACACAATCACCATTAAAAAAAAAATCAAACAAAAATGCTAGAATAATTCTTAAGGGTGAAATGTCTTTGCAGAGAATCGAATAAGCTCAATATTGTTGCTAGAGATTGTTTTGGTCATTCTAAACACAAAAAGCTGGAGACCATTTGGTAAGTTTTGAATGTGCCAGAAGCTGCGAAAAAAACCATTACAAAATTACAAAACAATAAAAAAAAAAAAAACCAAAACATATCTAGGCATTTTGTATTCAATATGATTTGTTTATGTTTGAGTTTTTTTGAACACAATCCAATTAAAATTCGTTACCTTACTGCTCTATGTAAACCAATGAAACTGAACGTGCACTAAATTTCAGATATACTCCTCCTAACTTGTCTGGGGCAGCAGGCAGCACTACTACTACTCTCACTCACAGTCAGACAAGAAAGAAAGTATCGCTCAAATTACAAATTACAGATTTACCATAAACAGAAATCGAAATACGCGTATAAGCAATAATGACCAACACAAGAGCCCAATGGGCTTAGCCTAAACAAAACCTATTTGAAACAAACAAAAAGTAATAAGCAATTCTTAAAATATAGCACTACAATCTTACTTATATAATGTCTATGTCCTATATATATATAGACGACGTCTTTTTGAGAACCAATCAACCAGTCCACTCCACTAGCCAGCGCTAAACATTACCCCAAAACTGAACTGATTGAGAATGAGAAAGGCATGAGAAATTTGCCCATGTGGAGACAACATTTCTCGCCGTCGTGAACCATCTGTGTGTGTGCCATATATAATATATATTTATTAATATATAATATTTACCAAAACTACCTATAAGATCTCTCTTTATCTATATCCTTATTACCACCTTGCTAAAAATTGGCAATGATCCTCAAATGATCATTGTTGACTTAAGCATTTCTACTTTATATACTTGCAGATGCCAAAAATTTAACTAATTTACTTTGATTTGCTTTCTCTTATTCAAAAAAAAAATATTTACGAAACTGAAAAAATAATATATCATAACAAACTCAAATGATATAATCGAAAATCAACCAACATCAACAACGACAACAACGTAACGACCGATCAACACCCGTTATGTGTTCCCACCCACCAAAAAAAACTGATACCAATCGACAAAAAAAATAATCCACTTATCTGTATCTACATTATTGCTTGCGCCCCCCCACCCATCCTCTCCGTCCACTCCCACACCCAATCCACAAAAAACAAACAACCTATCTGTGTAGAATGTCAGTGCGGGCAGCGGTGGACGTGGTGGACGCAGGCGCAGCGGCAGCAGCCCCGACGGCGGAGGCCACGACGACGACTATGCTGAAAACGGTCCCCGAAACGGCGGGAGCTCACACAAAAAGCAAAGCAAGCGTTCACGGTAAGTTTAATAAATTAATGTGCACTTTACTCAATTTTTTGAACTTTGCCCTGTTTTTTTTATTTTATCAGAAGCAGAAGCGGCTCACGTGATGGCAAATCCCGTCGAGATCGCGGCAACGAACGCAGCAGCCATAGGGACAAAGATAAAGAGCGTGATCGATATCGCGAGGGAAGCGACCGGGATCGATACCGCAGAGAAGGTGGAGAACGGGACCGAGAGCGGGAGCGTGAACGCGAAAGGACTCGTCGCAGTCGATCGCGGGATGAACGTGGCGTCGATGATCGTCGCAATCGTTATGGCGATCGTGACAGGGAACGGCGATCGCGGGATCGTCGTGGCGGCAGCAAGTCCTTGCAACAAGATCGCTCTCGGGATAAACGTCGCCGCAGTCGATCTCGTGATCAGCAGCGCAAACGGCTAAGTCCGATACGTGAACGCAAGCGCAGTCATTCCCGCTCAAAGGATAGGAAGTAAGTTGACATCATAAGACGATATATTCGATCTTCTATCTGATTTAAATATTTTTGTCCACTTTTAGCAGCCGTCGTCGGGGAACCCACTCGCCTCGTCGCCGCTCACCTGCAAACGGAGCTGGTGACCGAACCCCGCCCACCGAGCTCAGTCCCGAGGAGCGGGACGCCCGTACCGTCTTCTGCATCCAGCTGTCGCAACGAGTGCGCGCTCGTGACTTGGAAGAGTTCTTCTCCAGCGTTGGCAAGGTGCGCGACGTCCGCCTGATCACGTGCAACAAGACAAAACGCTTCAAGGGCATTGCCTACATCGAGTTCGAGGATCCAGAGTCCGTGGCCCTGGCTCTGGGCCTCTCCGGTCAGCGACTGCTCGGAGTCCCCATTATGGTGCAGCACACACAGGCTGAGAAAAATCGCCTCCAGAGTGCGACACCCGCGTTCCAGCCGAAGAGTCACACTGGTCCCATGCGCCTCTACGTGGGATCACTGCACTTCAACATTACCGAGGACATGCTAAGGGGCATATTTGAGCCGTTTGGCAAGATCGATGCGATTCAACTTATAATGGACACGGAGACGGGCCGATCCAAGGGATACGGATTTATTACGGTTAGTATCCATTTTATTTTTAAGATATTTGCAAAATGGTTTTATACTTAGAGGAAGGCATGTTTTTTAGTAGACTTTTAGGGTGACTATAGAAAGAAGGATTCCCCCCACTTCATAGTTTTAGGGCTTACCTACTTATGTTTATTTTAAAAGTAACTAATTTTTTTTCTTACAGTACCACAATGCTGACGATGCCAAAAAGGCTTTGGAACAATTGAACGGCTTTGAGCTGGCCGGCCGCCTCATGAAGGTGGGCAATGTAACGGAGCGTCTAGACATGAATACCACCTCGTTGGACACGGACGAAATGGATCGCACGGGCATCGATCTGGGCGCAACGGGGCGCCTGCAATTGATGTTCAAGCTGGCGGAGGGAGCAGGTCTGGCGGTGCCCCAAGCGGCGGCCAATGCTTTGCTGGCCACAGCTCCTCAACCAGCGCCAGTGCAACAGCAGGAGGTGGCTCCGTCGATAGCCACGCAGTGCTTCATACTGTCCAATATGTTTGATCCACTCACGGAAACAAACCCCACCTGGGACGTGGAGATCCGGGACGATGTGCTGGAGGAATGTGCCAAGCACGGCGGAGTGCTGCATATCCACGTTGACACCACTTCGCCCACGGGAACTGTTTACGTCAAGTGTCCGGGAACAACGACTGCAGTCCTGGCGGTGAATGCCCTGCACGGACGCTGGTTTGCCGGCCGAGTGATTACGGCTGCTTATGTACCCGTAATTAACTACCACACGATGTTCCCGGATTCCGTCAACGCTGTCGATCTGGTGGCGTTGACACGAAAGAACACCGACGATTGAGGCGGACCCGGAGGGCATAAAGATTGTTAAAATTCGTTACGGTAACCAATTTTTGGTCAAAACATTTTCAATTTTTTTAAAGACTTTCGACGCAAGCTGAAAACTAGGGGCACATATTAAAATACAATTAATTACATTTATAAAATATATATGGATTCAAAAATTACTTTTAACAATTCACGCCTTGAACCAAATATGTCCGTTAAAGAAATGAAGTTTATCTAACGCCTGAAATGCTGCAAGAAGTTACCGATGGAGAACATCCTAGTTCTTAGTGCTTAATTTGTAATTCGCTAGTTTGACCGCCAAAAATGTAAGGACACTGACCGATCTATCGATAGTTGGCTTTCACGGAACTTAATTTTTAAACTTTGGTTATTACTAAATTCACCTATCCGTTAAGCCAGTCTAGTTTTACTATACAATATTTTGTAGAAAAAACTTTAATCAAAATAATAAAAGACGAAATTGTAAAAGTATTGGGTTTCAAGCGGAAGGTATAACGATAGGCAGGGCTGTAATGTTATCGGCTGACACCGATAGTTCCCATTGCAGCCCTGGTTCTTGCATGTGTTGGGCTGAGGCAATCGAAATCGGGCTAAATAAAATAAGTTAAATTCTTCGCCTTTGCGGATAAACACAGACGGAGACGGTGTACGTTTCATATTTTAGACAATTAACTAATAGCAAATAATTTCCAATTACTGACGAGCGCGATGTTAGAGGCGGAATTGAGGAAAATTCCATGTGACCCCTGAATTTCGTGTGCGTGTGTGTTTGTGAAAGCAGCGCGACGAAAAATATGGCAAACACAAGCCAACTACAACAAGAAATGTAGGTACCACCACAACAACAACAGCAACATAAAGAAGGGCCATTATAGAGCCGAAAATGAAAATTCAATAATTGGACGCCTTGGCGCAAAGGTTAGTTTGTCCAAGAGCTGTGAAAATTATTATGAAATGTGAGAAGTGCGTGCGTATGTGTGTATGTTTTATAATTCCCGCACACACTCACACTAGTGCACAGCTGCGCCCCCGCAAATTCGTGTACGTGTGTGTTCATTTTTTGACCTCCCCCAAGCAGCATCCCCCTGTCCACCACCCCCACAGACCAGCTGATTCATGCTGCTGGTGATAAATCAATGCTTTAATACAAAAACATAAAAAATAAACCACATGCAACATTTAACGGTGTCGTCTAATGACCCTGCCCCATTAAACAACAAAAACAAGCGACGCGCTACTTATATAAGTGAAGAACCATTTGCTTGTGTGTGTGTGTGTGAGTGTTTGAGTGCCAAAACAACGCAACTTTAACAAATTGCTTGGCTTTTTGGCAAGCGTTTGAGGATTGTCGTCGCTTGGAAATTAATTTTAGAGCATTATGCCATTCACGCTAGTGTTTTTGGCCTGACAATTGCGCGCTCTTTACGTCTAGAAAAAAAGAAATGAAAATTTGAAAAATGCCTTCCTGTGTGTGAGTAATAGAATGCGTTTGTGTGTGTGTACTTGACAGCAGCGCAGTTGCAGCGCTGCGACTGAGCTGCCAAACTATTACCGTTAGCCGGCGGTTTCCATTCACAATTTTGTGTTTTGTTGTTATTTCTGGCTATTGGCGAATTCCTCTCATTTCTTCGATTTTCTAAGCGTTATGCAATCCAAACTGCAGCCAAATGGGCGAAAAAAACAGCGCCATTGATTTTCTAGTGTTATCATTACGCGGCCGTATCGCGAAATTGCAGGGAACACCTAAATTTTTGGCGTCACATGCTAAGAACTTTTTGCTCTTTGTGCGTCATCGTTTAAAAGTCGATGCGAGTTGCAAATTGCAAACTTCAATTCACACTCGACTTCTCACGATTATTGTTGGTTGCACTCAAAAAAAAAAGCAGATCGATATTTACATTACTCATATATTTGTGACATGTATAAGGGGACACTCCTTTATCAGATTTCAAAAATAAATCGAACCTCTTAAGAATATTGCCCGAAAGGTCCAAGTCAGTTTTGGGGTTTTCAGTGATTGGAATCACAAAACTAAAAATATAAAGAAAGAATAATATTACTTTTTTTATAGCACACATCTTTGTCAAAGTACAATTTATCTGATTTGTGAAGAAATTTCGTTTATTATATAAACTTTGTATGCCTAACGTAATAATGTGTTTCCACTAAACTCGTTTTTAAAGCATATCAGGAATACCCTTTTTCGTATTCCCAATGATCACATATTTTGCACGATAATAAAACATCTGCCTTAAGCAAAAAATGCAAGTGCAAAAAACCCACCCTTCTCGAACAAACTTTTAAGTTTCATTAGCTACAAAATGTCTTTTAAATTTTAAAACTAAAAAAAAATAATTACAAAATAATTCTTTACATTTCATTTATCGTATCTGTTCCAAAAAGAACACAAAAATTAATGTCAATCGCCATATATCAGTTCTTTCTGTGTGGTGTTTATTGCCTAATTACACTTTTTGCCTCTCGTTCGCTCGTTTCGTTATTATCACCGCTGTTTTTTATATTTCCGAGTGCAGGCGACGCGGCTCTGAGCACGTAGTCTATCTGTTTCACATGGTTTTGGCCATCTCTTCGGCTCTTGGATCTGCTCTTCGAGTACTCCACATTTCCGACCTCGAAAACCTCCGTATGACTCGTCAAAGCTCGCAGACTCCACTCAATTGATCGTTTTCGGGCCAAAAAAAAATCAGTCACCGTTCATCATTGGCAGCTAAATGTTTTGATAAAGAAGAACGTGATCAGGATGTCTTTATATTGGAACACAAAATGCAACTATACCACTTCAACTGTTAAGATCGACCATTATTGGTAAAAGTTAGTGCTTTCTGAATTCATTTTTCCGAGATTTTTTCCATTAAGAGAAACTTTACGTGTAAAACAATGGTTTTAATTACAGTGTGTCAATAAATAAACAAAAATTCAACAAATCTATTCAAAAGTAAAAGTTGTATCGTGTGAGAAGGGCCCACTCTAGTATTTCGTAGAAACCGCGTAGCATTTCAAACCAGTGTGGGTCTTTGCGACTGCCATTTTAATAGTTGATAAATATTAGTCGAAAATCCTTTGACGTTTCGCTAATATTTATAGTATTAATAATCATTCACATTCACCAGCCGACTTTATCAGACAACAAGAAAAAAAAAGATAAGCAGAAGTAGCGTTCATTCGTTCCCCTTATTCGCTTGTTAGCAATGAACTCATACCGATGGTAAATAGCGAAAATAGAGTGGAAAAAGTCGCTTGGCAGCTGGCTTATTAGTTTCATGTGATTTTCAGCAAATTAACACAAACCCACCCCTCCTTCTCTACTTCCAGTTGAGCAACTAACCAGACGCGGATCAGAGGAGGAGCCCCCAACCAACGAAGTGTCCACCCCTAACCAAACAATCAAAGAGTAACAAATCCAAGACAATACTGCTACCCAGGAGCGATCAACATTTAATGCTATCCGCAACTCTGGGGGCCAATGGCGGCTCACAGCCGCTTAGTCCCTCCGCCCAGGCGACCCTCAGCAAGCACTTGCCGCGCCTACAGTCGAAGCGTCTCCTCCAGCAGACGCACTCGCAGTCGGTGGCTGCCCCGAGACCACAGACCTGCGATGCCAGTTGCCTAACAGGTGAGATATTGTAATAGTTTTCATCTACAGTCCAACTTCCATAAGCTGATCTTGTCCAGATTGATAGTTAATAAGAGTTTTCCTTGGAAAACCCACTGTTCTTATAATTTGATTCCGAATAGTTTATTGTATTGTACTAGAAGTGATTCTAACTGTATAAGATTTTGTACCACTTGTAAGGTTTACGTAAATGATTGGTGATTGGAATAGTCGATAACTTTAGTCAGAAAAATAGGTAGACACCACTTCATTATCTGAAATTAATATTTTTCGTTGAAAAATACAATAGTAAAGAGTAGACAGAATTGATAGATAGTTTATAACAAAACTACTCAATTTGATTTACAATAGTTCTAAAGATAGAATTTAAGTGTAGTATATTAGTTAACAATCAGAATAACTATTTTTGTCTTAAAGTATTCCATAGTAAATCAGTTTTTGAAAGTTTGACTTTAGCTGCATTCTGAACTACTTTTCACATCATCTTGCTAATATATTCATTTCTTAATAACATCAGAACTATGCAGCAGCGAAAACCTGCCCGAGGTGGAGATCTTTTCGCTGCTGGAGGAGCAGATACCCAAGTACAAGGTGCGCAACGACTTCCTCACAAACTTCTCCGGATATGCGAATGAGGACTGGTTCGTTCCTGCCCCAGCGCTACCAATTCCGCCAGAAGGTCTGGGCCTGACCAAGGAGCAGACAAGAGAGTGCCTCAATTATTTCCGTGAGTGGTTTTTGATTAATACTGTAGACTAAGAATAGGCCTATTGGAAATCAATTGTTTTCCATTGAAAACAAAAAACTGACTAAGTCATATTGCAAAGAAAAGTGAGTTCATTGAAACCTCATTGAATATTGTGATAAAAGATTCGGTTTTTAGGCACAGTTCTTTGTCTTGTGTCTAAAAATTATTTTAAGTTTAAATGATTTTTTGATAATATTTTGTGAAGGTAGTAACTAGAGTTGATGTTTTGAAATCGTTTTCATTTTAAATATTTAGAAAACCAATTACTAGTTACTTTATCTCTACTAAAACTAAAACCTTCTAAGCTTTTATGTACTTACAATGTACATATTGCAAGACTTTAATGGGTGAAACCAAAAGCGGAATTTGAATTTCCAAATATATTTGTTTTTATGGCACTGGTGAGCAGCTCTGCCTCGCTATACAATTGCCCAATTAATACGAATTTATCAGCGGAAACTTGTGCCGTCAGCCTTTGAATCATATTCAGTGTGAGTTATACAATCTCTATATAGTATACTATATTTTATATATAAATAGGTATATGTTATACCCCCTTGTCAGCAGCATATAAACATTTTGTTTGAACTTGTCATTATGCTCTTGTTTTCTTAAATACACAAATGTTTTTTATGCGTTTTTAAGTATTTTTCAAATTGTTTATCCACCTTCACTTGGAGGCAGAACGCAATTTTCTTTTATCTACGCAAGAAAGCAGATTAAAAATAAATTGCCAAATATACTATATGCAGAATTCTTTTTGTATCACATGCAAAAGTTTTTTGTCTCTGGCAGTTGTGCGAATATTATTGTCAATATTTCAAAGCTCTTTTTCGAGCGCCTTAGTTCATGTTTATTTATGTTCTGCGAGTTGACAAGTTATGAAAGATGATTTAGGTTTTGATTCATAACTTATGAAATGTTTAATATATCAATTAGTGCGTTGCAGAGCAATGCTAGTTTGCTAAATTTAAATTTATTTGATAGAATTCATCTCATTTCACTTTAAACAATTTGAAAACAAAGATAAATGTGAAAATGTTGCCCTATTTTTATATTAAAAGTTCAGGAACTTCAACCAAAATTCTGAAATCTAAACTACTAAACTACTACTACTACCTTATTCATAAAAAATAGACCTTATTTTATAAAAATAGCGCAATACATGAACTATTTACAAAATACGCGCCAACCATCAATCCATCGACTTATCGATTTTCTGTCTAAGTCCAACACTTGTTGCTCGAGACAGTGTTGTGAAACGTTTGCCGACAGCTGCCGCTTGCCATTCACACACATTTGCTGCCACATGACAGCTCCATTGCACAGCTGATTGGGGCCCGGCTGGCGATCCGGTAACGCTGCGCGTGCTTTTGTCAATTTGCTTTTCGATTTTGTCGGACGTTTGAAATCGGTGGGGAAAGAGGGAAAAGTGATGGTGGTCCGCGTGCTTGTGTGCGCATTTCAAATGTCTTAGCGCCGCCGCGAAATAAATACGTAAACTAAACCAAACCAAACCAAGTGTGCCAAATCGAAAAATGTAAGCGGCAGTGGTCAACACTTTTTATGAAGAGCGAAAATAAGGAAAAATCTGTGTTTCGCTCGTTTGGCAGTGAATTTGTGCGTGTGTGTCTGGCATAATTTGCCAAAAATACTCGAGAAATATCTGTGTCAGATAAAAGCAAAAGCAAGCAGCAAACAGCAAAAAGCGTAGCAATGGCACTGCCGAAAAATCATTAACGCAAAATTATTAATAATACTTCGCGTTCGCATTGTATTGCTCATACGCGGTGTGTGCCAGAAGCATTTGGAATTTCTCCAAGTGCTTTTTTGTTCGTGCCGTCATACGAATTGAATTTATTTTTAGGACAACTACTGCGAGTGTATGTATGTGTGTGTGTGCTAAACTTTTTTCTTTTATTTTTTTGTGAATTATGAAGAGGAAAATGCTGGCTGTTGTAAACATTTAAAGGGAGCGCTTGTTTAATGAATGGCGTTATTTGGGTGGAGGCCATGGGCAGGGCTAGTTTTCTGTCAGCTTAATTTGTTCTTGCCTCTAGATGGGCTTCCCTTCCTTCCACTTTCCACATGCAGTTGTTGTCGTTCCGTCTCTTTACATAATCGTTTTTCCATTCCGTCTTTTGGTTCCGCTGATAAGAAGCATTTCAATTCTCTGTATAGCCAGTCCTCTATTGGAATTCGCTGTCTATCTCTGTCTCGGATCAGCATTCCGTCTCTCTTATTCTTACCAGCTGTTCACCTATGTTTGTTTGTCTTGGGTGTGTGTGTGTGTGTTGATATGTTTACATACATGTGCGTATAGGTGGGTAATTCACCATTTACCGTTACACAAATTCCCGTCTTCTAGTTCTTCGAGTCCAGCCGGTTTACAGTAATCCCTGGCTAAATAGAGACTCCTTCCAGATGCTAATTTGAAATTCCCTGTGTTAAATAAACAAACAATCAAATTAAAGGTCAACTTGGACAATCCATCCATGTGGAAGTGATCAATTTCATTTGTTATCTTTTGACACTATTTGGAATTTCATGATTTTCACGATTTACAGTCAAACTTCTGCTTCGTGAACTAATGTCACAATGAAAATAAAACATCAAGAATATGAAATGAAAACATAAAGTTTGCTTTTGCTGTGTAATATAGAGTTTCTTGGTTAATTTGTAATACATAAAACTATCATGTTCATAAAAACTCCTTTTTATATTGTTCAAACTGCATAAATAATAAATGTTAGTCATACTATTTAATTCCACAATAGCCACCTATTAAAAGTAAACGATTAGTAAATGTGTGAGTCATGGACCAGTGTGAATTTGTTATCTAACCTTTTCAAAACTTCTTGTGCAAGCAGAATCAACTGTACTCCATTGGCGTGGCTTCTTGATCGATTACGACTATCTTCCAGTGGCTCTTCCGCATCAATCAACGGTTTATCTAGTCAAAGAACGCGTTCCGTTGGCTCATCAAGAGTTCCGCAGAAAAGTAACCGCAAACTGTGTGTGTGTGTGTGCAAATGGCGCTTGAAGCAAGAGGCATGGGGCACGTTAAATGGCCAGTCATAATCGCCCTGGCAATTGTGTTTTTATTGGTGCTAAGCTTCTTCTGCCGAACCAAATGGCGCTCAACAATTGGTGTCATGTTCGTTGGTCTAATTCGAGCACCAAAAGCGGCTTATGTCCGATTGACCATGCCGCTTGCTTGCTTGTTTTTTAGCAAACAATTGTCTGAGATGGTTTACATTTTGTGACATACTTTCATTACATCATTTCGCCAACACCTGCACCTGCAGGCATTCGTCAAATCAGTTTGTTTTTCCTCTACCTCCGCCTCTTAAGCGTTTTTCTTTGTGTCACTGGCCTATTGAGTAGGACATTCACATTGCGCGTTAATTGGTGCAAGAAAATGTGGCTCAGAGCATTTTCCGCCGTAATAGCCATATGATACAATAATTACCCCGCCTATCACTCACTCGCATATCAATTGTCGCGGACATCGAACTTCCTTGACTTTGCCGTCGGCGGCTTTTCATCATTGTTTGTAGAAAGACTAAATTAGAGATTATGAATTGATTTAGATTTAAGTGTACCAAAAGTTAGTTAGTTATGAATGTGAAATTAAATATTTACAGATTTTTAAAGTCGTTTTAGGTCTCTAAGCTCTACTCATCTAGTTTAGTTTGGTCATGTTACATTTTATAAAGGCAAATCTCCAATAAGATTGTCTAAAAGTATGCAAACATATATATAGTAGTCCAAAAGCGCAATGAAATTGTGTAGAAACATTCATTTATGTTTTACTGCATACTTTTAGATAGCATTTAAAAGAGATTTATAATCTCCATTGATGGACTTACTGCTCTACCTGAGCTTAACTACGTCAGAAATGATATGTATTTTAGCTGCCATTCATAAACCCCCTAAAAGTTATTTTCCTTTCCTTTTCTTGAACTCTTAAGGCGAATGAGCAGCTAATCCATCCGACCGTCTCCCAATAAAGTCTTGGACATGGCTCATCTTGCAGTGACCATAAAACTATGCTTAAATGCACCAAACTTTTGCCAATAATTAATTACCAACAGAGTTTGTGAAAGTTGATGTGAACCAAATACATCACAGAAACTGCAAAACAGAGAAAAAAAAACAAAAATCATGTCGAATAACAACAGAGTTTGTCTAATGTTACTGCTGCCGTTTTCGTTTCATTTTCGCGTGTACGAATTGATTGGCCTTTTTCGGATGTTTTGCTGGCTTTTCCCTCAGCTATTTATTCAGTTGTCTTTACATAATTACCCTGCGGCTTTTGAATGCCCCATCGTCTATTATTTTCCCCCTTTTATTTCATATTTTTATATTCAATCAGCCAATCAAGTTGTATGCCATTCATTCTTGAAGCTCGTTTGTCATATAGGTTTATCTATGCGATAATGTCATTTATTTGTGGGCTCCCTTCGATTTTGTAAGTATTTAAAGTTGGGGAACGTGACTCATGAGTGCATACGCTGTATGCATGTCGATGAACCCTAAAAAAACCGCGACTGAAATGAGTTTTTTACGCAAAGCACATTACCGCTTTCAACTGCAGGGACAACAAAAAACAAAATGCTAAGTCTGAAGCGGTGACTCGGATCGGTTGAATCATCTCATCTTAGGTATTAAGATTTTTTGTTCGACTAGATAGCTTTATGTTGGTCATCTCATGTTTGCCGTTCATTTGGCACAACCGTTAGTTAGTATCTTGTATCTAGCTCGGCAGTTATCTCAGTTGGGTTCAGCTCAATTTTCTTTCACTTCGCCCGCTCGCCCGTCTACCCATATGAATTATGATCGAATGGCTATTGAGAGCGTGAATGGACCACTTCTTGGGCTATGCACTGTTTTCCACACGGATGGTCAGCATTCTGAGGCAACCCACGCTTTTTCCTACCTGAGTTACGAGTTCTAGAGTTATGAGTTTACGAGTTTACGAGTTTTCCCAGCACGACCTACGTGATCTTGGCCATGCTGCACAGCGGCTCCATTCGAACGCATCTCATTCCAAGCAAGGCAAACTAATTTGTAAAACTTGTTTGCGCCCAACTTTTCTCCTCTAGTGGTAGCCACTAAATTTCCACGATGCCCACAATCTGTCCACTCTTCTCCTGGGCGTTGCGGTGTGAAGTCGCAGTTTTGAAATATTTCTGATTTATTTTTTTGTCTCGCATTGTATGTAAATGTTGGGATTTCTATGGGCACACAATTTGCCATTGTTGGTTTTTTTTTTTTTTTTTTTTTTTTTTGGGAAATGAGGCAAACATCTTCCGCAGATCGTTGGCTGCTGCTGCTGCTGCTGACTTGCTTAATAATCAAAGAGTAACAGTTAGTGCGAGTGTCGGGCAGAAATAGCCCATCGATGATTGCAATTCCGGTCGTAAAGATAAAGAATCCACTGCGCAGTATTTTAATGAAGTTCGTAATCTTTATAGGCACTAAACTAAACCCAAGCCAAATCCCTGAAAAGCAGTTAACAATATAACTTTAAATTTCCCGTTGCAAGTTAATTATTTGTGTGCTGTTCCAATACATGTTCAAATTGAAAATTTAACAACAAGTTCGTGATAAAGTTGAGAAAACAATGTACGTAAAACAACATGCCACTCCTCAACTGTGCAATGCGAAGTAAACCAAATCAGCAAGATCAAGAGCCACCTTATCCCATCAAGAAGCTGGAAACCCTGCCCATAATAGTCGAGCAAGAGGCGGACGATTATGGGCAAACCTTCGAGAATGGCGTCCAGCTAAATAGCACCTTTCGCTTGGATGGAGAAGCCGGCAGTTCGTCGACCTCCCTGGTCTTAAGCAAGTCGAGCAGCTCCCTGAGCTCTAATGCTTCCGAGGATTCCCTGAGTGCCACCCTGATCACCAGTCAACCGTCCAACTCAAGCAAACACTTTGAGAATACCTACAAGCTGCTAGGTCAGCATCTGGACACCAATTCTCAGCGATCGGCAGACAAACTGCAGCAGCTAAATGGATCGGGCACAGATTTTGATAGTATATCGAGCTGTTCCTCGATGTCGGCGATCGTCAACGGGATTGAGCCACCACCCACACGTTTGGAACTAGAGCTGGAGGCCGTGGATCGCATGCGCTGCATTGTCCAGCAAATGAAGTCGGGGCCAAAGTCCGTGGATACACCGCTGGGCGTTTCAGCTCCGCTTTTGGCCCTGCTCCATGATTTTGCGTCGAAGGGACAGCGGAAGGCGGAGGGCAGTGTGCCTGGTACTCCGGTGCCGAGTCCTATCACTGGTGTTTTGGAGGCGCCGCACTTTGAGTTGCCACCTGAGCTACTGCAGGCAGCTAGCAGTTGGGAACTCATGTACTACGCCTCCAAGAATGTCGATGGCAAGAACTGCCTGAAGGTGGTGCGCAGTCTGCTGACGAACAAAGGTAAGAACTAAGGCTGGGAAAGATACTTTGTATAGGATAGTTTAGGTTTTCAAAACTTTTAGGTAATAGTTAGCTTTTAACTGTAATCCATTACTCTCAATTGCACAAGAGATAAAGAGCTCTAGTGGATAATTGAGTGTGCGATAATAGTATGCACTCGAAAAGATTCTAGATTTGATAGACCATTTAGTAACGATATGAGTTAAAGTGCTTCAAACTATATTGACTTTGTTTTCATATGAATACATTCATTCAAAGTACTAAGTAGTCTGATAAATACTATCTAAAACAATAAGGAATGATATCTATAATCCCCAATCAATCTAGTCTTACTTATAAATGTGGCATTTAACAAGATTGTCACTGTTATTAAAGTATTTCAGTTTATGGCCACACATTTCTTTACTTTCTTCCCTTATCGGTGAAGTGCAGCCTGCAGAGCGAGCCCTGGTTTTGGCCCATGCCGTGTGCCTTAGCCTTACTTTGAGCTTATCTTATCTAAAGCCTTATATATATTTCCAATTAAGGAACCTTAGTGTTGTTTTTCCCTGTCTATTTGGGTTCTTTGTCATGGCCGACGTGTGGGCAAACACGACAGCCATTTATTTTGCACATATAGGCTCGATTCTTAATTTTTTCTTGTTTATTTGCTTTTATTTAGATTTCGTATTTGCTTTCGATATACTATATTGATCGTGCCGACTTGTTATTAGAGCCCAGCCAGTCTGCCATGTTGATATTTGCACAACTTATGATGCCTCTTTGAAGCCTGCAATATTCGTCTATAGACGATTTTAGCAAGTTCATTAGAAAAACTATTAAGTTTCGAGGGGCTTGAAAATCGCATGATCTCATCTAGCGCTTGTGATCTTTATTGCTAGGGCCGGCACTTATCTACGCAAGTTTGTATTAATTTAGTTTGCCAAAATGAGGAGAGGAGCTTTCGTTTTAAGCTTATCATTTGTTTGCCAGACACACACTATCTTGGCCGATTGATTGCGGCAAAAAGCTCTAGTCATTTATTGCCTTAATGCAGGCCCAACCACATGACATTATTGTCTTGAAATCATCGCTGGATTTCTATTAGCGTAACGCTGCAAAAAAAACCCATTAGGAATCGTTTTATGACTTGCACGTAAAGCCGATTTTCCGAATCTTAAAAAAGTAATGACGACTTTAGTAAAGTATTGTATTTTACTAAGAAATGTTATGAACTCATAAAACTCTTATGTAAAAATAAATCATGTTTCTATAAATAAAGCCATAAAAAGGAAAACTAGGACTAAATTGGATTATTTCGGTTTAGAAAATCAAAATGTCTTATAATTCAGTATTATCTCGAAATAAACTTGTCAGTTTTTTTTAATATTTTTCTTAATTTATTCCTAAGTGATTTTATAGCTCTACGTATATCTTCCGATTTAATAACTAATTGATACTAATTGTTATGGCTCATATCAACCTGATTTCAATGACCGTAAAATGAACTCTTTATTATGAACTATAATGTTTTTTCTTTTATGGGGGATATGAAATATGCTTATTTTGAGATATAAATCTTGAGACAGGTAAAATAAAAGAATTATATAATTCATATAGAAAACAAAACACTAGAAACAGGTCCCATAGTTTTTATTATTTTATAGGATGTATAAAACTAATCTGTTATGAGTTCTCTCAAGATTTTTATGACTGATCGGCACGTGTTGTAAATCATTAAGTGGGCCATTAGTTGGTCCAGAAACTCTCAATCTATGTAGATATTTCATTTTCGGAACGAAGTCCGGAAGAATCGTAGATCCGCTATCCATCGCTGATCCTATGCCATTTCATTCTCCGCTAAAGTTTCTTACCTGTTTTATCTGAATATTCTGGACTTCGTGGAAATTTGTCTGGGATAGGTACGCGGAAAATTACCCGCGTAGTTTTTCGCGCCCTAACCATGAATGGGATTAGGATTATCCGGAAAATGGTTCCGGTTTTTATTTGGAGTTTGGTTTTGTCTCGTTCGCTGTTTACCTGCAAAATAGGAAATATGATATATTGCAAGGGAAAACAAACAATTGGCAAATTCGCCTTGGGTGTGTGTTTATTCGCTTCATTTGCATCCAAAGTTTCGAGTGTCAGCTGAGTAGCAATGGCTTGCCATTTTACAGGGTATATGAGAGTAAATATTTTGAATTATTATATACTTTTTATATTGATTATATATTCTATCAATACATTCAATTTTATACTATAATCTATATTTAATTTTAATCTATCTACAATAGTGTCTTTTTTTTTTTTTAAATTTGAATAAAATAAGTTTATCGATTAAAAGTAAAATAATTTCAATAAATATATGTTTTTAAATATGTGTAGCATACAAAACATTTAAATGGTCATAAAATTTTAATTAATTTCGAGGTATCAAACGGTCGAATATCTTGCAGCACATTTCATTTACCTTTTTTGTGCTGGCAATACTGTACTGCTCTCTTGCTCTCTTATTGCTCTCCCCAATGTGGATGATATGGTGGTGGATGTGGATGTGGATCCTAATTCCAATACAACAAACAAAATTCATTCACTCTTGGCTTCCACGCCTCGCGTTTGTCATTCTCTCGAGTATCTGCAATCTGTAAATTACACAATTTGTGCAAAATTCGAACGGCAAAATCAAACACTTTGTGCCAAACAATTTGCCAAAGTCAAGGAAACGGGATTTCAAACAGTGTGCATGCGGTTAAAGATGAAGTGAGCAATTTTAAGCCTTTGCAAACTGCAAAAAGAATCGAAGAAAGAAAAAAAAAAACAACACGCAAAAGGCATAAGAAGAAGAAACTGTATTTGTGTATGAGTGTGTACCGTCACGAGTTTGGAGCGCAGTTTTTTTTATCGTCTTCTTCTTGCCATCTAGATTTGAAGTTTTCGCGTTTATATAGTTTGTTTTTTGTGTGCTGTGTGTGTGGTTAATGTCTTTAACCTTTGGACTTTTAAACAACTATTATATAGTTATTGTGAAGTGAAGTGAAACGCAGAAATATTTGGCAACATGTGAGTTTTCCAAGTCTGTTTGTATTATGTATATTCCATATAGAATTCCCATCTGTAGTTGTAAATATTGCCATTTCCCTTTCACTGGAATTGCTTTGGGAAAACGCCTTTTACTTTAAGTGATGCTGCAGACTGCAGTTGTTGTTGTTGTTTCTATTGTTGTTGCTGCCTGCGCTGCCGGTTATCCTCAGTCGACGTCGCAGCTGCCCCTGTCATTTGTGTGTGTGCGTTTGGCCGAGCAAGAAGTTCCACTTCCAGTTTCCAAGCTGCGCTCATGGCTATTAATAAAAACCAAAAACAAAAAAGATAACATTGAGCAGTCAAGCGAGGTGTTTTTCATACTTTAACATTTTTTTTCGGCCAGCGAAATCTTTTTAAAAATAAATTAAAGAGCGTAAAGTTACTTTGCGCATGCTCCGCGTTCAGTGGGTGGTAACAAAAAAAAAAAACTAACTGAGAGAGAGCGAACCACCGCCGATGACAGTTATTCATTTTCTCTTGTGACTCTGGACAATTCGCATTAATTTAGCAATTAGTTTTAATGTTTACGTTCACAACGAACATCAAGGCAATTGAATAAAAAACTACAAAATCATGTGACCCCTCTCAGAAAATAAAACAAAAAGCGGAAAAAAGGGGAAGAGCTAAATGAGAAAAACAACACCGCCAAACAAACCGAAAGTGCCTAGACAGAATTTGTAAAATGCTTTAAAAATTACATAATACGAATCGAAGAGGAAATTGCTCAAGCCAAGACGATTTAAATTTAAATGCAATTTAAATTAAATCGAAAGAATGCAGAGTGACTAAGAAAAGAATTTGCCTTAGGAAAAGCGAGAAGAAGGCAACAAAGACAAAATGACGCACGTAAACAATGGGGAAATGGATAAGGAGATGGATATGGAGCCAGTGAGAGAGCGAGAAACGGAGAGGGAGACTGCTGCCGGCAGTGGGCTCCATCATCGATTTTTGCCAAGTGCATCAGAGCGAGATGGCACATTGGAAGCTGCAGCGGCTTCCACATCAAAAACAACAACCATTACCACCAACTTGGAAGACTTGGCCTTTGAGGCATGCCAAAATTGGTCGGAGTTACACCAAGACTTCTTCATCACGGACGATGAACTTGAGTACGACGATGAACTCTCCTTGAGTAGCAGCATAAGCAGCAGCAACATTGCAGCAGCCGCAAACGCAGCAGAGGGTCCAATAACGGGAGAGCAGCAGAACGAGCAACTGCTAATGGAAGGTGCTGAAGTGCTAAATGTTTACTGTTAAATCGATGAATCCAACTTGGAGCCTTTGGAACCCTTTCCAACACTGTCGAGGAGAGCCTGTAATACAGTGCACGCTCGCAAGATTGCATTTACATAAGCCTAGTGTTTAATTTAACAAACGTTAAATGGAAACATTTTGTCTTCCAACTTTCTGATAGCTTACATATTAGTCCTTCTCCTGTTTAATTTTTTTTTTAATCTTGTTAGGTTTTGTAAATTATTTATACAATCAAATATATTTACTGACCATTATTAAAAATTTTAAACCTAAGAATTAACTATTTTAACAAATATATTTTTTAAATACTGTCAGAACAGAACCTAAAAAACAAATTTCTAAATTATTACATCGATTGAGCTACGATTGATCTTTAAAGTTAAAAATTATTATATTTTTTACAGTTCTATGCGGCAACCGCGTTAGCCAGATGACTCGGGCGTACGATGACATTGAGGCCGTGACGCGACTGCTGGAAGAGAAAGAGAAGGATCTGGAGCTGACCGTGCAGATCGGCAAGGAGCTACTCACCCAGAACAATGCCCTCGAGGCACGGGTCGCCGATCTGGAGGTCGATCTCAAGGCCGCCAACGACGATCGTGCCCAGCTGGTCCACGAGCTGCACAAGAAGAACGAGCTTATCTCGGTGCTGACCAACGATGCGGATGATGGAACAGATACTGGTGGGTATTTCACGTTACTTATAAATTTACGCTAAAGTTAAAATGAAAAATAGTGCTTTAGTAAGAGGAAAGATTTATGCAGAGATACAGCAGCATCTATCTTTTATCAAATTTTCAAAGTTTTTTTTTAAATTTTATATACAATAATAATGAAAAAATTTGTTTTATTATTTTGGTGTACTTGAAATAATGCATTTATTTTGCAAATTGTTTAATTTGTGATGAGGAAAGTATTATTTTGAAGATGAAACCATATATTGTTTCTTAAAGAAATGAATTTTTTTATTGCAATATTTTTTATGTTTACATTTTATTTCCACAGACACTCCCACCATGTCGAAGTCCATTACTCTGGACCTTCTGCAGCGCAAGGTGAACACCCTGCTGGACGAGAACAAATCTTTGAAGTGTGAGGCAACCCAGCTGGCTCATCAGACAGACGAGGTGGAGGAGCACGAGCGCCAACTAATGGCCGACATTAGTGCCCAGTTGAACGATGCCAATTCGCAGTACGACAACATCAGCCTGGAGTTGGAGCGGCAACGGGAGGAGAACCGACTGCAGCACGACCAGATCGTGAGTCTGACCGCTCGCCTGGCTGAGGCAGAGATGCGGCTCCACCAACTGACGCAAGACAACGACGAGCACTTGTCGCTGCTGCATGTGACCAAGGAGAATCAGAACGCTTTGGCTCTGGAACTGGTGGAGTTCAAGCAGCGCTATGAAGAGGTGCTCGCTTTGCTTCACTCGGCCCAAGATCAGTTAAAGCAACAACGCAAGCGGTCGCAGCCACAGGCCAGGAGTTCCTTCCTCGGCGGTCTGGGTACGAGTGGAGCCGGCATGGGCGGTGGTCTATTCCAGCCGGATTCGCTGCATTGCGAGCTAATGGAGTCGTCACTGTACTCAGAGAATAGTCTGGACTCTGGCATATCTGGCGACAGCCAACGGTCTGCAGACCGCATTAGCCGTATGATGATGAACATGCCGTCCGGCGGAATGAGTTCGTCTACCATGGGCGGAAGCATCTACGCTGGATCTGGCCATGTGCCACCGTACAAACGGGTGTTCGATACAGTGCGATGTGCTGGCAAGAGCGGCAACTACATGGACAGCGGCAACGTATCGATGACCCAACTGGGTGCCATGTCGATGAGCAGCACCTCGGGGCCGCGCATGGCTTCCATGGCGTATCCAGCAGGCTCTTACTATCGTGGCGGTAGCAGTCAATCGCTGGGCGTTAAAACTCTGTCCAGCGAGAGTCTCAACTCCCAGTCTGATGACGGCTATCCAGCTCAGCCCTCTGGTGTGCCAGGAGCGCCCGGCGCCAAGGAGCTGGAGGCGGCTCTCAAGAGGCTGACGCCGGCAGAGGTTTTGGCCCGCCGTGCTATGCTGTCTTATGCGCCTGCTGGGACCTATAATTACGATGAGCCCATGGCTCACGGTGCAGGAAACGACCGCAACTCGAACCTCCCGCTGGGTGTGCGCACGCCGGACAGCATCATGTCCACTGGTTCCTCGGGAATGTCGGGCTCCACGAATCACATGTCCGCCTCGATGACGCACCAATGGCGCCTGCCTGAGAAGCTCCAGATCATTAAGCCCATGGAGGGCTCGCAGACTTTGCACCATTGGTCTCGCCTGGCCACGCCCACGCTAAGCGGACTGCTGGACGAACGTCCTGGCGTGACTATTCGCGGTGGGCGTGGCTTGGACGATCTGGGTATGCAGATCTACACGCTGTCGGACGTTGAAGAGGACGTTAGCGATGATCTGCCTGGAAAACAGTTCGAGGCGCCTGGCTGCACATTCACCTATACCAACAGCATGGTCATGCATCCGGACGATGGTTTCGTCAACGATCTGTCGTTCCTCTCGCAGTCGCAGATGTCCTCGCGAATGGCCTCCACATCAACCTCAAGACAACCCAGGTGATTAAAAAATACTCAAGAATATTTCTTCTACAATCAAATAACATTATTTTAAATTGTTGTATACTTTATAAATGTATAAGTATAAGGAAATTTTTATATCTTTTGGAAGCTTCTTTAACGTTTTGAAATCTTGCATTTCAGTTGTCCCGCCACTCCACGTGCTGGACTCTCGCGCAAAAACTCCTGCTCCACATTCTCGGTGAACCTTGGCCTCGCTGGAATGCTAAATGAGAGGGGAATAAAGGCGGTGACGCCCAGTGCCCTTAACACGCCCGCCGGTCCCAACTTCTCGCCCACGGTGACACCTTGTAATAGCCCGGAGGGATCGCCACCTCGTGCCCAGTCTCCCGAGCCGCTCTTTGGATTGCTCTCATCAGGTGCGGATCTGATCCGCCGCAAGATCGTCGGCGATCACCAGCAGCAACAGAAGCAAAGGAGCAGCCTCAGCAAGCAGCAGCAGCAGAAGATCATGCTGTCGCACTTGGAGCGACGTGCACTGCGATCGCTGAACCTGATCGAGAAGGTGGAGAGCATTGGACTGGAGAACATAATAAGCGCACAGCGTGGCCTTGGCTCGGGAATAGCGAACCGAAGCAGTTCCCCGCTGAGCAGTGGTAGCCTTCAGAGTCTGCACACCAGCACCAATAGCATTGTGGACGATATACACTTTGATCGGGCACAAATCAAGGGTGTCCTGCATCGAGGCTTAAAGTCGCCCACGCCCACAACAGCGTCAACATCAGCTGCAGCGACAGGAGGTGTAGCTAGATCGACGAGCAGCAGCACCAGCGCCTACAATAGCGATGACAGTGACGATCAGGGCTTAGTGATGAAGATCAAACCATCAAAGAGCACACCACCCACGACAACAACAACAGCAGCACAAAGTCAGCCAACTTCTGGATCGAGTGCACAAACGACGGCATCCAATGGCACGGCGAGCGAAACGCGGCTGAAGCAGATGCAGCGCCAGAAATCGCGGAGGCAGCTGAAGAACGGTATGGCCAGCCAGAGGCCCGACTTGGGCACAATTTCAGGCGGAGCGGCAGGAGGCGGACGGGTGCGTCCTGATCTGGGAAAGGTAGTAGACAGCGGCAGCAGCAAGCTGAGCATCAAGCGAAATGAAGCGAAGGCAGCGGAGGAGGAAGAGGCGGCACCGCAGAGCATTACACAGGCGTTTGTGGGTTCAGTTAGTTCCTTGCTCTTTGGTCGCAAGGGCGGTTGGCTGTAAAACTAATAGCTATTCATTCACAACCTTATTCTTACGCTTGCTGGACTATAGTTTACTTTTAAAGGATGGAAAATATGCCTTATGCGAGTTAGAGAACATTTTTATTTAAGCACAACGCGGGAACGAGTTGAATAACGAAACGTAATGTAATCGTGTGAACGTTCAGTTGAATATATTTTTTTTTTGTTTAAAGCCCCGCATAATGCCTGTCATCGCCACCTTAAGCAACACTGGAAGAAGGTTTTAGTGTTTGTAGCTGTGATTTGTAAATACTTATAGAGAAATGTTTAAATTTAGTAGTTATTAATCAAGTACTTCGCATATTATTATTTTTGCTTCAACTGGCGGCGGAAGTTTAAGAATCAAGAACGATGGCCAGTTCAGTTCGTTGAACATCGAGTTCCAAAGCAGCTATTTTTACATTAAACTACATTTTGCCAATTTTGTATTTATTTTTCCTGTGTTTATTACCACTTAAACGAAAACGAAACCATGTATACATTTATTTTTATGATTTATGAATTGTGTATAGGGTCAAAGCAGGTGCAAAGTTGTATATAGGAATAACAAAAGGAGAGAAATCAATCTGTAACTTGAATGTGGTTAAGTAAAGAGGTGCATATATATTTTTTTACACGCGTATATAGTTTGCGTTTTTTGCTTTCCACACAAACAAGAGACAGTAGCCCCTTCCCAAATACTGTATCACAAAGATCATAACTCAAAATGCTATTGCTTTGACTTAACTATTATTTCGGTGCTTAGTGCGCTGCCCCTTACGAAAATACATAAAGTAAATCGAGAAACGATTATTTTTCTAGTCCTATTCTGGGTCGGTGCTCCTTTGGCTATGTGTAACTACAGCATAGCTTCAAAGCAGAGCGCCCTAAACTCGAGACAAAAGAACATAAGAGCACTGAACAAATGTGTGAAAATATCCTTATTAATAGATTCATTAATGAGAAACAGCATCCAAGATCCAGTAATAAAATGGCTGTTGATTAGAACTGCACCGATAGCCAACCCAGCATTAGCGAAACACGGACACATGTTATCCAAACACAGTAACTCGCGGCTATAGTCTATTAACAGGATTCTCAAATCTTCTGATGTGTAAAATTGGAGGTCAATACTTTTGTTCTTTGACTTCGAACGGTTTTAATTTGAAGAACGAAAATATCATGGAATAAGAAAATATCGATTAAGATCAAGAAGTAACATATGTTTATTGGAGTTGTGCACGTTTTCGAGGATTTTTGTTTAATAGCATTGCAACTGAGCAGTTGACGTTAAAAGCTAATCGAGTGCGTGCCCAAAAACGTAAATTATACAACAAATTTGGAATACAGAAAAGATTGTAAAAGTTATTAGTTGTAATTACCAATATATTTATTTATATCTGCAAAATAAAGAGAACATCGTTAAATACAAATCAAACAAATTAGTTTTTTTTACGACTTATAATGTGATCATTGGATATTGGGTATGTATAAATAATTTTGACCTTGACGAAAAATGTTTTAGGTGTAAGACATATATGTAAAACAAATTTAAAATTTAATTTAATTTAACACGAAGATTTCTTATAGTTTAGAAAACCACGGTGAAGACATAAGGGCGGCAAGAAGCAACGAGGAGTAGCTATGGCATATACAAGAAATAGTACCAAGTTCGCCTAGGAAGGAATTTTGTTGTTATTTAGCTGTTTATACCCGTTACTCGTAAAGTAAAAGAGTATATTAGATTCTTCTTAACTGTGTTAGCTTTGGCTTACGGGCTTTATTCAAATGCCAAAGATCCTATGACAAAAAAGATTTCTGTCTAAAAAAAAACGGTTTTCATTTTAATAATTTTCAATTTTACGAAAAGATATATTTTCTTAAGAACATTTATTATGGATCAGCTCTAAAGCAAATCCATTCTAAATATATTTTAAATGTTCTGAAATTGTAGAAACTTAAGAATTCAAGATAAGTGGAAATAAAAAAACATATTTTTCGGATTTATTTTACATTAATTCAACTGTTTTTATAAAAATAAAAAAAATTTTCTTAAGACCTTAACCATTATTAATTATTTACGGTTTCGTATAATGCTTTGTGCAACTACTTTGCATCTTAAAAGAGGCTATGCGCATTACTTTAAACATATATCGCTTTTAGATCGTGATTCCCCCAAAATTGACTATTTCTTTCACACCTTTGTCTTGTTTTCCCGAAAATACCAAAAATACCACATATGTTGGTTTTTACCCACAAGTGCGCCCCTTCTCAACACTATTGCTCATTTGGGCACGTGCTAGGTGTGGACACACTGGCACGCGAGGTAAACACAACACGCAGTATTTCGTCGGAAGTTTACCAGGTTTTCACTTGGCCTGCCGCGCAATAAACCCGCCCAATTAGTGATCAAAGAACGGCATAGATAATGCTCGAATCGAATGGAATACGCTGCGATGAGATAATCGGAAGATTCAAGCGGCAAAAAGCAACTGCGTGTCAAGTGGAAAATAAGTGAAGGGGGTGGCGGGTTGACGAAAAAAACAAAAACAAAACGCAAAACTGAAACCGAAAGACAGCAACAACAACAAAATCGAGTGAAAGAAAAGTGCGTGAAATTCACCTGTCTCCGTGAGCCGATTAATTGATGACGTGGACGCGGACGAAGGACGCAGGGCCACAGGATATATACATATTTTCCAGTGCACATGCACATGCATGCTGCACACACGCACACACATTCACCAAACTCATGCAGAAAACCAGTTGTTTAGTTGTTGCTGCTGTTGTTCTTGTTGTTGTTGTTGCTGTTGCTGCTGCAAATGAGAAGTGCAAGTGAAGCAGCAACAAAAATCCTGCTCTTGAAAGTACAAAGCAAAGAAAAGGAGAAAATAAGTAAGCGGAAAAGGGCCGAGAAGAAGGTGCGACAACGACAAAAAGTTGTTTGTCAACTTGTTGCCAATGTTGCAGGCACAAAGTGGCTGGCTGTACAAAAGCAGCAGCAGCGGCAGGAACAAGAATTTGGCATTTTGCATCGGCTAAATCCAGGCAAAAGTCCCAGGCCCTCAGCAGGATAATAACAAGGAGCTTCCAAACCAAACCACGAGTAGGTGGAAAGATCCAGGATATCCTGCTATTTTGGGTAAGTTTGTCAACTCCAATGAGTTTGCTTGTCATTGCCTAATCCAATTCTTATTCTTGTTTTCCTCAGCCGAAAAGCGGGAAACCCAATGATACTGGTGGAAAATATTCCACATTCTTCTGAGATTTCCTGAATTTTTAATGAAAAAGGTGGTACAAAAACAGCACACAAACTAAATTGATTCGGAAAAGATTTGAAAGAGGTAACCACTAATGTAAACCAATGTAAACCTTCTCTTTTTGCTGGAATCTGAAGAAAATAAAACCAGGCCAATTACCTGCACCAGGACAAGGCAGTCATATTTTGGTAAGTCCACATTAAATAATACAATTAAATAATTACAATTTCAACCTTTTTTTAATTAATTTCTACAACACAAAATCATTCTATTTAATATCCATTTCTCTTATTCTTGCAGTCAGATTTTCGTTCCTGCAAACTATTTTGGTAATTAAAAGAACCCCCGCGGGCAACCATGTCCACGATTACCAGAAGCGCCAGCGCGAGTCCAATGGCGCTCAATGGTGTCATCGATGCCAGCCTCTTCCCCCTGAAGTCCACGGCCGATGTGGTCAATTTGTTCCGTCGCGCTTTAACCTCTGGCATAGAGCCCGATCTCACCCTTGCTCTCCATTGTGGTTGGCTACATCGAGTTGTCTCTGACAACAGGAGAGGCTGCTGCGCAGGCCGCTCAGGCTGCGGCCGCCGCTGCCGCAGCAGGTGACATCAGTCAGGCGGCGACAGGTGTGTATAGTCATCCGTTCATCACTCACACTCACCGTTTACCGCTCGCGTTCACCGTTAACCATTTAGCAAAGGGAAACCAGTTAAAACGGAAGCGGTTGCAGGCAAATTGGATAAGTTTTTGGCCGCTGTTTTTCGTAATTTTTGATAATGGCACAACTTAAACAGGGCTGTTTGACTCTGAAGTCATTAATTGTTCAGTTTGAAGTATCATTTAGTTATAACCCTTCAACGTAGCTTAACTTAATTTTAATTTAAGGCCATTAAATAAGAAATGTTATATACCTTATAAGAGTGTACCACTTAAAACGCCACTAATGAGACTTATTTAATTAGATTATAAAATGAAATTAAAACATTATTAATAGTTCTTCCATTCCATATACAGGTGGAAGCGATGTCATCATGGGAAACAGCGTTCCGTTCCCGGTAGTTACCCACGAACTGATCGCCGGCCTCTATAAGAAATTCCAGACGATCTTGTCGGTGGTCGAAAAGCCAAAGCCCCACCGCCAGGCCACCCGAGAGGTGATCAAGAAGGTATCGGACGTGATCTGGAACTCGCTGATCCGCAGCAGCTACAAGGATCGCGCGCATCTGCAGAACCTCTACAGTTATCTGTCGGGTAATAAGTTGGACTGTTTTGGAGTTGCTCTGGCCGTGGTGGCGGGATGCCAGCTGCTGGGCTACAAAGATGTGCGACTGGCCATTTCCGAGGATCATGCGTGGGTGGTGTTTGGCCAAAAGCGCGTGGAAACCATCGAGGTAACATGGCACGGCAAAGGCAGCGAAGATAAGCGGGGACAGGATATTCGCCCTGGGATCGAATCTGGATCGTGGCTCTACTTGGGTAAGTTGAAAGTTTAATCGTCGTCAGGAAATATTAATCCTTAATAATACTTCCATCGTTTAGGTGGTTTGGCGGTGGTATGCGAGCGTGGAATGGAAGTGGCGGCTATCTGTGCCGCTCTGAATATCTCGCTGACCTCGAACAGTGACTGCGTGGAAGTGGCAGAGCTTCAGCAGCAGCTTTTGTGGTTACTCTATGACCTGGGACACCTTAAACGCTATCCGATGGCTCTGGGCACTCTTGGTGAGCTGGAGGAGATCCATCGGACACATCCGAGCGTTAGTTGCGAGCAGCTATACCGCGAGGCCATAGAATCGGCAAGGACGCACTACCGAAATCATCACGTATATCCGTATACTTACCAGGGAAACTACTATAATAGATTGCTAAAGTACAGAGACGCCTTTGCCGCATGGGCAAATGCGGCGGACGTAATCCGCTTGTATACGTATCAATGCCGGGATGACGAGGAGATCTACAAAGAGCTACTGGACATTGCCAACGAGTTAATACCGTATGTGATGAAAACCGAGAGTTCAGGTCATTCGGCGAGAAGTATTCTACGAGATTCGGAGGTGTTTGCCAATTTGTTGAGATTCTACGACGGCATCTGCCAGTGGGAGGAAGACAGCTTGACGCCCATATTGCATATTGGTTGGGCCAAGCCCCTGGTGAATAATATAACCAAGTTTGATTTCGACATTAGGTCCCAGGTGGTCATAAAGTTGCCTGAGGATCTGGTAGCGGAACAGGCGAAGGCGGAGCAGGCAAGGGCGGAACAGGAGGCTAAGGAAGCTAAGGAGTCAAAGGAAGCTACGGGATTAGAGGCTTTGGAGGGTAATAACAACACGTTGGTGAAAAAGGAAGAGGTAAGCAGATGAATTTTATTAGAAAATTAATTTTTGAAATATAGCTGAACAAAATCCTTAATATAATTTAATAGGGAACTAAACAAAAATTTTGAAGTAACAGGGTTTTATCTTTAATTAATGCCTGCCATCGATATCCTTTTGCTTCCTTGTCCTTGTGCTTTTTTGAAATATTATTTCGATGGAGCACCTTGGAAATATTTAACGCTTCCTTGGTAAAGAACGTCCGTTCCGAGTTATCCGTGAACCTTGTTTATACATATAGTCCCAGTCTCGGTCTGCAGAACAGCACGAATATTTTCTGTCTTGGTCAGAGTCCCTAGAATGCTGCCTATGGCCGTGGTCCAAATCTCTGCAGCTCCTGCAACACGACCTTCTGGATTCCCCAACATGTCTCTTACGGTTCAAACGATGAAGGTACCTATACCTATCCGATTCCCTCGAGGCCCTGCATTGGCAATGCTTGTCGCAATGCAAAATCTTTTAGGGCTCCCAGGTAGGGGAGCATTGATTGTGGCCTGGATCTTCGTCTACAGACCCTTTTGAGTTTTGCTCCTTCGGTTCGCTGTGCTTACTATGTTTAACTAAAAGTTTGATCCTATTCTGGGTTTTTTGTGCTGTAGAGAGTTCTTTGACTGCCGGTTGACTGCAGAATGGGAGTGGGACGTTTATCCTGCTTAGCTTCTGTGGGAATTGGTTGCTCAGTGAGCTGGCGTGGGGCAACTGTCACTACTTGTGGAATTTTAAAGATTCCTTTTAGTTGGTGTACAATATTATATGGATCGTCGTCGTGATTAAGCAATATTTTCTTTACAAGATCCAGCTTGTCGGCGAGTTCTTTCTGTTCTCTGCTTAAGCGACGTATCTTGCACTTTAGATCCTCGACGATTTGAATCTTGGCTTTAAGATCTTGTGTGGTCTTGGTACACTTTTCCCTTAGAATTTTCCACGTCAAAAAATCGCAGATAGATTCTGGTTGGTTCCCCTTATTTGAAGAGATTGAAAATGCTATGTCCGGCCTTTGATGTTTTCTCAGTATTATCATTGGTCAATAATTTTGCTGGCAGATCAGATTTCTGGCCACTCGGCTCCACCTCGGCCTCGCTCTCCGAGGGAAGGGATACCAGTTTACTCTCGGCGAGAAATCCACAGGCATTTGTGATTTCCTTTCGAGGCTTCGGTTTTTGGGTCGGTTGTATGATAGGCCGTTCCTGTTCTAACTTTTTGAATCTTGGCAGTTCTCCCATTCGACCATCCAGGCTATTTCTTCTTTCGTATTTGAATGTATCCATAGAATAGTTAAAGATCATTGATTTACATTTATAAATCGCATTTTTGCCTCCATTTGCAAACCCGGAGCTCTCGGGAGCCCTACAAAGCCCAATCCGCGAGTCTTTCCTGACTTTTTTGGCGTCATATTCACTCCCATCGTCGTTTTTTTTGAAGAATTTGTAGATCCAGTTGCAAAACTCCACCTGATTGTGCCCACTAATTAAGTCTCCCACCGGCAATTGCCGATTAACTTTTAGTTTTTCCATACAGTTGCCCAGTATCCGAAAGTTGATCTCAAAGTCAGTCTTTTTGTACGTATAAAACTTGACTTTATGAATCTGAATCGAAGTGGGGAATAGTCTATGCATGACTTGGCAGTATACTGCTCCGGTCTTAAGGTCATCCATGCTCCGTAAATCGCAATCTAGTGTTTGGTTAAGAAACACCATCAGGATCCTTATGGAAACCATCTCCGTTTTTTGTACCACAACATTTGTAGCAAATCTATTCTTTAGTTTTTTGGATTGTTCCATTGTTCCAGCTTTAACGATTAAACGATTAACTTGCTTTCGCTGCAATTCTTACAGATTACTCTTTCTTGATCTCTAGTTAGAGCTCGCGTTCGTAAACCTCATTTGTTTGAGTTCAACGGAACGTTATAATATTTAAATATGTATAGAGAGGCCTATTTATTATAGATGAAGTGGCTTTAGTAATTTGTAGTTTGATTTTGCTCTTTGTTTTGAAGCCTTGCAGATAGCAAAATAACAGCCTTCTAAGATTTACTTTTAAAATTTAACAAAAATTATGTCTTTCTAGTGTTATTACTGAACAAAATTATTAATTTGATCTTTACTTTTTGCCAGAAGACAAAAAGTTCGGAGTTGCCGACTACTTTGGCCGATTTAACCGCTGCCTGCGGCGAGAAAATCCTTAATCCAGACTTCCTGCTCCAGGGCGGAGGTCAGCCCTTTGCCGACCAGAAGCAACAAGCTTCTGTTGAGGAATCGGATATTATTGAACTCCACAACAACAATAATAACAGCAACAGCAATAACAACAACCATAATTCCGACAAAAAGGAGGTTCCAGCAAACACAGCAACAACAACAACAACTAATGCAAGCAATGGCAGTAGCACCTCTGTCCAATTGCCCGTTTCTAGCGAGGCTAGCAATGCCGGCCAAGCCCAGTCCCAAAATCTTACAAATGCCCAACAGGGCAAACCACAGCACAAAGAAGCTAAAAATGAGGAGATGAGTGACGACTACGACCCCTTCGAGATAATGCTCAAGAGGCCAGTAATCACGTTGTACAGCCAAAAGATGAAGGGCCTAAAGGATCTCTTGCTGGCCGAAAAGCTCAACACCCATGCCATTTCTCTCCAAGTCACCGCCCAGTCGGTTGCCTCCCGAAAGGTTCGGGGAGTGGAGAAACAATCGGCTACAATTTCAGCCACCATTACAGCTATTTCGTCAAACTCCGGCGACAATCTGCTAAGTGGCGTTGGTGGTGGAGGAGGTAGTGGTTCAGGGGCCACAGGCGGAGCGTCGTTATCATCATCGTCCCCAGGAGGAGATTCAATAGCCGCCTCACGTCCAAAGAGAACGCGTCGCGAGTAATCCTCATTGTTGTGTATTACATATTGGAAAATTCTTTATTAATCAAGTGTGCTAGTGTAGGTGGTTCGATTTTTTTTTGTGGATTATGTAATTGCTAACTTATTATTTTCTTTACTAAGTTTTATTAAAGTCAAGGACTGACATAATTAAGTCAAAACAGACGTATACATTAAATTGGAAATATTTTTTATACATTTTTAAAGAAAATTGTTTTATAAGTTAGAGATCCAAGATTCATTTTCGACCATTTGACCTATCAAAGTTTTGTCTTGAACCGTAGAAAATCGAGCCACCATAAGACCGCGCACATAATATATATGCTATCATATTTTTGATGTTCGATGTGTATTTATATAGTTCGTAAGCGCGAGACGAAACAAAAAAATGAAGCCGTTATAGAACGCTTAGCGTTGAAAAAAGAAATATAAAATGTGAAACACACACTGACATGTCCCAACAAACAAAAACAGGCACACAAAACGCTAAGTTATGCTAAGTATTTATAACGTATTTTTAGCTGTTATAGTTTTCTTTTATGTATTTATTGCTATAACTGTCTATTTCCCCTCCATCATGTTTGAACATTTTTTTATTATTATTGTTTAAGCGTAACTTAATTGGTGCTCTTTTTCGAAATCGAAAGCAGAAAATCGGTTCTATATATGATTTTGATTAAATTTTTATCAACAAGAAAACTTGATGGAAATCTAAAATGGATATCGAACTGCTCATATTTATGTATTTACTTTAAAGCATTTTATTGAGGCTAAGCTGTTTGATTTAACTCGATTTACATGTATACCCTGTAATATTTAAGAATTCAATACTTTGTTACGAACTGTTGACTTGAAACAACGAAACAGTTGGCAAATCCGAATGGTAAACAAAAGAATACATATTTAACACTTCCTCTATATGTGATACAACACTTTTTCTAGAAAAGCTTTCATATTATCGTATAAAACTAAATAGAATTAACCACTCTCCACACACTTTAAACGAAAACCACTCAAGTGGGCTGGCAGCAGCAGCAGGACCGGCTCTTGTTTAGAGATAATCCAGTCCAGAATATATATGCCGACCCTAAGAACTTGTCACCCCATTTAGAGCAACAGCAATTATGGACAAAATCGGAGCTTGTAACAAATTGTTAAATGATGATAATAATTGCATTGAATTTAATTTGATTTGTGCGTAGAGCATCTGTGATGAATAATAATGTTTAGAAGAGAGAAACAGAATGTTAAGGAGAAAAGTGGAGAGCCCGAGACAGCACACAAAACTGATCAACAATATAACTAATCAAATGTAAGGTGTTTTATTCCTCATATATTACATTAGCAGACTTAAAGCAACACACAAGTGAAATCAAAACAAACTATTTAATTATGTAGATTTGCAGAGAGCAACAACTGAATGTTAAATGTTGAACTACAGTTATATATAAATTTAAACTAGATACTGAAACTAACAAAACAACAACAAAGAACTATATATTTTGGCATACAAAATTTTTAACATTAAGTAAAGTGGAGAGCATGGATAAGAATTGAGAAATAGTTTTTATTTTCATTAAATTTTGGACAGCACGAAATCCAACCCAGAAATAGACAAAACTAAAAGTTCGCTATGCAATAAATCAAAAGGCAGCAACTCAAGTAAAGAAACAATATGAAAACCTATAAGCATATAACATATATATTTATTAATGTTAAAATAACGTACTTTTTGCTCTAATTGTTTAAAATAGCCAACCAGCATCAACAGTTAAAATAAATGTAGCTTAAAATCCAAATGCTCAATAATCCTTTTAGCTTGAAAGTCAAATAGCCAACAGTAAAAATGTTATACAAATCATTAAATGCATAAAAAAAATAATTATTTGATGAAAAGTCTTTATGAACCGAGGAAAATAAATATCATGTTAAAGTATTACATTTGATTCACAAGTATACATTATTTGTCCTAAAATTGTAGAAATACATTTTAATTTACTAAGGAATTATCCCCGGCTCGTAAAGTTTTTTTAAACTTGTGTTTTATTGGGCTGAGAAGAAAAATGTATTTTACATTCTGCTGTTTAGGACAAATCAAATTTGCATAATGTATGTCAATAATTTAATTGACAACTATCAAGCTCAGCAATAACTTCCGAAATCCAAAGGTACTATCCCAATTAGAAAATTTACTTTCAAAAAGTGCTAAACCCTTTTAAAAGGTTCCCAAGTATACTCAAATTCAGTTACAAAATTAAACACATAATAATTTCTCAACATATTCTTTATCCGTTAATTTCTGTTAAATTTCCGTGTAGGAAAGAACATCTCTATTAGCGAATTATTTGTTTATCAAGAAGTGCCAAGTGAGAAAGTGTTATAGCACCTCTTTAGCGGTTGTGTGCAAGGTTATAAAAATAGCTAGGATTTTTGCATTACTACTTAGAATAAATACTCTGACAACCAAAAATTGGTCAGTATTTTTTAATAAACTATAAGATGTTTTTCTGAATAACCGTTGGTCACACTGGAAACGAAAAGTGACTAGCATTTTTGGAGAAAATAACGCAAATAGCGTCGAAAACATTGTTTAAAAGCCATTTCATTAATATAAAAAAATCAAAATGTCTGCTCCTGATAAGGAAAAGGAGAAAGAGAAGGAGGAGACCAACAACAAGGGCGAAGATTTGGGTCTGCTGGAGGAGGACGATGAGTTCGAAGAGTTTCCCGCCGAAGGTAAAACTATAAGTTGTTAAATCAATTTTTTTATAATGTCTTGCCTTGCAGATTTCCGTGTTGGCGACGACGAGGAGGAACTGAATGTATGGGAGGATAACTGGGATGATGACAACGTGGAGGACGATTTCAGCCAGCAGTTGAAGGCCCATCTGGAGAGCAAGAAAATGGAGACGTGAACCGGCCCCGACCTCTTTGTTCAATCCTAACCATAAAAACGAGCTAAGCTGTTTTGCAGTTTATAGAATAAAATCAGTATATTAAGTTGAACTCAACTGCCAGTATTCCCCGAGAGCATCAGAGAGCTGCTCACAAAAAATGGCATGAAGCTTCTCCTGCTCAGAATTCTTCTGGTCGATCTCTAACAGGCGGTTATTAAGATCTTCCAGGCCTTTATCGCGCTTCTCGCAATCTACCTTCAGCTTTTCAAGTTCCTTCTGAAGCTTTTCATTCTCCACATCGTGTTTCTGCTTCATGACCTCGTACTGCTGATCGCAAAGGGATAGTTCCTGCTTCTTGGCCTCTACATCCTGGCGACGCTCCTGGTAATTGGTCCTCAAGGTGTGCTCCTGCTTCTCTATCGCCTCCAGCTTCTTTGAACTCTCTTTGTAATCCTCCAATTTGCTTAAAGGAATTACAGCCGTGGCCTTCTCCAGAGCAGTGACTATTTGCTGGCTAGTTTCAATAATCCGGCAGTGTTCGTTGGCCACTTGCTCTTTGCTGGCCAATTCGGCCTTGCAGCTTTCGATGTGCGAGGATGAGCTCTTGATTTTTCTGTGAGGGGAGAAATTGTCAACAGGAAACTACAGGTTTTGCCGGTATAACTCACTCTCGTAGTTCGTTCACTTGATCGTCTTTTACAACCAGCTGCTCCCAGTGATCTATGCGTTTGTCCAGCTCCGTCTGCTGTTGATCGAGGAGTTCAAGGGCATTGCTCTTTTCGATGCAGGATTTTTTTATGGGAAGGAGCTTTGCTTCGGTATCCTGCAATTCTTTCTTAAGCTGGTCAATGGCCACCTCGCTTTCCTGTGTCTTCTGCTTGCACTGTTGCAATTGCTGAATCTTGGCTTTGACTTCAGCTGTCAGAGAGTTCTTCAGTTTGATGTCCTCCTCCACGGGTACCAGAACATTCTTCTTGAACATTTTATAGTATGCCAGGTAGTTAAAAAGGCAGCTTAGGATGGACAATGTTTTTTTCACTGCTACAGGGGAGGAGTATTGATTAGCTAATACTGCTAACATGAGTTTAAAGTCTTTTTGGTAGTATTTTTTTGAACATATAAAGATCATAACAAGTTTTTTGAGAGACTACATTTTTGATTGGATATTATATAATTTATTTATAACTGAGAACAATGACTCTTCATTTGAATAGCAGTTCTCCCTTAAATGTAATTAAAAATTTTATATATGTGCATATGAAGCCGCAATTCCAAAACCAAGCTTACCTGGATTGAGTATATCCACATAGGTATAGGTTTTGTTTGGAAAGGTAATGTGAAGTATGCGCTCTACTTGGCGGCACACTTTGATTAGGAAAATGCGCGCTTCCCGCGACGAGTTCGCGAGATCGCATCCAATCCTATAAGGAGGCTCCAGGCGGAACCCGAAAGCACGCAGATAGTGCACAAATATTTTGGTGACAATTTGCTCGGTGGGATTGGCCAAGTCGTTTTGACAGATGTTGATGTCCGGCATCAGATAGTTTCCCTGGTCCACCAATCTTCCAATTTCAGCTGAAACAGCCATTTCAATTTATTAATTTTATTTCTATTTTACTTTTGTAATGAGCGCTTGAGTGGCTTGGTGTGACCAAATTATGATAGGTCATAAATTGGAAGAAAGAAGGGGTATTCCATTTACGTTACTTTTATATAGAATTTAAATTAATGATTTATTGCCTTATACTATAAGGCCTCTAGTATAGATTATTCAATTTTTTAAATTAAAGTAAATAAAATGTTTAAATATTATGTCTTTACTTATAATAGGTATTATTTTTCTTTAACATATATATCATAATTTTTCTCATATCTACGTTTTAACACGGCTTTAATTTTAATATTGTGAGTTTCTTATAATAAATTAAAAATTATTTTTAAACATGGATCGATTTAAAATATATTTTAAGTGCAGGCCATTAATACCAAAAAATACCACAATTATTATGCGTGAATTATAAAATAACGGTATAACCGGCTTCCGGTTGCCATGGCTTTTTTTATTTATCAAGTTTCTTTGTTCTTTTGGTTTCTAAAAATCCGTAAAATGGCATCCTCCAGCGCTGTCGAAGATGAACACCTCACAGACTCCGATTTAACCGATGATGAAGGTGAGTTAGTGCCTTTATTTCCATTCAATTACCTTTCAAATTTAAAATCCAAGAGCGCAGTGTCGAGCCGCGTCAGGAAGAGCTTCGTCCTGAGACTCCGAAACCCTCTTATAGCGACGAGGAACTGCACCAGTTGGTGGGTTATATACAGCGAATGAGTGTGCTGAGCTGTTTGGATCATAGAGACTGGCATGAGAGAACTCTGGACATTATCCGACGTTGGCTCTTGGAAGTGCACGAGCCACTGTTGACCATATACTATGATAAAGATGCACTATCCGCATGTCTGGGTATACCCACGACTTGTGTCTCGGATCTTAGTTATTTTCGCCGGGAACCGAATGAAATCTTTAGCGTGGACGGTTTCCATGATGAAGTCAACTTTGGTACCCTGACGAGCGATGTGGATGGTTGTTTGATGGAGTTACTGGATCGTTTGTACGCTCCCTACTTCCGGAACTATCTGGAATGGAATGCCACGTTGCGAAATCGATTTTGCTTTAGCTTAGACCGGTTTCTGGCTTTCCTCACCGGAATGCATCACCAAATCTCTGGCGTGGCCGTGCTGTATGTGCCTTTTGTCATTAAGGAAATGGCAGCTGGACCCGTTGATCGACAGTTGGTCAGGAGTCTGGAGGGTATCGCTCTATACTGGACCACGCAGATTCGCACTTTGCTGGGCGATGATACGTTGACAGTACCCCATGATCTGGCCACCGTGCGGGATGAGTTCGAGTTTTGGGAATATCGTTGTGAGTTAAAATTTGTTATTAAAAAATCTTTCTATGTCTCTAAATCGTATTCTTTGAAATCATGTTACCTGCGCTTCAGAAATGATATAATATTCAGTAAAGATTCTAAGGTAACTATAGATTATCAATTTGAACGATGTTTAATGATTTCAAGATTATGAATGCTTTATTTTAATAAACCCTACATTGCTCCAATATTATTTATTATTTCTCCTTTTTCTTAGATGAAGTTATTCAAGGTATCAATGACCAATTGGCTCAATCAGACGTACAGAAGGTGTTGTTATTATTGCATAACGCCAATTCCGTTCACAGTCCCCAAATGGATTGTCTTATAGAGAGAGCTAAGCAGGAGCTTCTTAAGTCTTTGTCAAATATCAAGTATTTGCACCTGCTGATCGAGCCCTGCTCGAAAATCGATGAGGCAGCAAGCCCGGCTGACTTGACGAAGCTTTTACCACGTATAATTCACCTTATACGTTTCATTTGGTTGAACTCTGATTACTACAATACCACTAGACTTATTACTGGATTATTCCGGAATTTGAGTAATCAGATAATAAGGTAAATTAAAGTATTATATTAAGTATAAATACATATCTGAGAATATTTACTATAATTTTCAGATTCTGCACGAATCAAACAAAGGTCGAGGAGATCCTTTCAGGAAAGCCGCGCTTTGGAATCAAGATATGCAATGCGGCCATAGATTGTTGCCTGGCTTACAGAGGAATCTATGACAAAATATCTAAGGATTTAGCGCAGAAACAGACCCAATTGGCTTGGGATCTAGATGAGGGACTTATCTTTAACCATATTGATGCCTTTGTGGAGCGTCTAAATGATGTGATCGACATTTGCGAATCCATGATTGTGTTCGGTCGTTTGGATGAAAATGGGAGCATACCGAAGCCTGCTTTTGGTGGCACTTGCGGTGAGGAGCTGGAGAAGATTGCCGAAAGTGTGGAGCATCAGTTTCTGGGTACCTTAAACCATTTGCAGGACACTTCCCAGGCATACATTTTAAATGTACATCGCTCAGATTGGTATAAAGATGTTGGCAATTTTCGCAGAAGCATGCAGAAACTCGAGGAGACGGTTCAGAGATTGATCTTTAATGTGTTCCAGCACGTGTCCAATGTGGAGGAGACTTTGGAGGCTCTCCAGGCCATGTTATTCTTCTCTTATCGCCAGAGAGGAACTCTAAGGAAAACCTACCTAAAAGAAACGAGCAAGTTGTGGAGAATGTTCTCCAAGGAAATGGATGATACATCAAGAAAGCTGTTGGAAGAGCGAAGACAAGAATCGTGGTTATCCAAAAATGTGTCCACAGCTCTTAGTTACCGCATTAATTTGGAACGCTTGACCTGGCTAAGAGATCGCTTGAAGAATGCAGAATGGCTTCCGCCTGTTAAAGAATCCTCGCCAGCTTTAGTTAAATTTGATTCACTGCGTCACGAGTTCCAAAAAGAAATTCGACAGGCCTACGAAGATTGGGTGGTTAAGTGTTGTGGAGTTTCCGGAGATCTCTGCCAGCGCTTGGATCGCTATCTGATTGTTCGGAGTAAAAAATTTAAAGGTCTCCTGGAGTGCAATATTGACCCATCTGTACTGGAGCTATGTGAGCAGGCTCAGCACTTTGAAAGGATGGGTTTCGCCATCCCCAATACTCTCAAAAAACTCTATGAACGATTCGATGTTATAAGATCCTTATATAATGGAATAATCCACCTTGCCCTCAGTCACAATCGCATTTTAAGTGTTCTCAGTGAACGAGAGAGGAAACTATTTCGACCTCTGACACAAGCCTGTGACCGGCAGCTGGCTCCTGGGATTTTCAAAATTACCTATGAATCTGAACTAAATGAGGAATACTTCGAAGATGGCAAAGAGTTCATTGCAGAGTTTCAGGAGCTGGTTCATATATTCAAGCGTGCGAATCGGGGCGTGGCCAGAAGTTGTGAGAAGATTTGCGACACCTGTTTGCTGCATTTTGCGTTCTCTGGCTCTGTGGATATGTCGGTGTTCCAACAGCAACTGTCCAGCAGGCTGAGTTCCTCCTTTGACATTTTAAGGAGCTACTACAGCAAAATAGTGGAGCTGTTGTCGGCCTTTAGTCGACAGTTCCAGTCAGTGGAGGACGAGGTAAGTGGCTCTAAATCACATACAGTATGAAATACAATTTTTACTGGCTGATCAAAAAAATGCTTTTTAGCTATAATTGAATAAATGAATTTAACAAAAGGAGGGCAAAGCAAAGAATGTGAAGCCCCTTATTCCTATTTTCATTTTAATTAATATTTTTTTAGATTAAAATTGAAACTAGACTAATTGATCGATCTGAATGCTTTTGGTTTGTATTTATACCAGATGTCTGTGGAATGGATAGCCTATGTGAACGATATGGACGACATGCTAGCCAGCTCATTAATGACCAGTGCCCGCGGTTCCTTGACCAAACTATACGAGGCCCTGCACTGCGACGAGGATATGGAGTCTGCTCCCGTAATAGTCCTTGAATCGGACGTGAAAGATGGTGAAATTGTCTTTAGTCCCGACATGAATGCTATCGCAGATATGATAAATGGAATCGTGGACAGTATTCGCAGCATGTTGGATCAATTTCCGCGACTGGGATACAAACTAAAGCTCCCTAAAAAGCAGCAGCGTCAGGGATTCGCCTGTGTTTTCAGAGAGGATCAGGAATGCTCGGAGTTGATGAGAAGCATTCAAGCGGAGATCGGTATTCAGCGCGAGGCGATAGCCAAGTACGAATCAGTATGGAATCAACATCGTGTTCTGTGGGAGACCACGGAGGAGGAATTCCGGCAGCGCATCCAGTCCAGTTCACGGACAGCTGGGGTCTTTGAAGGTGGAATCGAGCACTACAGTGCTCTGGCGGATGATGTCATCTTCGAGGATGCCATTACAAACGTCTACTTTATTCTGGTCAACCAGAATGCTCTGAAGACCACCATCCTAGATTGGATAGAAAAGTGGCAGGCTCTGAATATCAAAATGCTGCTGGATCATGCAAGCAACTTGATGAGGGGTAAGTTTGGCTTACTACTCTTGGTGTTCCAATAGAGTCAGTAAAGAAATTTATATTTATATCTTTTCTAGCCACCTACCGATACATGCGACGTAATGAGAGGAATGTGTTGAAGGTTCCTCGTACCATTCGTGAAACCGTGGCTGCCAAACAGCTTCTTGAACAACTCCTCAAAGAGGTTCCACTGAAGCAATCAGCCTTTAGTCCCATGCTGGAACTCTTTGTGCTCCTACACAAATATCAGGTGCAGCTAACCGAGAAAACACATCAGCAAGTGATGGGATTGGAGTCTGCTTGGCTGCACTACCTCCAAGTCCTGGGAGAGGCGGATGAAATGTTGGATAATGAAGATAGTGAAACCAAATTGGAGTTGGCCAAACACGGCGAAAAGTTCAAGTTAATACTAAAAGAGTTTCTCGAAGATTTCTACTCGAAGTTACCAAAGAAATGAAAAAGTCTCTGTACTTAACTTTCTTTACTTTTCTACTTCAATATTTCCTTAACTCTTAAAGTATAAAATTCAATTCCCGCACCTTTTTAATTTAAGTATTTGTTTAGTTAACTAAAACCTACTCATCCCATATTATTTGAAACATGCAAATTAGATGTAATCAATTCCTTCGCACGGCTGCGCTGTTTTTTCTCATTTTCAATTAGAATGCAAAAGCTGTTTAAGTAAAAACCGCAAATAAGCTGAAATCCCAGTGCAATTAAGTTTGTTGTCCATGGAGCACTGATGTGCGGTTTAGGGCAATTAATCGCTGTGTTCAACACCTTTGTGGGTGACCATAAGGGTGTTAACTGATACTGAAATTGAATATAGAAAATAGATATATGTCGCAGCGTGGCAGCAAAGGCAGAGACGCTCTGCTGCTGAGTGAGGTCCGATCGTAGATATCAAGAGTGTTGAGTAAGCCAGAGAGGACTATGTTCTGAGGACTCGAGTAACTATGCGACTTGAGAGCGCATACGATCCAAGAGGGTGAATGAAATAGTCCGTTGAGCTTGAATGATTAGAGAAACTCTCTCAGAGAAAATCACCACGGTCTCCGATAGATATATTAATAAAATTTGAAAAATCGTAACTCGACGGATTACCAGAGTTGGTATAATAAACTTGCTGAGCTTGCGTACTGATAGTATTATTTATATTAATTATGCTCTTTACATTTATTTGTTTTTAAATTCATTTATGTTTCTCGAATTGTCAGTCTCATGACGTCACCGTATCTGAGTCGGCTCCGTTGGGTAACCAAATTGCCTGTTATCATTGTGATTGATTAATGGTGCGTTCGTGGGTCTCAGCTAATTAGCTGTTAATGTGAATTTGAGTCGCGCGCCTCAGTCATGAAATGTTCGCCGGTCAGTTTGTCACATTTGTGGCTCGCTTGCACGGCTTTTTTCCTGCTGCCCGATAAGCCGACCTCAGTGGAATCCCATCATATTTTGGGTCTTTTTGTCAATGTGCATCGGTCCCAGTTAATGGTCCATTTGGCAGTATGTCGAGCTCTGTTGCAGAGGGGTCACCACTTAACTTTGGTCACCACATTGCCGCTGGAGGAGCACGAGATTGGGGGGAATGTGACACACATATTAATTCCCTGGCAGCAGCCAGAAGAAGAGGACCATAGGGGCTCTTCGGACATGATTTTGCGCCTGGAACGGATGTTTAGCCGACTGGGACACTCTGGAGATTTGCTAGATCAGCCGAACTGGAAGAGGTTCCTGAACACTGTACCCAATAACCCTTATGATCTCCTACTTTTGGGGTATCATTTCAACGATCATCTGCTGGGAGTGGCTGCACATTTTAACTGTCCTGTGGCCATCGTTTCCACCCAACAGCCAACTGGATTTGTTAACAGTCTCATGGGCAATCCCGAGGAGCGATGGTATGTCCCACAACCGTATGACAGTCACCAGAGGAGTGGAATCTCAGCCTGGATATTTGGAATTTGGGAGAAGCTTATGGAAGTGATAGCGAGGAGAGTGCTGGCAAGAATCTACAGGTAGATGAGTTTTGATAATATTAATAGGAAAATCATTTAATATTCACCTTCTAGTACGCACTTTCCCGAGCCTCGTTACCCCAGCTTTGAAACCATGCGCCGATCAGTGATCCTGGCTTTGAATAATCATCACATGATCAGCGAGGGACCTATTGCTCCTCTGATGCCCAACATGGTGGATATAGGAGGGATAGTCTTGGAGCAAAAATCAAGTGACGTCCGTCTGGAAACATCTGCTAGTAACCGATCTCACATCATCTTTAGTCTAGGAACTCGTTTCACTTGGCGGAAATCTTCTCAGGAATTATTGCAAACTTTTACAAGAGCTTTTGCTAAATTTCCGGACTACGACATTTACTGGACTTACGATGGACCAAATCGCAGTGCCATCAGCAAAGATTATCCCCATTTGAAAGTCGCCAAGTGGTGGCCGCAATGTCAGTTGTTGGCGAGTGGGAAAGCACGACTGCTAATCACTCACGGAGGAAAAGGAAGTATCTCAGAAGCTCTTTATTACGGAGTGCCCTTGCTGGGATTACCTTTGATTGGCGATCAACGCGCAAATCTTCAGAAGATGAAGTCTAAAAGCTGGGGCTTGACCTTATCTACTCTCAACCTCACCCACATAGAACTAACACATGCAATTCATAGAATACTTAGCCATCCAAGTTATGCTGAAGCTATATCCAAAGCCTCGTTAATCTATCGAGACCGTCCGATGAAGTCCAGCGATTTGGCCAGCTACTGGATTGAGTACATCATTCGTCATAAAGGAGCTAGAAATCTGTACAATCCCGCTAGGCACCTGAATGTTATCGAAACTTACTCCATCGATATTTATTGCATCACATATGGCTTACTGATCTTAGTGATAATCATGCTCAGAAAAATAAATCGATTGTTGTGACTAGAAGTATCGTTTAATTGTATACAAATATATTACATAAGTAGCTTAGGAGGTGAACTTAATCGACGATAATTTAAGTACACTCGAATGTTGATTGACAATACTTCTGATCGAAACTTGGGACTCTATGTATGATGTATTTTAGTTTCTTTCTTTTTCACTGGCATCTTACTTTCAGCATTAATTACTATCTGCTGCAACATTATTGCTTGAAATGGTTTTTGTTTTGTATTTCGATTTTGTCTTCAGCTCTAGGAAGAGCTCTTTAAATATTATAGCTCATAATACTAACGACTAAGCATATGGACTAACGACTAAGTTCCCCTGAAGTGGATCATCGGGAAAGTCTATCTGTCAATCAAAAAAATCACTACTGGATTTAATTTGTTCAGTGGCGCATGCTTATCATTAAATAGTTGTAGTGTAAAAATAGTTTTTAGTTTTTAGTTTAGTTCGGGATTTGATATTTTAGATGGGGTTTTGGTTTAGCTCTTCACATGCTGTCGCCTCGACTGGAGACTCCGTTGCAGATTCCGTTTTTTGGCTTTCTCAGGACGCGGACAACGGCCGTTCTTCATGTCGTAAGGGCCGTAACTGCAGAACGGCGGACTGTTTTCGCCCTTTTGAATGCGGCTGTAAAATATTGAAAAATGTTTTAAGTTAGAAAATTGTTTATTTTCATTTAGATAGATTAGTTTAATAGTATTAAATTTGAATTTGTCGCTTACAGTCGCTCTATCACCGAAAATCCCTCCTCGCCGTTCTTCAGCCGCTGGCAAGTGGTGTCGCTGAGGTGACAGTCGCATCGACAGCGCTCCTCCGAAAAGTGCGGCACCTCTTGCGTGTCTGGTAGTGATCTCAGCTGGCTGAAGTCATTGAAGTGCTTGGGACATTGGCAGAATGTGCTCCGTTTGCGTCGGTTTTCTTCCTTCACACATCCGCATTCCGTGTGATTCTCCATCAAGATGATTATGGGCTCGGAATAACTGTAGCCAATCATGGAGAACACCAGCTCCACCGTTTCATTTCTCTTCGCCCGACAGGCGAATTCTGGCTCGCAGCATCCGACCCGATCGTTGCATCGGTGGAGAATGGTGGCACGCGGGGAGTAGTACGCATCCGTTTTCCGGGGGATGTGGACCACCTCTGGCTTTGGCACTTTACAGCTACCCTCATCTGCCATAAATTTCAGATGGAGTTGGACCTTTTTCTTAAGCTCCTTATTGTAAGTACCTGCGGAGGAAGTGATTGGGTAACTAAAGATTATAATGATTATAAATATGAATTCTTTAACTTCCACTTAAGAAAGTTGAATGAAAAACTATTAAAGAAGATGAAAATCCATTCATGCAAGCCTTTGGCCAAGTAATTAAGAACTCTTTGTAATATTAGTGAATAAAAGTTCAAACTAAAAGCAATAAAAGGCACCCTGATGCTTTGCAAATCTCCTTGATTGCTGAATTTTTAATTGCAACCTATTAATGTTAACACATTTTTCGCTTATGTGTGTCATTGGAATAACCAGTCAGCAGGCTCGTTACTTAATAGCCCACTAAAGTGCTGTTCATTGGCCTTTTCGATCGGTCGGTTCAGCAAACCGCCCGAAAATTTCCCCTTGCGTTTTCAATGCCTCTCTCGCGCGTTTCGTGTGCGTTTCAGTAGCGTTTTCGATCGCCCACTGGCTTTTCAGCATGCCATCGGCTTAAGATCATTTGTGCGATCCGAGTTTTTTTTTATTGATCGGCTGCTGGAGATTGCCCCTTTAAGGCCTTTTTGGCTGGCTTAAGTTTACCGTTGCAGGCGAGATTTATTTATGGTCTTTTGTCGCGACTATAAAACGCTCAGAAGCGATCTGTGCATGCGGAATGAATTCCTTCTCGTCCGTCTGACGGCCAGCCATAAAGTAGCAGGAAGCCGCGCGAAATGGCGAGGAGGAGGGGGAAAGTATGTTCGAAGACCACCCAATGTGCAGCTTACCGAGCTAATCCCAGGTCCTAGTCCCGGTCTCCACTCATTCACCTACTGGGAGAACAACTTTCCGGACGAATCTCCAAGGGAGAATCAACTTCTGGCTCCATATGTAATTTTCATAAATGCCCCATGATTGAATCATCAACATAACGAGCGCACTGGGAGAGGGCGGTGTGTGCTTTTACACTGTCGGAAAAGTCTTTTCTAACGAATATTTATACCATAATGAATGTTAAAGCTGGCAAGCAGAAGTACAAAATAACAAAACCTAAGAGCTAGATAAACTTATATTCTTTCCCTTCTAAGCTTAATAATAGTTTTAAGGTAATAAGAACCTTTAAACTAATCAAATTGTAATCTGAATTTCTGCTCACTGTATCTGAGGTGGCTGCAGGTTGTAGTGACAAAGGGTGGGGGAGGTGTTGGACTGCCTCAGAAGTTGCGGAGCTGCTTCAGCCACAGCAGCCACATGAATAATTCAAGGGTTCTAGCTCAACAAGCCAGGAGTACCGAGAGCACAGGGCCCTCCCAAAGGGGGTGGTGAACAGGGGGTGGCGAGGACTAGGGGCAGTTGCAATGTTCTTGATGCCTCTGCTGCCTTTGAACTTGACGACGTTGGCCATGAAAATGTGGGCCAATCTCGAGGAATTCATGGCTGATGAGGTGAGTGAGGGTTCCTCTGAAATAGCCAGAGTTTGCCATGGCCAGTAGTTGAGCTTGGCCAATGAATTCATTTCGAGTATAACAAAATGTTACACGTCATTTAAATCGAGAAAAGTTTGTCTACAGCGCAAGATAAATTCCCCTTAACTCTGCATATATACGGATAACGTAATCATGACTAATAAACTTGTAATGGCTGTCAAAATAGTAACTGATTAGCATTCCAAATACTGGAAATTAAAGATCACAATTGCATTTATCTTTACAGTAAGTAATTAAAGAGACTTCCTTTTCTAATATGCCACCTAAAAAGCAAACACCGATCAGTAAGAACTAGTTTAACGATAAATGATTAGATGCCTAACTAAAACAAAGAATCAACAAAAACAACAGCTGCTGACATATCCAATGTGATAAGAAAATTGCATGATTAGGCATTCACAGACCCAGCCGCATCCACAGGCATTTCCATTGACAATTTCCCAGGCTGAGTGACACACTTTCGTTGGCTTTTGCGCCGACGCTGTCGACACACTCTTAACGGTTTTCCCAAAAACAATTTTCGCGCCCATTAAGCGACAACAATTTTCCGCACAAATGCAAAAGACAGAAAACAGAGAAGAGAAGACAGAAATGGAAAAAGGGGGTGGAGATAAAAAAAAACATATTGAGACAGACCGAGCTCACATTTCATTGTCAGGGGTCTGGGTTAGCTGGTGGTTGTCTCGTAATTGTCGGATACACTCGGAAAAAAGATTAATAATCACCCTCAAAGATGTTGCAACCTCATACAAGTTTTCAATAAACGTCTTCTTTGTTAATAAAGAAAGATTTTATTTTTTTTGTAATTTTTGAATAATGCCTACAGGAGGTTCAGTTTCGATTAATAAACTTAGCACTTGATCAGTTCTCTCAGTGCTTGTGCAGTGGAATTTGCAAAGCCTGGTGGCACTAAGCTTGTAATGAAATAATTGGCTAGATCTAAGCAAGTCTCAAATTCCTACCTTAAAACAGAAAACAAAACATAAAATAACTAACAACATGAATTAAGGAAGGGGGTTTTGGATTTGTTTAACAAGGAAACTCTCCTGTTAATTGCAATGAAAGTGCCGAGCCATCATCTCAGAAACCAAAAAAAAAACGTACAACAAGACAGAAGCTTAGTGGAAAAGTGCTTTTTTGCGTAATTTTCCAAATTCCTTAAGGCGAAGTTTTTACTCACTTTTCTTCGGTTGGAAAGTAAAGTGCGTGTGCTAAGCTTGTGCCTCTGGCTTTTCACCCGTCCTGTTGTTGACATTTCTGCTCTGGTTTTCCATCATTCACCAGCAGAGTCACGTGCCAAAGGATAAAACAGTCATTTTCATTTTCATAGTCATAAATAACAGGAAAAACAACTGGGATTGCCTGGAACTCTAGCTACAGTTGCGGAATTGCCAATGTTGCTTTGACATTTTTTAGCTTTTGAAAAAGTAGAAACACCTTATGTGGATTCTTAGTATTTCCTAAGAATCTGCTCTAAGTTTTAGATGTTAAATCTATCCGCTTTGCTATTGCATTTCAGTGAAGTGTGAATATCGACTAAGCTTGTTAGAAACCAATGACTTTAGAATCTTTCTTTCTGTACCCCCCTGCTTTCCACCTAACTCACTGGGCAGATATCTCCTGCAAAGTTATGAACCTGAGACCAAGAGCGGTCCCCCATAAAATGATTTGCTTCTATTAATGCGACCTCAACTGTTTGCCTAGCCCTCCTCCCTTTCCCACATCAAAGGCCATTTGGTGGCGTTTTGTTTGGCTTGTTTCGCCCTTTCGCCTAGAGTTCGCTTAGCACATTTGCTTAGCACATTTTTTATGGCCAGAACGTGATGATCATGGGCGGGCGCCTCGGACATCTATTTGCAGAGAAGTTACCGAAGAAGGGGAGACGCCTTTTAATGGCCTCAATGAACCCCGCCGACCGAAGGGGATTCATCTCTAAACAAGAGGGTTAAAGAGGTGGCGGCGTACTTACTATTGTATTTCCTTTCCTTGACAATGATGGCATTGATGGAATTTGGGTTTGCCCGTCGCTCCCTCCAGGCTGTCGACAAGACGACCGGTTGATCCGATAAATATGCCTCGCTCTGTGATTAAAGGAAAAACAAAAGGGAAAATAGGAATCATTAGAATGGCATTGAAAACAGATCAGAGGCAGTATTAAAATGTTGCAACATATGCTAGCGAAAGCCTAATTTATAGTCATAGTCATAGTCGTTTTATCAGTTATTTATTTGTTGGCTGTGCGGCGACCACGTAAGTTCATTTTCCATTTCCCATTCACAGAACGAATTTTTTGCGGCTTTCATTATTATTGCACATTGTGCCGGAGCTTCGCTGCCTTTGCACATATTTTTTTATCCATAAAGTATTTACAATTTTGTCCCATTTTTTATAGGAGCGAAAACACGAGTGGAAATAATAACGACCAGCTAATAAATTGGATTGCGCAATGTGGCAGGCAGCGCAGCAGAGTTATGTTTACTCAATCAAGATTTATGTTAAGGCAAAAAACGTATTTAATCAATAAAATATTATTCGAAACCATAGATTGTGTGATCCAAACTTTGACTTAAGCTCAAGGTCCAAAAATAATACAGATAAGGAAAACTGAGAACCTTTCAAGAAAACATTTTATCTAATGCCTTTGTCTTCTTTACGCATTTATATATTCTATTTGTTCTTTGTTTAATCGCTTTTGTGATTTAAATATATGATGAAATACTTAAATTTCGTAATTTTAAATTTGTGGTGAAATAATAAAATGTTTTTGTTCTGATTTATTGTTGTTTTCCCGCTGTCTTTCCACAAAGGCCGAATGTGCATTAAACAAGTTGCGCCCACGCAGCGATTTTGATTTATTTAACTGATTTTTAAACTCTCCTCGCTGAAGGGGTGGGGCATGAGGGGAATAACAAGTGCAGGTGCAAAGGGAAAACTGCGTGCCACACCTGAGAGCACCTGAAAAGCTATCACTTACAGCTCAAAGAGCAACAGCAACGGATGTGAGGGAAAACTTTTACAATTTGCATTGCCACACACTCGCATATCGATTTTCAACAAAGGGATGCACTCGCTTTTCCCACGTTTTCCCAGCCCCCCCAAAAAGGCGCCGCCCGAATGTCATGAAAACTAACGACATGCATATAAGTGATACATAATGTGGCAAGCAGGAGCGGGAGGCGGTGCAGTGGGATGTGGCGGAAAAGCAGAAAAGCGGGAGTGGCTGCCTTTTGGGTGTAATAAATGAAGTGTGCATGTAAGAAAAATGACACCGGCAGGAGCAGAAAGGATAAAGCAGCCAGGATACAACTCCATTCGAATTCCCAGCAGAGCCACCAAAGCGTTAAGTGAAATGGCCAGCGAAACGGGTAGCCAAAGTGGGTGGCTTGGGCGTCGGATCGTTGTCGGTGGATTGGTATTGAAGGTTATGCCAAGTCATGTCCCCTGCTTGCAAAACAAGCTAATGGCTCGGATGCAGGGACTACGTTTTTCGGGTGTTTAATGAACGCCCCTGCATGACTGCAAGGATCTTTTGTCTTGGCGGATTTGCAGGTTCCATTAATCTTTGTTTTTAGGGCAAAGGCAAGAGAATGTTAGATATTATAAGGAATTAGAAGATTTAATAAGGTATTAAGAGGTTTTAGGTATTTAACTTTAAGGGTTTAGGTCAACGAGTGAAGCTTCTTTATGGCTTATCTCTGGATAAGCTCTAAGTTCATTGAAGAAATCTTATTAATTTCTATCTACTTTGCTTTCCATTGTAATCTCTACCGAACTTATTTATTATAATTTTAAGATAATTGCCTTTTCTTAGTTCTGTGCCATTCCTCATCATTTCATGGTCTTCTGTGCTATATCTAGCGCCTCGCAACCAACGATCGTCTTGCTTAGATGAGTCAAAGAGCTATTCGGATCTGGAACATCTCCTTCCTATCTTCCCCCTGCACTACTAATACCTTTTATATTTTTCCTTTAGACATTGGGGGCATCACCTCGGCTCTCTTTTCTTATAACCAGTTCTACTTAAGCTTCATTACGCATGCTCAGCCATGACACGGCCATTTCATCCAGGCTGGCAGTTGGCGACTCCCCCGACCCATTCTACAAGGCACCCCCCGCTACAGTCCCCTTGAATTACCATCAATCTGGAGTGCCAATCCCAGGAGCAGGAACCGGAGCTACAGCTGCACAGAGGGAAAAGTTGTAGGTTTGCAAAGGAAATGTTTTAAGATTTTTTAGAGAGCATTACTAGGACTTTTTTCTACTTTTAGAAAAATCAAAACTACTTTAAAAAAGTTAACTTAAATGAATCATTATCTGCTGATAAGAACTATATAGAAACATATATAAGATAAAATCCTTAAAAAGACTCTTTAAACTGCCTTCAGTATAGTTTTCTGAGCATGGAAGTTCGTTCTTCTCTCACTGTAGAAACGAAGTTGTGGCAGGGACACATGAATGAACAGCACAAAAAAGGCTATTAAGTGTCTGCCGGGTTGACAGTATTCGAAAACAGTTGGTTTTTTTTTTGTTATGCCCCTTCCCTGCCCCTCCTACCACACCCCCTCTTCCCGACAAACTTCATTTGCATTTGGCTGTTGTTCTGTTTTGAGCGTTTGAAGGATGCCTTGGTCGGAGGAGCAGTTTCTTTATTATTTTTCACTCTTGTTTCTTTTTTTCCACACCTTTTTTTGTTTAGCCTCAATTGGGATTCCTGGCGTGGGTGCGACTTGTGTTTGGTATTTTACGAGCCAGAAGGTAACAACAACAGCAGCAGCGACAACAATAATAAAGAGCCTGTCGTGGGTTTATTTGCAATCAAAAGAGTTATGAGCCAAATGCAAATAGCGCACCCAGTACCCTGTTTTATGATCCTCCCTACCTTTACACTTTAAAATAAATATATATATTTTTCCCATTTTTCACTTTAGTTTTGTATTTTCTGAAAGAAAGTTTAAGGACTTGAAAACTATTTATCCAAGTGTAATCTTTAGACGTTCCATAACTAAACCTCTGACAGTGAGAATCAGGACTTCAAGGTTTTCCATTTGGATTGTCCCTGGTCAAGATTAACCACCTCCCCACCACCTCCTACCCATCCCCTTTTCACATTGTAAAACGCGTGAATGAGCAAAAGGTGCAAAGAGAAACAGGAGAAACATCATCAACGGTGGCAGCGGCGGCACCAAAAGTCTGGCCAACAAATTCGCCGACAACTGTGCAAATAAACAAGGGGGCGGTGGGTGTGAGGGTGTGTATAATGGACCTAAAAGGGGGGCAGGGCAGAGTGGTTGGGCCAGAGTTCCATATAGTACAATCCAATATTTGTTTACGCCAAAGAGACTACAACAAACAGGGCCAACTAAATGTGCATTGCCTTCCGCTTCCCCTCCTTTAATTTTCCCCCTGGTTTTCCCTTTTGCTGCTCACAACCATAAACGGGAAAGTAGATTCACAATGCATCGCTTTAGCTAAATTAGAATTTCCAACCAGAGGGTATGACGAAATGCGCGTTAAGCCTGGCTAAGTAAATGTTTTATATCTGAATGTGATCGGAGTTTAGTACAGCCAAAAAGTATCACTCATTTTGTATCTTCAATAGAAAACTTGCTTAGATAAATGTTGCGTTTTATAGATTGAATTAAGTATCTTTTTCAGCTTCCTTATGGTTAGCTTCCCATTGATCACTTTCTAGAGAAGTTCTAAGGAAAAAGGATGAGTTAAGATAGAAAAGTTCAAAGACAAAGCTACTTAACTTCTAGTGTTCTTATCCATTTTGTTTCTTTAGTAAAGAAATGTTAATATATATAAGAAATAGCTTTCTTTTAATACAGTTTTATACTTAAAAACTATACATCAAAGTTCACTGGCTCTACTATCTTATCCCGATTACACTGCCCTTCTTTCATTGAAAAGAATAAGCACTCCTCATTGATTTGGCAGCTTAAAGAACGAAAAAGAAAAAGCCAAAAGAAATTCCAGGAGATGAAGAGGAATGCTCCATTTCTTTTCCATAGAAATCCAGAATTCCCTTCTCTAGGGCATTCCGACTTTGTACAGAGGCAGCTTTTGAGGCCTTTCAGTTTGTGTTTTCTTAATTTGTGTTGAATGCCATGCCGCGAAATGCAAATGTAGCAATTGCAATTTGGCTAAAAGCTAAGCAGGCAAAATGGGAAAATTTATGAAAAAGCACAGCGAGCACAGCGTTTGGAAAAATGTCCGCCCTATTTTTTGTTCGTCTTTTGCGTTTTGTAGAACTAAAAACATGGCCCAGACACGCAGACACACTTTCGGGGAAGGCTGTGGCTGGACCATATGGCGTATGCTTAATATGTCATGGGTTTCCCCTCCCAGTGGGCTCTCTACACTTTTTTTTTTTTTGACATAAAAGTACCAATTAGGCGGCCACTCACCGCCCACCCTCTACCCAATTTGACCATTAACTTGAGTAATTAAAATCGGCCGCACTTTGCATACATACTCAGTGTCTTTTTTTTACAGTTTTTCTGCTTTTTTACTTTTTGTCCTTTTGCATCTTAATTGAAACTACTCGCATTAAAAGCCCATACAATTTTATACTTTTGTCGCTGGCAAGTATTTATGAGAAAGAAAAACAGGAAAAAACGAAAACTGCAAACTGCAAAGGACTGGCTGTATGAAATGCTTTTTAATTTTTAACGAGCGAACGTAGCCGCGAAATCTGCCACGGCTGCTCAGTCCGTTTATTATGACGATTTTATATTTGTTTGCTTTCGGCCAACTACGAAAACGAAAGCGGCCAAAAGGAAAGCAACGCGGCAGAAATCGCAGAGCAAAGACGCCGCCTTTAGGACCATAAATGGCCATAATATCCAGCCAATGTCAATGACAGTGGAGAGGTGATGTTTTCGGTCAGAGAACAGGCCAACAGAGTTCAGGGATGCAAACTTTAAACTTTATTTATATTTATTAAGAGTTGATTTTGCTTTTAATTTACTTTAGTAAGAGTTAATGTCAAAGTTAAGTCATGTATTAATATATTAAAGTTAAAATAGGGTCAAATTTAATCATCAAGAAAGCTTAACTGCATCCCTGCCAGAAGTTGACTCATCGAGTCACGGAGGCGCCTCCCAATTAAAGCGCCCATTCACAACCAAACCCGCTGCAACATGTTGCAAGTTGCTGTTGGCGCAGCTCGGCAAATGCCGGAAATGTGAGCTGATGCATCATCATCATCGACGTCGGAGGGATCGATCGAGAAACTGATTGCCAGTCGAGACGTCGAATCGAAGAACATGTCTGGGGCAGTGGAAGGAGATGGGATCTGGAGATTGAGATGGCAGCCAGATCTGTTGTTGAGAGGGGCTGGGAGTGTTTGGGGTTGTCTGACTCTTCTAATTGCAACGCCCACACGCACCGATAGATTGCCCAAGAGATTGAAACGTGGCTGCGCCATCCAATCCACCGATCCGCCGATCTCCCGACTTGTCTGGCCCGCTCTAGATTGACTTTTCAATCTGCAATTTGTTTGAATTTATCAAAGGCGATACACTGACGGGCCGAGTGGAAATATTGACTTTGGTGTGTGATTCATGTGTGAAAATAAACGATGGGGCGTACGGAAATCGGGGAAGTTAAGATCTGGGATATATACTTAACATTCTGGGAGTATATAATATCAGGGGAGTGAGTTTCCAAATACAGAATATCTTAGCTTGCATAACAAAAAATGATTTATAAAGCATAAAATCAGATAAATGAAATATTTTTAAACGTCTTTCATCTCTGCCGACGATCACTGGATCTCCGCAAAACTTTCCCGGAAACCAAGCATAGATCACAAAGGGAGAAATGGCCATTAAATTTAGAACAAAGGAATTTACATGATTTATGTTAGCGAGGAGTGTATTAAAGGCTCGTCTTGGCCATGATTTATATTTGCTGGTGGGCCTTAATTGCGTGACTCTTGGCGCATGCCCCGTTTAATGGCCAACAAGTCGCCGGCGATCAATCAGCCAGCTCGCACAGTCGGGGCCAGTTAATTATGGCCAGCAGCCGAAAAGCGTGAACTCTTTTTGGTGTCTGGCGACAAGTTTCCCTGCGCTCTGGCGACGAGTTTTCCACGTTCATTAGCCGGCCAATGTGTCGCCGACTAGAAATTAATAATATAAAACTTTATAGATTTGCCATATAAATATATATATACAGAGAGCTTCCGCTTTGAATACTTGACGTCTCGGCGGGGCTAATAAATCATGACCAGATCACTGGTATTTGAGTACTATGTAGACCGCCCGAAAGCTGTTTGCTATTATGTCATAAGCCGATTTGCCTGTCATTAGCTCTTTTTTTTTTTTTTGGGGGAAAAAGCGGCACATTAAGATTGCCAATAAATCAGAAATCTTGCCGACATTTACATTATCCCCAAATATACATAGATAGATAGTGCTGCGTGGCAACTGATTTCATCGCTCAACTCGGTGTGGCAATACACGGAGTCCACAAAAGTAGTAGTAAAAGGGAGGGAGAATTTTATAGGGCGCGTAGAAGTTTGTGTTTATTTCGTGATTTGCGTCGAAACGAAAGTGAAAAGACTGCACTCGCAAAGTGCTGTTTAATACTAAAGGGAAATATTGGCATTGTTTATAAACAAAAGATTAAGTATTGACAGCATCCAAATATAGAATCCCCATTAAATCTTTAATCTGTATTCCCTGGCTCTTGTCTTGTTTTGGTTAAAGGTCTTCAATGAAGACATAAATCATTTCGCAATTATCAATTTGTCGGACACAAGCTAATTAGTTGATTAATTATAAGTAAGTTAATGCCATAATATAAGGATGTTACTCTAAAATCCCAAGGCTTATCTCATCGGGTTCAAGTGCAAATACAAGTAGTGTCTTTTTTTTCTAACACTCTTTCTTTCTGTCACTATATGTTTGCCGTAGATAACCTTATTTCATTCCCATTCCCCTGATGATAAAGGCATTTTCTAGTCATTCAACTATTGCGATTTTACACTTACGACTCGCGATGCTAGCTACCCAGATCAAGTTATATTATTTATAGTTATATTTTCTAGTGATACTCGTACATATGCAGATTGGCGTTTTACTGACCTTGTGGCAGAGCAACTAAGTTCTTGATGATTAATCGATTAAATCAATTCGTTTTCACAATCTTGCTGCTGCCTGCAATGCACGCTTTTATACTGACCTATTTGCGTATGGTTCTCTATATAAAACCCAGAGATAAAGCACATCTGATTTTAATGGTAAATAAATAAATATAAAATAGTTGCTAAAGAACATGTTTTAAGGGGACTGTCAGGGACACCTTCACAAAGCAGACAATTCAAATTGTTAAGCTCATTCCCGTGATATGAGACCCATTCCCAGGTATTAATCTCAGTGCAGTTATGCGGACGGAATGCGATGGCAAATAAACAGGCAAAGGTAAGCACTCCGGGACAAATGGGATGTGGAATGTGGGATGTGAGGAGTTCAGAGGCAAGTGCAGCGATTTCCCAAGGCAAAAAGGTGGGTGGAAAAGGGGGAGAGAGAACAGAGTACTAAGTTCCAACGAGCAGATATTAAATTCTTCTTTTGCTAGGTCAAAGGGAAGGGTCAATGGGAGGTGGTTGAGGTAAAATCATAACCACAGACCATAAGCTTTTTAATGCCGCCTGAGTGCACCAGCCCAACCCATCTACCCATCTCCCAGTCTGCCTCTAACTTTTGATGCAAGCTTGTTACAGCACCTATGCCATTGGCTCATTTATAGTTTCAGAAACAGTGTCCAGCGATAAGATGGAGAATCTGGCTCTCAGGCGGGTGAAAATCGCTTTTGAGTTGATAAGCGAATGACGCTTGGCGTTAGCTTCTGGGAATTCCAAACCAATATTTGTGCAAAAATTTTATTACTGTTCATTACTCGATACTAAGCAAATTTAACAGAAAGTAAAAATAACAGATGTAAAGCGACTTATAGATGCCTATTATTCTGTTAATCAATTCCATTAGCGCCATCTGACGGTGAGGGGACTGTCCATGGGAGGCCTTTTAAGATAAACTTGTTGAAAAATTGTGAAGTAATCTTCCTCTAGGCGGCTTATTTCTCCTGATCAAGAATAAATGTACGTTACATTCTGTCCAAAGAGTTAATCATACCCTTTTACTCTACGACTAAGAGGTATACTACAGAAGTGTGGAAATGCCCATTGGCGAATACGTTCTTAATCAGTTCCAAAATCAAAATAAGTGTTTTCTGAAACGTTGTTATTATTAATTCATTCCTTGTTATCACTTTTAAATCTCTGGTTAAAGTTTAATTGACTGATCATGTCGAAAGATTTCTCTATCTCTCTTTGATCGTAAATAAAATATTTGGAGTAACCGAGACATTGATCAGTTCTTATAAGAGATGTTCCATCTCAATCATGAGTAATCAAAGTAAATCATTGAAATGGTCCCTCAGTAAACCCCATATATAAGGGCTAGATTGATTTCCCTTGAAGGGCAGCAACAGTTACAAGTTGTCAAGTCAATTAGGCCAATTAACGAGGGACCACCATAACGGAAAGTGATGTCTTAAAGATCCCTTTAACAACCCGTTTGCCTTTTTACCCTTTTCTTTTATCATCATCAGCCAGCTGTCGGCCATGGAACCAGCAATGAGAAATAAACAACAGGTTCTTCTGGAGATCCCCCCTTCCAGTTCATGTCGATCATCGCAATTACAGGCCGGAAAGTGAAACCGAAACCGAAGCTGAACAAAAACCGATCATTGGGCAGGGATCTCTCTTCTGGATCTGGGCATTATGCTGGCTCCCGTTTGGACACCGCCAAATTGGCTTGTTAACCAAATTGGTGGCTCCTACCTACCGCAACACGTTTCATAATTGCCGCCGTTGTGCAACTCCTTCTTACCGATTGCGATCCCCTTCCACATATCTAAATATGCTATATGGGTGGGCTGCCCGATCTGCGATCTCTGAATCGGAATGGGCGAGTGAGTGGCTCACAGATCGGCGCGATTGCCAGTCCCAGGGTTAGTCACCCGTCTCCGATTCACTCTCCGTCGCCCCGGGTTCAAGGTGAGCCATCTCGTTTCGATCCGATTCTGATTACCATTTCGATTCTAATGCGCAACAAGTAGCTGCAGCTACTGAAGATACTTTGGAAGTTCAGTAGGACTGGGGAGAAGAGGTCAGGGAAAGCGGTGATTTCAAAGAATATATATAAATTGCCCATAAAGTATAAATATATTTTATGATCCAAGTAACTAAGAACTGAACGGTTTTATGATTGGATAATACCAAGAAGCTCTTTGAAATATAAGAACTTTGTCAAGTAACAATCAAACTGAGTAATTAAACATCAGTTTTGGGTTTTTATATACAAGATTATATCTATAAAATGTGAAATTAGTTCTAAAATGGGATGTACGCTATGTAGTATTACGGAATTTATTGATAACTACAGTAAATATATATTCTATTCGCAGAGTAAATCAAGTTCATATCAGAGGAATATTGTCATCTCCCTACTATCACTTTTAAGTGTCATATAATAAGAAATGCAAATATTTATCGACGTGAAGCAGAAACAGAATGAAGCGAGTCAAGAGGACTAGATTTTTATGGGTTCCGCGAAGTGTTTGCCTTCGTGTGGGTCCCCAGATTAAAGACGAGCTACTCACCCCATCGTTGTCGGCTTCGGAGTGCAGGTAATTATCGTCACCCTGCCCCCAGGGGTCGTCATTGAGACTGCGGCCCTGCGGCTGCACCGGCTGGGCGGCCTGCTCACGTGCCACGCGCTTGTGGTTGTAGTCCCACTGCAGTCTCTGATCCTCGGCGTACTCCCCATAGTCATGGGCCTGCTCGTCCTCGTATTGGAATTCGCTTTGAATGAAGGAGTAACGACCGAGGGGGGGACTCGTGGGCGGATGAGAGGTGGTCTTGGGCAAGGTCGAATTGGCCACGTCAAAATAATTATAATTTACGACAATCGGAGAACTGGAGTACGCGTGAATTGCCTCCGAAAGGCAGATAGCGATGATCGTCAGTGCGAGTAAATACATTTTGAAATTCTATATTCTTTTTTAGTAAGTTTTTAATGTTTTAGTTTTGTTTTGTTATCAACAATTGCACTGATCGACACTGTTTTATGTACTATTAAGCAAATTTGCAAATATTATTTTTAAGGCTTTTCTGAAAATGTAGAAAAGAAAACTGCGTTAGCTTTTTTGTAGATAATTAAAGGTTAAATATTTATTTATTATTATTAGAACTTTTTTTTTTATTTAAGTTGTTTATGTCTTTATTCACTTTCTTCAACTTTTCAATAAGAAAAGTCGAAAATTTAAATTTTATTTCATAAATTTCAAAAGTTTCTGAATTTTAAAGTACTATAATTTCTTCATAAATATTTTTATTTTTAATAGTTTATGGATTTGCACTTTTCATCAAAAATAATTATTTATTTCCTTTTGATAATTGCATTTTTTGTTAATTTCTTTTTTTTAACTTTTCCCTCATCACATATGTACTCTTTTAGTCTAACAAGTTGCTAAATATTTTTGGCAGCCAAATGGCTTTATTCTGGCACACGCCTTCGCATTTAACGCACAGCCATAAGGCAGGGAATTGCCAATTTCTCGGATGCAAATATAAAAAAAAACAGCTCTTTACTCAATCGTTTTTTATTTAAGCACAATAAACTTGTTTGCTGGCTGCCTGTCAAAAAATAATACATTTAGCCGGCAAGACATTTAACAAATTTAATAGGCTACTTAAAACGAAAACTGCACACAATTTGAGTAATTTTTAAACATAAATTTAAAAAATTTATTTTTACATTTTTATTAAAGCCGTTTATTGATTTTTAATATTTATTGACAGTAAATCTTTCTAATAATGTAATAATTTATTAAAGTTGCCTAAACTGTTGTGCAATCACTTTTAGTTTTAATGAAATTTATTACAACATTTATGAAATTGAATTAAATGCAAATTTCATTTAAATTAATTGCCTTCGCACTTGATAATTTTCTTATAACAAATATTTCGAAAGGCTGTAATACCTTTTTCACTCTGTTATTTTAAGGATATTTTCTTTTCACTTTTCACTGTTTTCATTTCATTAAGTTCCGTTAAACTTTTTAAGGATTTATTTGAGCTTCGAAGGACCGAACTTGGATCCGTATTAACGAGCACACGACGTGCTTGCTTTGACCGCCTCCGTTGCACTGAGACGAAGAGTTTCTGAGCGATCCGCAGCAGCCCGGTGGATTTTAAATAAAGCTCGCCGCTCCTCTTTTTTCACTCAGAGAATGCCGGCAGCGCAACTTTTGCGCTCAAACTGAGTTGAATGATCTCATGCTGTTTGAGTTCGAATAGCCTTGCATTGGGTTTTTTTTAAGAATCATTTCGAGCAGATTTTTTCGGTAATTAACTTCTAAGACCGAAATTGAGTTAAACTCTAAAGTGTGTAAAAAAAGAAACTCATACTAAACTTGGGAGAGTAACTCAAAGTCTGATATCCTCTCGATTCGATTGGTTTTATGAATGGCCTTAGAATAAAACTAAAGTATTCGATTGCTTGACATTATAAAATCACAGAAAATATAAAGTTTGACAAATTTTGTTTTCATTTCAGTACATTTTCGAACAGTGTGATCCGAGCTGAGTGAATTTTTTTTAAGAGAAATTGACTCTTGCTCTCTTTATTATGAGTGAGTCATTTTTAGTAAGTTCTTCGGCATTGGAAATCGAAGGAAAAATATTTGAAAATGCAGTTTAAAAATGTGTTTAGTTAGGCGACTTCCAATAAAACATTAAAAGAAAATGGTAATGGTCAGAAGTCATATGAGTCATGTCCCCGAGTTCTTTAATATAACAAGTTTACCTGAAAGGTGTTTAGGAGTGTAAACAGGGTGTAACCTTTAAAACTGATGATATTCAGAACCCATACTACTGTATAAAGTATTTCAGCACATTTCAATTTGAAAATGTAAAGATATTGCGGGGGGCTGTAGAAATGTCTTTCAAACGACCTATCCTACGTGGAAAACTATTTGAACAAAATTAGGTTATGTTGCATTGATGTACGGTTTGAGTCTCAGCTAATTTTGTAGGAGAGAGAGAGTTTCTGTGACCTTCAATGTTTCTTTTTTTTTAGACAAATGATAATTTCACCATAAGACACTGTCTTTTTGCGTATTTTTGCATAGCTTTTATACTTGAACCTGTGCATTGAGTTTTTTTTTCTAATTTATAGAATTTTTCTGAATTTTTCCTTACTTCATCTTTATCAGCTTACATTTGCCATTTTTATGCTTAACTCTTTTGACGTCAAACACAAATTTGGATACTTGACCGTAATGAAATAATACCTAATTTTGTGAATGAGTTTCTTTAAAATTAATAGGAATACAACAACTCGGAAGTCCAACTGATTTCTTGCGATTTTGTATGACGCAATTAAGCCAAAAATAGTGATAAAATTGATATATATTATAGCTCTATTCTTGATAATTGCTCAATCTGGTTCTATTCTTAGCAGTAAGTTAACCAAATTGTTCAGTCTGTGCAACGGAAGTTCAATGTTAATTAGGTTAGGAATACCAATTAGGTAACCTAAAACCTCTGTTTTGTGAAGTAATTCATAGATTAATCGTAATAAGCTATCCTGTTGTCGTAAATTGGAATATGTTCCGTTTTAATGAAGGCGCTTATCTAGTAACACTTTATAAATAGAAGTGACCGCACGGTTATCAGTCGCATACTGAGGTGGCGGCTATTAAAGCCTCATTTGCAGGCCAATTACAAGTATGCTTACAAATGGCACGTTTTCATTTGGGTTTCATATGCAGATGCATGTGGCCGGAGATGAGACTCAGCTCCAGATGTCGGTTCGCCTGTCAACAGGTTTGCCAATTGGCATTGGGCCCGAATCCTCGCCGGATTCGTCTTATTTATGGCCTGTGGCTGGTTCTGCTAATAGCACATAAATCTTATTAATGATCTCTGTCAAGTGCGAGCGAGGAGAAGCAGCGAGATCTGCATCTCTGCGCTGCACTGGTGTTTCATTTCTTCCAGTTCTAAGTTCAGAATTCTCTACGCAGAACGAGGGCTTCCCCACAAGATTCTCAATTCTCTGTGGTGTTGATGATGGACAGCAGCTTTCAGCGATACCGTCAATCAGTCTGGCTGACAAAAAGTTCCTACCCTTTTCTATAGGAGAAATATGTTCTCACTTTTTGGGTCGAACACAAGTTGAAGTGCATTTATGAAAGGCAAAATATGAAAAACTATTATTTATTGTTAGAATTTATTAAATATAGAAACTAATTCCTTTTAAAACTTGAAATTTAGCCATTAAACTGAGAACGGGAACAGTTTTATATTTGCTTTTTGATAGGGTATTCGTTGTCTTGTTGTCTTCAAATTGTTTTTCCTTTTCACACTTTGTTGTGCAACACTTCAATGCTCCCGCCTTGCAAGAAAAAGGGGGCGTGGCCTGTGGGCGTAGCTGACTTCGCACCAGGCCAATAATCTTTAATAGGTCCGAAGAATTTCGTCTTAGCTGTCTACTCTCTTTTCAGTCAACACCAAGCGCAAATATGCGACAGTCTAGGGCCTCGCCACCCACTCCAGCTCGTCCGCATCCCCCCTATTGGCCCCTCACTAAAAAAGCAACTCCCCTGCCTCTGGCTGACTTTCCAGTTTTCTTTGTCGACACCCACGATCGGGAATTTGCATATGTGTCGCCTGATCTGAATTTTTAGTTCGTCGCCGAGTTTCCTTGTCCCCCCTTTAGCCTATTTGTCAGCAATGCAAACACTTTCTGATACATTTTGCTATATTGCTATTTTTAATTCTCATTGTTTATATTGGAAAGCTATATAAAAGGAAAGAAGTGCAAGTGTTTGTGATCGAAACATGCGATGGCGGGCCTCTTAAAACCTTGAAGAGCGGGTAAAACTTGGGCGAGAATCTTGCGAATTGCTAGTAATGAGTCACCTAAGGGTCAGTACATTTTTTCAAATGATGCTGTCAGATATCGGTTGATATATAGGTCGTTCTTTGAATGTGACACAAGCTGCTTTCATATATAACGCAATTTGGAGCCTTAAAATAATAGTAACTTGTGGTGAAGCCAAAACTTCACCCGTGACTCATGGCAAATCACAGCAATTGATATTAAATTGTTGTTGCCGTTCCTTGAACTCGCGTTAATGAGTGACTCATTGAATAGCCTTAGACGGGGTGATATCACCATTGGGGATCTCAGCGAACCCCTCCACCAATCGATTTCCATATATGGGGAACCATAAAACGCCTTGCACTGTAATCTCTTCTTCATCTTGCGAGGGCGCCGAGAAAAGCGATCGTTTACTTATCACTCAGGCCCCCTTTTCTCGCCCCCTCCCCCCCCGGCTGGGTCTTCGTTTGAGCTGTTCCAATTTCCAGTTTTAAGTCTGCGGTTTTTGTTTTCTTGCCATCGAGCCACAGAATTGACAATTAGTGAAAGTGGAAAATGTGTCTGGTCTGATTTTGTGGCTCTGGGTGGTTTCTGTTTGCTCTGTAAATGCCTTTTATGGCTCTATCGAGATCTGTCGCCCTGGGACGTGTGAATATTTGAGAAAACTAATCCCCATGACTGGTACTTTGCTAGCTGCACTCTAAGGAATGTTGGAATATTTTTTAAGTTTACTCAGACTACGTGATTAGTGAGTAACGATATGAAGTATATGATTTTGAATCAGAATCTAGATCTAGAGGGTATGGTTTACGCTTAGCAAGTATGGAAATTGGAGTGTTTACATTTCCTTCCATATTTTCGTTTATCTCTAACAGCTTTTTTCTTACAAAAAGCCATTGTCAACATCGATGCGTAAACAATACACAAATTATCGAAGCCCCAAGGAGGCCAGAGATTTATGTTCCACAAAAGGGCTTAATAGACTCTGGCCAAGACAAAATGTTGTTGGGTGTTCTATAGTCTGCGGCCCAAAAGGTAGCGTTAAGGAGGGAAAATCGCAGCCGTTTCGGCCAGATGTCTGGTGGTTGTTGGCTGTTGGCTGTTGGCCTACTGACTCGAAACTGTGCCAGCGAATTTGCAAGTAAATCAAACGCAATGTACGAATAATTTGGCAGCGAAACCAATCGAAAAACGAGACAAGACGGCGGCAAGCGGCAACCTAAAAATAAAAGCCATGACGGAGTCGACACTCTGATGTGGCATGTGTGTACAAGCTATATGGTATACTGTACCCCACTATATATATCGGGTTGGGGGCGTGGCAGGCGTAGTGCCACAAGTTGCCAAGTTATTTTTTATAGCGTCTGGCAATCGACGATGATGCAAGCTGGCCGGCCCTCCCCTTTGTGGGTTATTTTTTACGACTATATTATTCGCCAGTTCGCCGTTCTTGTGGCCATTTTTTATGACATTTGCTGCGGCTTTCGGTGCGTGGGCTCTCATTGATATTAATTGCTCGGCTTTCCTTTTGGCAACCAGCGCAAGTGTTTATTTGGTCTATGTCTTCCGGCCAAAAGGAGAGAGTATAGCCAAGTGGTTAGAACGGGTTATTATGGGATTTGTAGGAGATCTTTGCTTTGCAATTCTTCTTGAAAAAGAATTAGAATTCCTTTTACAGATTAGAGATAAGCTTGTAGATTAAACTATTAGGCTTAGATTATATATTTTAGAACCTCTCATAGAAGCTTAGAATACTGGAATGTTGTTCCCCCTCTTCTTGATTTCCAAGGAACTCTCTAACTTCATTTGAACAGTTTTGTGTTAAAGGGTTAAAGGGACATTTCTATTAACCCTTTCCCTCTAAGTTCATGCTTATTTAAGTTTAGTTTTCGAATTTAAATTACTTTCAGAGCTGTTCTGATTTTTTATAGGGCACCTAAAGTTCTATCTGCTGTTGAAAAGTTCAAGCGACATAAACTAGATATTTTCTGCCACATTTTGCGGGCACTTTGGTGTCTTTCGGTCTTTGCGGCATATGCTGGGGACATAAAAAACAAGGCAAACTTCGCTAATGTTTTTATTTTCTCATATGCATGAGTATTTCCTTTTCTTGGGGGGCGCCAAGCCAAAGCCAATTTGGCGACAGTTGCTTGATGTCAGTTTTCCCATTTTCCTCCTCTTGGCCATTTTCCCCATCAGCATTATTTTTGGGGGAGGCAACAAGTGTCTGCAGCGGGTATCTTACATATTTTCTTCTTTTT